ATCAGCGGTGCTCCTGGGCTGGACTGACCCTGACTCAGGCCTTCACTGGGCAGGTCACCTGCCTGAGGAGGTAACCACGCCCCCCTGGACATGTGCGCTCTCCCAGGTCCCTCCTTCTGTTCTGTTCCTGCCCCTTGGCCGCCCCGACCCCCACCCCCACCCCATCTAGCGTCCCCTCCACACTGGTTTATTTAGCATGTCTCTACTCCCAGATCACACTTGCCCTCTACCCGGGGGTGGGATACAACCTGGAGCATCCACTCCACAAAGATTTGTTGAGTGAATGCCTAAAGAGCTAACAGGACAAACCCAAGTGGCATCTGCTTCTTCCCAACACTATCACGTTGAGGGCTTCTGGAGGAATTTTTCATTTGGAAGATGAATGTTATTTTTTTAAAAACTTCATAGAAAAAAGTCAAGTGTTAATATTTTAAATTGTATTATTTCAAATTCCTTAATTGACACTTGCACAAAATATAACCACATGAATATATTCTCCTTGCAAGCGAGTTAAACTATTATAATTTAAGGCTAAAGTCCTTTTTACAAATATGCCTATGGGATGTGGTATTAAAAAGAGACTTTTCACAGGGTGGAACTAGGTCATCTCCACGCAGTCCAACAAAATATAGAGTAGGACTCCACCAAGCCAAGTCAGTAGGTGGTTTTATCTTTTATTCAAAGGGAACAAGGGACTTCCCTGGTGGTCAGTGGTTAAGGCTCCGAGCTTCCAATGCAGGGGGAACAGGTGCAATCTCTGATTAGGGATCTAGGATCCTGCATGCCACGCTGTGCAGCACTTTTTTCTCCGTCTTGAGTGATGCTCAAGAGGACTGTGCTGGTTCAAGCACCTGCGAAAGTGACTTACTGTTGGACATCAATACTGCAGATCTTCCCAGCTCTACTGCACTTGGAGCTCTTGAGCAGCACTGCATAACTTACCTACAACATAGTGAGGGCATCGCTTTTATGTGGAAAGTTCAGTAAGAAAGCAAAACCGAATTTGACCGTATCATCCAAATTCATCATCTTTTGTTTGGGTACTTCCAGGTTGTAAAAGTACATGCAGCAACAAAGGAAACTATAAGCAAGGTGAAAAGACAGCCCTCAGATTGGGAGAAAATAATAGCAAACGAAGCAACAGACAAAGGATTAATCTCAAAAATATACAAGCAACTCCTCCAGCTCAACTCCAGAAAAAAAAATGACCCAATCAAAAAATGGGCCAAAGAACTGAACAGACATTTCTCCAAGGAAGACATACAGATGGCTAACAAACACATGAAAAGATGCTCAACATCACTCATTATCAGAGAAATGCAAATCAAAACCACAATGAGGTACCATTACACGCCAGTCAGGATGGCTGCTATTCAAAAGTCTACAAGCAATAAATGCTGGAGAGGGTGTGGAGAAAAGGGAACCCTCTTACACTGTTGGTGGGAATGCAAATTAGTACAGCCACTATGGAAAACAGTGTGGAGATTTCTTAAAAAGCTGGAAATAGAACTGCCATATGACCCAGCAATCCCACTTCTGGGCATACACACCGAGGAGACCAGATCTGAAAGAGACACGTGCACCCCAATGTTCATTGCAGCACTGTTTATAATAGCCAGGACATGGAAGCAACCTAGATGCCCATCAGCAGACGAATGGATGAGGAAGCTGTGGTACATATACACCATGGAATATTACTCAGCCATTAAAAAGAATTCCTTTGAATCAGTTCTAATGAGATGGATGAAACTGGAGCCCATTATACAGAGTGAAGTAAGCCAGAAAGATAAAGACCATTACAGTATACTAACACATATATATGGAATTTAGAAAGATGGTAACGATAACCCTATATGCAAAACAGAAAAAGAGACTCCGATGTATAGAACAGACTTGTGGACTCTGGGAGAAGGCGAGGGTGGGATGTTTCAAGAGAACAGCATCGAAACACGTATATTATCTAGGGTGAAACAGATCACCAGCCCAGGTTGGGTGCATGAGACAAGTGCTCGGGCCTGGTGCACTGGGAAGACCCAGAGGGATCGGGTGGAGAGGAGGGTGGGAGGGGGGACCGGGATGGGGAATACATGTAAATCCATGGCTAATTCATCTCAATGTATGACAAAAACCACTGCAATGATGTAAAGTAATTAGCCTCCAACTAATAAAAATAAATGAAAAAAAAAAAAGAAAAAAAAATAAAATAAAATAAATTTTAAAAAAGTACGTGCAGGTGGCGCCACCTGGTGGTCTTGTGGGGAACTGCAGGACACAGAGCTCACTGGCCTCACTGCAGAGCCTCAGAGAGGTGGGATAGAGCCACTTGACAGCCCGCTTCATTCAAACCTAGTAAACTCTCAAGTCTAACTTTCAAATTATTAGTGAAATTTCAAAAAAGTTCCATATGCAGTAAAGTGCACTATGATTTTTTCTTTAAAAAATTTGGAAATCTATAATCCGTCCATGCACCTACATGGGTGCAGTGTGAGTTATGATTAATACAGTACAGTCGACCCTTAAACAACATGGGATGAACTGTGTGAGTCCACATATATGCGGGTTGCTCAGTAAATATATTGTGAAATTTTGGGGGGGATTTTCAACAATTTGAAAAGCTCAAAGATGAACTGCATGGACTAGAAATACTGAAAAAATTAAAAGTGTATCATGAATGAATAAGATATCTGTAGACACTAGTCTCCCCTTATATAGGTATAAGGTGAGTGATATTTAAGATAAAATTAATGATGTTATTTTCTTACTGCCTTATAGTTTTATTTTCAAAGAAGCACATGACTGTACAGTATGCCTGTCTTGTAATTGAAGAAACAGCCTATCAATAGGTATTATTTAGAAGTATAACAATGCTCCTAATATTGTATTATTAATATAACATAATACTGTGTGCCATAGAAATTTTAAAACGATTCACTCATGAGTATGTAGGCTGGGCTACCAAGAAGCAATTGTATGGATGATGCTAGGCGACCAGAAAGCATCAGTATTTTTGCTTCTTCATTATCAACACATCAATTATTATCCTGTAACTCTTTTGACCCCATGGACTGTAGCCTGCCAGGCTCCTCTATCCATGGAATTCTCCAGGCAAGAATACTGCAGTGGGTGGCCACTCCCTTCTCCAGGGCATCTTCCCAACCCAGGGACTGAACCTGTGTCTCCTGCATTACAGGAAGATCCTTTTCCGTCTGAGCCACCAGGGAAGCCCCTAAATAACTATCAATTTCTTTTTTGCATTAGCTTTTAATCTGTGACGTCCAGTGTTAGTTATACTTGTAACATCTACAGCACTTGTATCACATGAGACAATTGTGGTGTAAGTTGTTCTGGTCTATCGTTTAGTCGGTAAGTCGTGTCTGACTCTTTTGTGACCCCATGGACCAGGCTCCTCTGTCCAGTGGGATTTCCCAGGCAAAAATACTGCAGTGGGTTGCCACTTCCTCCTCCAGGGCATGTACCTGACCCAGGGATCAGACCTGTCTCCTGCACTGGCAGGCGGATTCTTTACCACAGAGGCACCAGGGAAGCCCCGTTTGATGTCGGTCCTGACAGACGATTCATCTTGCAAACAGACCAGGTAAAGTTATGTCAGTGAATACAGCACAGGACTGTAAGTGTATTTTCTCTTCCTTCTGATTTTCTTAATAGTATTTTCTTTTCTCTAGCTCACTTTATTGTAAGAATCAAGTACATAATACATGTAACATACAAAATATGTTAACTTTTTATGTTTCCGGTAAGGTCTCCAGTCAGCAGTGTTTATTTGCTAATTTTTATTAAACAAGAAGAGTCGGCAGGTAGGGAGGCAGGAAGATTCTGTTGGAGTTTTGAGGGGGGTGGGATGTGGACAGCCATCCAGGTGAGTGGACACGCAGTGTGACCGGGGAAATGCAGAGTCGCTCCGCAGCTCTAGAGGCCTCCTGGAGGTTTGTAAGCAGTAATTAGGTGACAGTCGTGTCAGCAGCTGCTTTGTTTTCCTCTAGCCTTCAACCTGCCTTAAGCCCTTCCGGAGTCGGGGCGCGGGGCTGGGGCTTCCCCAGACAAGGAGAAAGGAGGTGCAGAGGACCGGGGGGGTGTCGGAACCCCGGAGAAGCTAGTGATGGAGCCCGGAATTTACGCAGGGTAAAGAGGGGCGCTAACAAGAGCAGCGGGACGGGAACGCGGAATTCGGCGAAGGTGAAGAATCGTCGGAGCTGGAAGGGCAGCAAGAGGTCAAAGGCTGCCTGAACTGACCCGAGAGGCACGGTGCCTAGCGACTAGTTAGTTACCAGTGACTAGCGAGTTCTGGGTGTGGCTCCGGGACCAGTGTCTAGCTGGTGAGTGGAGACGGAGAGGAAGCAAGGGCCTAGCGGGAGTCACCTGCGGACGCTGGAAACACCGCGAGTCGTGGATCGGCAGCTGGTTTGCTAGTATTTCTGCGAAACCCTCGCCCCCGACCTCACTCGGCGCGCAGTGATGAGCATCGACTCGTGATTACGGGACAGTGACTCGAACGGACAGTCGGGTTTGCAGATTGACACACGTTTGGCGCAGATATAGGACGAATGATCCAGCCTGTTCGGGCCGAAGAACAAAAGGAACGGATCGCAGCGCCCACGCGCGTTCTCGGGAGAGAGTGGCGAGGTCCACGGGCGTAGGGTCCGGCCTGTCGCACTACCTGCCGACCTGCCGTGGTTAGAACCGCATCCGATACATAAGAAGTGCTCAACACACGAGCTCAACCCCGGAAATGGATGCGCGAACCTCCGTCTCTGCTCACCGTGCCTGCGCGGGAGCCACGCGTGCGACCATTCAGCGCACTCTGCGCCTGCGCAACATCTGCCTGCACAGCGCCTGCGAGGCTCCCGGGCCGCTTCGCCGCGCTAGGTTTGAGCCCTGCAAGCCCCGGTAGCACGGCGGCGGCGCCGTCCCGGCCTCCTCCTCGGCGTTCCCACGCCCACTCAGTGGGCTCTCGACCTCCACGTCAGGGCCGCGCCGCGGAGATGGCGGCTCAGAAGATAAACGAGGGGCTGGAACATCTGGCCAAAGCAGAGAAATAGTGAGTGAGGGGCCCAGCGCGGCCTTGGGCGAGCATCGGGGTCGGCGCCTCAAAGGCCAGTCTGAGTCAGCACCGGGTGGGGGGGGGGGGGGTGGTGCTGGGGCGGGGGCGGAGCCGGGCGCGCGGGGTGGGGCCGCCGCGCCCCGGAAGCGCTGCCCTTGGTCGCCGGAAGTGGTCGTGCCTCGGGCAGTGGGGGTGCTGCCGGGGTCCGTCTCTCTGCATCTTAGAGCGCGTGTTGCTGGTTCCTGGCACGTTGGGCCCAACTATGTTTTAAAATCTCTAGCTTTTCCCAAGTGTAGCAACAAGACGAGTGAATGGATGTGTCTTGTCTTTGGTGGGATTTTAAAAGTTATACTATAGTGGACAATGGGGCTTCCCAGGTGACTTAGTGATAAAGAATCCGCCTGCCAGGGCTGGAGACGCGGTTTCGAGCCCTGGGTCAGGAAGATCCCCTGGAGAAGGAAATGGCAACCCACTCCGGTATTCTTGCCTGCAGAATGCTATCGACAGAGGAACCTGGCCGGCTACAGTCCATGGGGTCACAGAGAGTCGGACACTACTGAGTGCGCGCGCGGACACACACACATACACACACGGTGGAAAATACAATGAGGACTTCGGGGTTGGGGTGGGGATTAGAATTTTGCTTTATGACGATGCTTTCTCAATTTTGTGGATTAGAGTAGACAGGCTGCATTTTAGCCATTTTGTTTTTCTTACCAGTAGTGCCCTTACTGAGCTTGAGAGTTGTTTACAAATTTGAAACTTCCAGCAGTATTACACAAGTGTAAACTTTAAATAAGTTTAATTGGCCAAATTAAAAGGAACGCAAGAAAGGGTGTACGTCTACAGGTTATGGGGGCTTCCCCGTCTCTCAGTTAAGGTGCCCCCCTGATTCCTTGGCTTTCACTAACTGAATTCAGAATTTAAGATTGTGTTTAGCAATTTTTATGCTCACCCAAGTTTGACAGTCACGGGGTTAGTTTAAGCTGTAAGTCTGAAGTTACAGAAAGCATCGTGGAAAGGACACAGAGATAGGGACTCAGGATTGATTGTCCTGTGGTTCTGGAGAGTTGCTCTCGTTCCAGTCGTTCTGCTCTCTCTGGTTGCCATTCGTGTCCACTGCAGCCTTCCTGCTGACGCCCTCTGTGGGTTTGTGTTCAGTAGTCTTTCTGGCCTCGGTCTGCAGTCTCCCTGGAGGATCTTAACCCGGCCCTGGTGTGGCCCATGTTGATGGCCCAGGTTATCTGTGCCTCTCCTGAGCTGCAGTCTCAGGAATCCACCTGCTCACTGCTGTGCCTCACCTGTCTCAAGCTTTAGTGCACCTCAGGGCTTGTTACAGCCTGGATGCTGCTGATGCTACCCTGTTTCCGGTTCAGCAGGGCCGGGAGAGGCTCAACAATTCATAAATTTCTAGTGAGTTAGCAGCGAATAGTGGCACTGCTCAGTCTGGGGACCAGGCAGTGATTACCTCCACTCTCCTTGAATGTTATGCAGACGTTTCAGAAGAGGGAGACCATGTCTGACAGTGGGAGGGAAAGTGGTGAAGTGTGTAGTTGTCAGGAAGTTTGGACAGAGGTAGACTAATGGGGACTTTCCACTTGATGATTCCCCTCCCTCCCTTTTTACAGACCTACAAAGTACTTACCAGCAAGGTTCTGACTTAAGAATGTGGTTGGTAACTTCTGTTAACTGTATCTTCCTTTCATTTAGCCTGAAAACTGGTTTTTTGAAATGGAAGCCGGATTATGACAGCGCCGCTTCTGAGTATGGAAAAGCAGGTATCTGTGATAGTTGTCCTGCCCCCTGCAGTGTGTTATGTTCATCTTGGCATGATTCTCACTCTTAGTGCTTCCCATAGCATCTTAATTGTTAGAAAAAAACAACCAAAGACCTCCCTAGACCCTGTGCTTTTCCAGGTGCTGTTTGCAGGTGTCTCAAGTGCCAAGTTGCAGACCTGGCTACGTCCCTCTGCCATGAGGGCAGACAGTGGGGCAGGCGCAGCTATGGGCTTTTAGCATCATTAGTGTTTTCTTGAACTGCAGTCAGTTCATACTATATACTTCGAGGATTTCTGTCATACTTTTCTCCTATTTCTGAGTAAAGATTTCCAGTTCACTTTATAAAGCGCCTAAGCCTCACTCTCAGCAGTTGTGCACAGTGCATGTTAGATTCTTGTTCTTTACAGCCTTGCTCAGAGATATGCTGATAGGTTTTCATCCAGTGTTAAATTTATAGGCATCTTTTAATAACTTTATCAGCATATAAGGTAAAAACAGTCTGAAATTTCCAACAGAAAGAGAACTTATTACAAATTCATCATTTTTAGTTATGGAATGACAGCTTTCAGCATATCTATGATGATTTTGGATATAAAGCATATATGATTTTGAAATAGGCTGGGCACATTTTACTGTGTTTCTGCAGTGGTTTTGATCACATGTGTTAGCCTTGGATAAAAATCACCTAAGAAATGTGCTTTTGACAGACTTTAGTTTTAGTATATCACCAGGAAGAAAGAAGTCAGGTAAATTGAAACTAATCAGCACAATGTAGGATATAGTTTCTAGATAATAATTATTAAAATAACTATTACAGGTTCATGTTTTACATGGGTTTTATGAACACTTCATACAAGAATGTTTTTGTAACTGGAGAGCATGACATTTTGCAGATCTCCTCCATGAGGGAAATTTAACATGGAACGTTGTTACATATGCACCTAAGACCATTTCTGCTTTCAGAAATAAGTACTTCAAGTCAGATTTTCCCATTAAAACATTCTTTGTTTATTTTCTTTAAGGGCTTATGCAAGATACATTTCATCAATAAAGTTTTATGACAACAAAATGTAGAAATTCAAGGATGAAATAGTTTGTTGTTTATTTTCAGCATTTTATTAAAGATAATTTTAAGAGTGTTTTTAGCAAGTAATGTTTTCTTAAAGCAGTATACTTTTCACTTATTTGTAAGCAACACTTCATGAGCTTTCCAAAGTCTATAAGATAGTATTTAAAGATTGTGCCAAAAAAATTATAAAAATATTGAGTGTGCTTATTGGACTTTAGTTTCAAAATAATTTAAATGATAGAATAAACTTTAACTGAGTACTGTTTCTGTTGTTAACTGTGAAACTGGTGAGGAAAGGAGCTGTCTTTGTGACGACCCCTGTTATTTGACTTGTTACTTGGTTGATGTGATCTAAGTTCTTCAAAGTGTACATGCTGGTGTTAGAAAGACTTAAGAAAAAAAAAACTTTTGAAAATACTTGTAGATTATTGATAATCAAAAAAGTTATAAGAAAATGGCTTAGGAAAAAGTAGTATTTATAGTTTTATGAAGTTTCCTAAGTATTTGATTAAGTGTTAAGTTTATTTTCTAATACCTCACACTTCATGTAGATTTTGGTATTGATTCATTTGAGGTTTTTTTTTAAATGATGGAAATAGAAAATCTGTTTTTATTTTCATCTGTTTCAGCTGTTGCTTTTAAGAATGCCAAACAGTTTGAGCAAGCAAAAGACGCCTGCCTGAAGGAAGCTGTGGCCCATGAGAACAACAGGGCGTATCTTTTCAACCTTTGGAAATCGTTATGAATTTGCTGCCTGTGGGGTACAGTGCTGTTAGCTTAGAAGCCTCTTAGAACAACTCTGCATGTCTGAAATCTGAAGGTGATTTATGGAGACTTGATTATGATCCACACTGCTCTGCAGAGCTGCCTTTGAGAGTTTATTGTTTCTGGATTTGCTCGATGACAGTTTTACTTGGGATGAAATGAGAGAGATGGAAAGAGACAGGTCCTGAAAAGCGAAGAGGTGGTACAGGTGGTAGAAACAGTAACCGCTGTCTAACTGGTTTAAAAGTACAGTCTTCCTCAGGTACTTGAAATAAAATTTTTAAGTAGTTGAAAACAAATTTTCCTGAGGTATTTTATAATCTTATCAACTAAAAAATGTTTGTTTTATCTCACTTGCAGATTATGGTTATAGTAACCTTGCATTTTTTCTGAAACATCAGATTAATGCATAATAGAAAATAGAAGTAGCTTAAAAATCTGTGTGGTGTATTGTCTGTTTTTGTGAATTGTGTAGTTTTTAGTAGAGATCCACAGGCATTAAATGATTTCTTTACCTGGTTTGTAGGGTTTGCCTTTTTGAACAAATTGGGGCAGTGATTTAGTTAGCCTTGCTTTTTTAAATAATGGATCTTTAGAAACTGTTGATTTTTTTTTTATTTCCCTTAATTGTGACTTTGTTACATCTATTCAGCCTTTTTCACGCTGCCAAGTAAGTAAATTTCCTCTGTATGTCCATGTATTTGTAGATTATTATGTTTTAAGTGTTGTTGCTTTCCCTTAGGTCAGTAAATTTTTCCTAAGTTATAAGTCCAGAAATAGTGAATTCATGTGTACTGATGTAAATAAGATAGGCCTTTACATTTGTTTCAGTCTTCACCTGAAGCTTAAAAATGAAGTCACTCCTCACTAAGATATTCAGTGTTTAAATCACCGTCATATTTTTAGGACTATATTGTTTAGTAACCTGTGAAAAAACAAGTGAGTTAGAAACCCTGTTTTCCCCCCTTTGTTAATATAGTTACTGGTTCCTGTTCAGAGAAGCAGAAAGTTTTCTTTTGCTTCTGTGGAGAAAAAAATACTTGTTTCAAAACTTGGATTTAGGTTTGTCAGGTAGAAAGTCATTTACCTTCTCTGAGCTTCATTTAATTTTGCATTTGCAAAGAGAAGTCTCTTTACCTTAGATGCCTGCTGTTTCCAAGGCATTGTTCCCCATGTAGATAAATGGAAGAAAAATTTCATTGTTTCGTAACAAGGGCCTAAAGTAAGTATGTATTGCCTGAGTCAGTTTAAACTGATGCAGATTCTTGTATCTGGTAGGAGATTTCTCCTCCCATCAGGATCTCATCTGAGAACTTGTATTCTCTCTGCAGAGCATACGAACAAGCTGGCATGATGCTGAAGGTCAGTGACGTTGGGGCACAGCTGCCCTGTAGGAAAAACGAGTTAACGGTTTGTAGTCTTAAGGACGAGACCAGCAAGTGTGACATCCTCAAGGATTTGTCAGCTTAGTGAAGGATGAATGGGCAGGTTTGAAAACAAGCCATGCGAGGTCAGCATGGAGACGCAGCGCATCAGCCTAGAGTAGATAACACCTGTCAACTTTACACCTCGTCTTTTCATGATTTTTTCCAGTTTTTAAAAAAGGTTTGGATTGGGGATGCTAGATGTATGGCTCACATGATGCTGAGATTCAGTTTACTAGTAAGATACGTAGAGTTACTCTGTTGACGGCACTCAGAGTAAGAGGGTTGCAAGCGCCAGTGCACACAGGGGAATGGCTGAAATGGAGGAGGCAGGCCTGGACGTGCCGGGGGTGGGGAGAAATGTAGCTGCCAGGAGGGGGTAAGTCCCCACAGCCACCCCTCTGCTCCGCTCACCAGTGCCGTGTGGGGGCGTGAGCCTGCTGATGCTTTTGATATTTTAATATATGAAGCCACCAGCAGACCTTCTGTGGACGTGTCTGATGACAAGATGTGGATGGTTAAAGCGCAGTGTCCTTGGAAATGAGACCCAGCCCTTGGACTGCTGGTTTGCAGCCTGGTTTGCACAGGCCTTGTGTATAGCAGGCACTCACGAGTATTCCAGCAACTGTAGCTGCTCAGGAAACACTGAAGAGCAAGTGTCTTGGCTTCTCCTATTTGTGTAGTTTCTCTGAAACCCTGTGAAGGACTGGGCTCTGCAGGATTAATTGGTGTGTTTCTGGGGTTTGGCTGAAGGAAGCCTGATGGGGAGAGTGACCTTGCGAAGGCATTTCATTTTCAGTATATATATTGTTGTGTCATGTTTTGGGTCTTTTGCCTTCTCCAGTTTCAGATTATTAATTCCGTATTTCTTAATTCATGCATTTACTGCTTTGTGCCCTATTGTTTGCCTAAAGGAGATGCAGAAACTCCCGGAGGCTGTTCAGCTGATCGAGAAGGCCAGCATGATGTACCTGGAAAATGGCACCCCAGACACGGCCGCCATGGCCCTGGAGCGGGCCGGGAAGTGAGTGTGGACAGGGGCTCCGCCTGGGAGTCTTTTTGATAAAGTCCGGTGAAAACAATTTTCTCTTTCTCGTATAAGTCAGATATTCTTGTTTCATCTAGGCTGATAGAGAATGTAGATCCAGAAAAGGCTGTGCAGTTATATCAGCAGACAGCCAACGTGTTTGAAGTAAGTGAATTTGTTTTCTCTAAAGTAGACTTAGATTGTTGAATTTCGTGAGAAACACAGTGGCTACTTTGAAAGCTCCACTGTGCTCACAAGTGAACTCTTCTTTGTAAGCAGCGAGATGGGTTCTAGTGGCTTTGGTGTCACTGCCCCCGCTTCCCCCCACCCTGTTTCTCCCCCATCCCCTCCCCCCAATCCAGTGCGGTTACTTTTTAATCAGATAATTGTTGGGGGAAGAGAAAAATTCCTGCCTTAAAGCCGCCCACACTCTCTTCTCTTGGATCCACAGAATGAAGAGCGCCTGCGGCAGGCCGTTGAACTCCTGGGAAAAGCCTCTCGGCTGCTGGTGCGCGGGCGCAGGTATGTCTCACACCAGGATGCTCCTGTGACCTGTGACCTCCAGGCCATGTTTAGCAAGGGCTTGTTGATCGTTTGGGTACAGCCTGGGCACACCAGGCTCATAAGACAGCAGCACATTGGGTTAAACATTGAAAGATCCGCTGCTGCTCTAAGTGCCGTCCCAACGTGCATTGGGCTCTTGTTGGTTAAGACCTGGCTCGGCTGCTGTAGAGATGGCTGTCTGGTCTGTTACCTGGGGTGGGGAGGTCACGATGTCTCTGGGGGACAAGTGTCTGTAATGTTCACCCAGGAATGTGGATGGGTTCCTGATAGCTGGACAGTGTTGTCACACAGGTTGTTTACCATTTTATCCTTCAGACTTAGGACCCACAGCATGAGTAGCTGGATCCCAGATAACTAGGATCCTGTGGAATTTCCCTGTTTTTACTTTACTGCAGTTTAAGCTTAGTAACCTACCTCCATTATTAATGTTGTGCAGAGGAGAATATGTGCGAGTGGACAGGAGAAGATGACTGTTGAGGAGCGTGGTATCGAGGAGGATGTTTGCTCACCTCTCCCTGTCTGCCCACTCTGTGCCGCCCCCTCCCTGGCCCCCAGTCACTGCCTGTTTTGGGCCCTAGGAGCTGTCAGGGCCTGACAAGGTTGGGGTGGGCGCTTGAGGATGCGGACCCAGTGGGGGTCGTCCTTCCAGCAGCCGGCGCCCCGGGGCGTCTGCATGGCCTTCCAGGGAAGGAGGGGGCTCTGCGATGGCGGAGTCAGGCCTGGCCTCTCTAGGGCTTCTTACAGCCTCTCTCAGAGCAGTTAATTGAATCTGATGGATGCTCATTATTGGATGGTCCTTATCAGACCCGACTCCCATATGAAGCAGCTTGTCCTGAAGTCCTCTCGCTCTGTCTACTGGGGGTCTGGGAGGGCAATTCAGATGCAGTAGTCACGCTGAGTGCGTGGAGCTCACGGAGGGTGTGGGGCAGTGGTTACAGCACCTGATGCCACCTTCGTTTCTCTAGAACCTGTGACGTCAGACACATCATGCCGTGGTCTCTGATGTGGTGCACTTAGACCTGCCTCTTTCGGCATTTCTTGTTTTGTCTTCAGGTTTGATGAGGCGGCACTCTCTATTCAGAAAGAAAAAAACATTTACAAGGAAATTGAGAATTATCCAACTTGTTATAAGGTATGTTTTCAAAGTGCTTAGTTTTGGCTTTTCCTTGGATCATATTGGTGTAACTGTGTCTGGGATCATGTTTCATGAATATTTGTTAATTTTTAAAAAGAACACCTTCTGGACCTCTGTTTTTGGCTGAAATGGAGTGATCCTACTGTTGCCTCTCTCCAGCTGTTCACAGCCAACACTGCTGGGCAGAGCACAGAAGACAGTGCCCTGAGGACTCTTGAGCATTGAGTGGTTGGGAAAGCTTCTGACTTCATGTCCCCTCTGCCTCTCAACTTTGAGAGGAGCACCCCCCCCCCCCCGCCACCATCTTCTAACCAGAGGGTCTGGGGAAGAGGCCCCCATAGAAACCCAATCTCTCCAGCCAGAGGAGCTCGGGAAAGGGTCCCAGAGAGGAGGGCTACAGGAGGGGGCTCCCGAGTGTGTGTGCTTGTGTATTTTGGGGGGTCACCAAGCCTGGAGCAGAGGGTTTGAACTAAGACCAGAGCCACTGCCCAGGAATCAGACCGAATGTGTGGCCTGAGCCCGGGACGGTGAGCAGGTCGGTGCAGGGGCCAGGGGCCAGTGACTGGTCAGAGGGAGTCAGGAAGACGTGACGATTGTCAGAGAAGAGACCCAGGTGTTGGAGTCAGCAGATCTAGACCGTGAAGAGGCTGTGACAGGTGCTCCGTGCGACCAAGGGCAACACTGGTGGAGTTGTAGATAGAGGGACTGATTTTTTTTTTAATAGAAACTATAAATGAACTAAATGAGAGTTTTAGAGCTGAAACAGCAAGGTCTGAAACACAGTAGTGGATGGGCTTCGTCTGAAAATGGAGATGAGTGTCAGATGGAAACCAGGTTACATTCCAGGTATCTTGGAATCGGCTTCTGCGTGAATGTAAACTTGGCCTCATCCCCTCTTTTGTTTTAGAAAACAATCGCCCAGGTCTTAGTGCACCTGCACAGGAACGACTACGTGGCAGCTGAGCGCTGTGTCCGCGAGAGCTACAGGTGAGGCCCGGGGTGCGCGCTGCTCTGCCCAGCTCTGCTGAAACGGGGGGCCTGCCTTCAGAGACGGGGTTTTTGTTTTCTGTAAAGTTCAGGACAGGGCAAGTACATGGCAAGCCTTTCAGCTTTTGCAGCAGGATTTTTATGAGTTGGGTTCTTTGCTGTGTTTTTCTCCTGGTGCTTCTGTGGAAATGAGTGACTTGAGTTAATTTTGTGATATTTGCCATATAAGAAAAAAAGAGAAAGTCCTCAGGTGTATGTTTCAGGAAGGTCAGGATAAGGGGTTTTCTCATGGGTGATATTTAAACCGAGCAGCCTGAGGCCAGCCCCCCCGACACCTGGGCCCTGGTCCTCTGCTGTGACCGTCCTGGGCGTGATCTGTGCTCGTCTGTGGTCAGACCTGTGGGCGGGGTGGGTGTGCGTGTCCCGGCAGCATCCCCGGCTTCAACGGCAGCGAGGACTGCGCCGCCCTGGAGCAGCTCCTGGAGGGCTACGACCAGCAAGACCAGGACCAGGTGGCCGAGGTGTGCAACTCGCCCCTGTTCAAGTACATGGACAACGATGTGAGTGCCCGCCCCGCCCCCGGCCCTGCCCTCCTGTCCCCTCCCCTGAGGCCGATGCCCAGAGAGGAGGCTCACAGGGTGCACGGTGAGCAGGTTTACTGTGGTGACACCCCTCCTGCTCCGTCTGCAGGCCCCCTCCAGGTCACTGACTGAGTTTCTGTTAGGCTCATGGGGTCTTGGGGCCCCTTAGGCAGTGGCCACACTGGTCGAGCCCCTGCCCTGCGGCCTAGCAGTGTTGAGTTTCATGGTGGTGTTTCCCTCCAAGTGGTGTCCAGGTTTTTGGGGGGCAGAGACCAGGCCCTGGCGCACAGGTGAGAGCCTGTATCGAAGGTCAGGCCTGGACGTCCAGTCTGAGCTGCACTTTGTCATTGACAGTACGCGAAGCTGGGCCTGAGCCTGGTGGTCCCAGGAGGAGGCGTCAAGAAAAAGGCAGCAGCCCCCCCGCAGGCCAAACCTGAAGGCCCTGCTGCCCCTGCCGCCGAGGATGAGGAGGACGAGTACGCTGGGGGGCTGTGCTAGGCTCGGCCCTGCCGGCATGACTCACACCCCCAGACTCCGAGGAGTACGGCTGGACTCACGGGGTCCTGGCTCTGATGCTGTAAGACAACTCTCGTTCCTGGTTCCCGGGCCACTGCCCTGCCCGCTGCCTGGAAGCATTTCCTTCCTTTCCCTGACAAGAGCTCTTCTCAGACACCAGCAGGAATTGACAGAGAAACATCCCATCACGTCATAGTTGATTTTAAAATTGGCAAACCCATTTCTCGACAGACTTGTTCTAAACAAAAGGGGTAACACGCATGGACATTCTTTCCTCTTGGGCTTGTGTCATTTATTGTTAGAGAAGTTGTTTGCATTTTATTTCATAATTGCTGCTAAAAGTGAAGTTTACTGGTTAAACAAAGTAATATTGTAAACATTTGTTTTCAAAAGGAGATTTATGCCCCGTGATAATTGGAGACATTTAAGTTATTAAACCTTCAGATGGAGTGTGGGCCAGAGGCTGTTCTGAGCCTTACGACGTTGCTTCTCCCAGAACAAGACGCAGCTGGAGTGTCACGTGGACGCTGAACACTCTGACGGGGGCATGTCTCAGGGCTCTGTGCACATCTCCAGTCCTCTCTGGATCGTGGGCATTTCCTCCTGAAGCTCAGCGACCGTCTCTTCACCTGCCAGGTTGTTGACCGACCTTAGTCCCGCAGACCTGTCCTGAGGACCCTGGCTCAATGCAGAGGTGCTCTCTGTAAACCTCCCGCGTGTGGCTGAGAGAGCAGGATTGGCTGCACATGTGGGGCGCTGGTGTGTGGTTCCTTCCCGGCCTCTCCTGACGGGTTGTCTTCAAGGTGTTCTCTGCGTGAGCTCAGCCCTCTCTCCTGGTGGGAAGAAGCCCAGACGCTGCAGTGCAGCTGATGCCACCGCCTGGCCTCCTGGGCTCAGGTCTGCTGGCTTCCCGGGAACACGGAGGTGGTATCATCTTCACCTTCACGGAGGTGAAGGTCACCCTGGGCTCTCGGAGGGTCCAGGGAGTGTCCTTGTGGGGCGGGTGGGTGGTAGATGAACTCTTTCTGGAAGGTCTGGGTCAGAACACTAATGAGCATCCTCCTCCAGGCCTCCCCCCCCGGCCCCGGCACCCAGGTGGTCTGCGGGCAGTGGCTCTTCCCAGCCCTTTTTTGGGGACACTGGTCTCCGTAGCATCCGTGCTCAATGACGCATTAATAGTGCACACCTGTCCTTGCTGCTGTGCCCTCCACATCCAGCCACCCTCCAGGAGTCACCTTGATGTGCATTTGAGCTCGTTCACAGCCATCTCAGCAGATTTGGCCACACCTAGAAGATGCTCTCAACCGCGTTGTGTAGACTGTTATCCAGTGCAGCCTTGGAAGAAAGGCTTCACATCTACTCTTTTCCTTCATATTAATAGAACAAAATTGCGTACTGAGCCGGGGGTATCCTGCAGGGCTTGGGGGCTTGTGGGGCTTGGAGAGTGGGCCTCCCAATGCAGGGGGCTGGAACCCAGGCATCCCTGACTATCCCCACCCCACCCCCACGGGTTATGGCGCGTGTGGGGCAGGTGGCTGTTCCCCTGATATCAGGGCTTCCTGCCTGGGGCCTGGTGAGAAGTGTCTCCTCTTCCTGCTCACAGAAGCTGTTCTCGGGGGCGCTCAGGAGCAGGGAGTGGTGGTCCCAGCAGGGAAAGGGGTTCTGAGCTCGTGTGGCCCCTTTTCCCGGAGCGGGGTCCGTGTGCGCCTTCTCGGAGTCCAGCAATCCCCATGCTGTCTTGTGTGAGTGAACCAGTCTGCAGAGTCTAATATATTGAACTTAACTGTACATATGCAGAGTGTGGTATTTGTGTATGAAACTGTGCTTTATTCCTGTTTTTTTCCAGCTTTGATGAATGATGTTAAATGTTATGGAAATGCCGATTATTGCTTCTATGGGAAGATAATTACAAAAATAAAATCTGAAACCATGCAAGTGTGATTGTTCTTTTTATTATTATATTTTGTGCTTGACTTGTTTGCTTTTTCCAAAGATACATCGTCAGCTACTGACAGGCTCCCAGCTGTGCCAGACAGCACACTGTGCTCTTTGGGGTCCAGAGGCCCCTCTGGGGAATACTGTGAACTCAGGGAGCTTTTCAGGGTGCCTGTCACCAGTTACTGTCAGACCTTGTTCTCTGGCCTCAGAGAGGTGGGAGCCTTCAGCACACTTAAGTATATCAGGAGAGTAATTCTTTCATTAAATGAGGAGGTAAGAAAACCAAAGTGAGGAGGTTGGCATTTAATACCTGGTGTGCACCTTAGTTAACCTGTGGATTCACATAACATCACTCAGACGTTTCCTGAGTGCGGACTGTGGAAGCCCTCTATGTAATGTTGACCCTGCCCCGCTGGGCGTGGGAGTCGGTGGGAGGATTTGACACCAGGACAGAAGTTGGGGTGAGAGCCTGCAGGACACCTTGGGGGCGGGGATAGCCACAGGTGAGCGGGCAGGGCCAGGAAAGTCCAGGGGAGACGTCGAGGTGGGGCCGTGGGGCCCCTCAGCCGAGCCTCCGAGGCTCAACGCCTTTTCCAGGGCCCCATCGCACTTCCACTTCAATTACAAAACACAAAGGTGAAAAAGAATTCCGGGTGACCCAGGGACACCCCTCAGAGCACGGGCACCTCTGGGCGCTGGCCCTGTGCTGACACGAAGGTCACCGACTCCAGACCCCACCACGGGGCAGCGCGCACACTTGGGCTCAGGTGTGAATGGTGCCTCCTCCAGCAGCAATTCTCCTGTTTGGACGTGCGACCTACCCCCTCGCCCCCCGGCCCGCCCTCTCCACCTGGACACTCCTCCGTCCTGGGGCAGCTCCCCCGGGGCCTGGGGTCTAGTTCCGGGTTCATCACGGGGTGGGGACTGGGGTTGATTCTTCCCCTCCCACGCCCGGGTGCCAGCTGGCCTCTCGGCTCTGGCTTGCCACCGCCGAGAAAACCGCGTTTCTCCTGCGGGTGCCGATCTAGCTTCTCACTGAGCTGGGTGGGTTGGGGGCCGGGGGTGGTCCCCCTCGGGGTGGGGGTAGGCGCAGCGTGGGAGTGGAGCAGAGTTAAGAGAAACCAGATTCAGTTGACAGCGGGAAGGCTGCTGCGGTGGAGGGGCAGTAAGCCAGAGGCCATCGGCCCGCACCCGCCCCAGACAGTGAGCCCTGAGCGGATTCCGGGCTTGGGAGCACGGATGGTGCCTGTCGGATGGATGGTCTCTGAGCCCGGGCTCTCGGATCTTCCCACACGGCAAGTAAGCCGAGGTCTGGTACTCTCTGTGTGTGTGAGTCAGTCGTGTCTGACCCTTTGCCACCCCATGACTGTAGCCCACCAGGCTTCTCTGTCCATGGGGATTTTTCCAGGCAATAATACTGGAGTGGGTTGCCAGTTCCCTCTCCAGGGGATCTTCCTGACCCAGGGATCTAGCCCAGGGACCGAACCCAGGTCTCCTGCGGCTCCCGCATGGCAGGCAGGTCCTTTACCACTGAGCCACCTGGGAAGCCCCCTGGTTTTCTTAACAGTTTAATCCTTTGCTGTTTTGACTACCTGGTCTTTGTGGCAAACACGTCCCCACCCCCGCTAGCTATATCCTGGCTACCCCCTCCCTCCTCGGAGCAGACCCTCAAAGCTGCCTGAAGAGCTGCCTCTGGACTTGAAGTCCTCAGACACTCGGCTCAATAAGATGTAATTCTCAGCTTTCAGGCTTTTTGTTTTTTGTTTTTTGTTTTTCAGGGGAGAACCTTTATTTGTGGGCTGTCCCCTCTCCCTTCCCTTTCTGGCGTACTAACGTAGGTTTGTGAATCTGCCTGAAATACCTAGTTTCTTACGAGGACCTTTAGCATTTTTTTGTGTCTTATGAACATTCTTCAAAATCAGTCGTAGAGCTGTACAGGTCACGCAAGATTAAAAGTCTAGTAAATCATCACTTTATTTCTATGATTCCTGCTCGTTTCACCTGAATTTGTGGGCGCTTCAGAATATGAGTGTTTGTCTTTATCTCATTTACTATATGTCACTCATAGACCTTACGGTAATGACTGATTTTCAAATATGTTCTACTCTATTATTACTTGCATTGTAAAATGAAGTGAAATAAAGATTCCGATTTTAATAATAATAATGTAGTTTTGTTAAGGAAGGTCTCCCCTCAAGGGCTCAGTCCAGCACCCGAGTTTCCCGGCCACCAGGTGGCGCTGTGGAGCGGCTTCAGGACCGCCCCACGGGGACCAGCTGCAGGGTCACTGCTGAGAACCTACAGCAGGATGGGCGACACTTGTCTAAGAGACAGGCTTTATCAACCCTGTTTGTTGTGTCTGCCTGCTCTTACTCTTCCTGCCCCAAGCCACACCCGACGCTGAGTGGTAGACAAGGACTAGCTGGGCCTCTGGGATCTCCGCTCAGTTTTGACCTGGACCACCTGCCACATTTGCGGGGTGGGGGCGGATTGGGGAGTGTTACTAGCAGTGCAGTTCAGCCAGCTGCCTGTAGGTAATAGTAGCCCCACAGCACTGGGATGAATAAGCAATGTCCCCACAAGAGCAGGCACGGGGTACTGTCCCTTGTCAGGAACCAAGACGGTCCCTCTGCCCCCATCCCCCAGCACCATGTGATGTCAGAGTAGCAGCAGCCCCGCCTCCAAGCCTGCTGCCCCACAGTAGCCACATGGAACTGTTAAAGTGGACACAAAAGGAAATAAAATTCATTTATTTGATCACACTGTCACGTCTGAGATGCCGGGTGGCCCTGTGTGTCCCTGGCCACAGAAAGCCTCTTGGACAGTGCTGGTCTGGGTGCCTGGTGGGTGTCAGAGAGTCAGATGGGGTGGGGAAGACTCAGGCAGGAATCACACCCGGAGGATGTTTCCATACCAGTGGGTGAGGCCCAGTAGTAGTTTGGCATGTACCAGGCAGCAAAGTCCAGGAGGTTCACGGAGAGGCTAGGCTGAGCTTTTAATTCCGCAGCTCAGATCCCTCACTTCCAAAAGAAAACAGTGGTGCCTCCAGGAAACAGCAGAGGAGACGCTGGTGTCATCCAGCCAGCGGCAGGTGGGATGGGAGGCGTGACTATGTGCACTCCTGGTGTTTCCTCTGACGCTCCCAGTGCCCGGGGCTGAAACACCCACACGGCTGCTGCCCGCTGGCCCCCAGGTGCTGGCCTGGCTACAGAGGGTGAGGGCATTTCCACCCTGGAAGGAGCTCTGCTTCCTTCTTTAGGGAAGAGCTCTGCTTCCCTCCTTGTTTTATAGAAATTATGTAATTTTCTGTTCTGTGGAAATTATGTAATTTCCAGTGCTAAGAATAAGCGCAACCAGCAACCCCAAAAGTACAAAGAATAAAATAATTCTCTTCAATCTCATCTTCAGAAACAAGCATTTCCTCCATGACCATCACTCTAGGCTTCTGGACAAACTGGGAAAGGGACCAGCAGGTACAAATTCTCTGCAGGACAGGCTCCTAGTTACTATTTGTAAATGAAAGTATGACACTTAATCTTCATGGAATTTAGTGAGAGAGAGGAAAGCTAAAAAAAATTTTGAAATTCAGATGTGTTTCTTTGTAAGAGATGTATTTCTAAAAGATCTCACATTTAAAATACATTGGATTGTTTATGCTTTCATATGTAACTGTTTCAACTTTTGACATTTTCTGTCAATTCCCTGCTCTGGAATATGGGAAAATTAGCACCACCCGGACCCTTTTTTCTTAATATTTTTCTGATTTTATTATTAATTTTCCATGTTTGAGGTTTGTAACATTGACATCTTCTTCTTTAACCACAATCCCTCAGTTTTTTTTAAGTCTGAAAAACTTACTCTTAAATTTATATTTAATGGTTCAGAACTCACCACCACTACTTTTAAACCATAATTTTCCTTTTTTTTAAAGAAAATGATTTTGACTCATCCCTTATTGACTAAATTTTTCTTTTTCCAAGAAAAGCTCATGGATTTCTTGAATTATTGCCTACGTAGCGGCATCTGCTTTATGTCTTTTTACTTTATGTACAACTTGGCTAAGGTTGACACTTCAGGGTGACCCTTCCCCTGGGTACCTAGTGGTTGGACCTGAACTTCTACTAATATGATGAATTACCATGACTTTTTCTGATGTTAAGCCCACTTGATCATGAATTTTTTTAGGGTGCTGCTGAATTGAATTTGCTAAATTGTGTTAAGGATTTCTGTGTCTGAGCTTGTGAGGGCTGTCTTTCTCTAATTTTCTTTTCTTGAAGCATCTGTGATGATGTTGGGATCAGGGTAACATGGGCTTTGAATTGAGGATTCTTCTCTCCTCTACTAAGACACTTTATGTAGGGATTGGTATTTCTTGTTAAATTTTTGCCACAATTCACAAGTGAATATCTTGCCTGGAGTTTTCTTTCTGGGAAAGTTTTCAATTATGAATTCAATTTCCTTAATTGGCATAGAACATTTCTGGGGGGCAGGGGCTTGAAAATTTTATTTGGAGTCAGTTTTTGCAATGCATATCTTAAAAGGATTTTTTCCATTTTGTGTAAGTTGTAAAATGGCCTACGTTTGTTCATAGTATGTAACCTCTTTATCCTTTCAATGTCTGGAAAAGCTGGCTGATAGCCCTTTCTGTGGTTCATTTCCTGGGTCACTCTCACCAGGAGCCCACAGAGCAGCGCCAAGCCCACGCACCTCCCCCGTGGCCCTCGTGGCCCACCCCCGCCCCCAGCCTCAGTGTCTCTGCAGAGCCGACCTGAGCCTGGTGCTCACTCTGGCTGGACCCCAGTGTGGGCAGCAGCCCAGTCAGACCCCCACATGACTGCTGTCTGCAGGGCCCCTCTGCCCCTTCTGCATGGGGGTTTTGTTTTCAGGACACTTGCTGACACCACAGGGTCTCTCCTCTTTTTTCTGGCTGTTTTTTTTTTATATTTTCTGATTGTTTTATGCGGGGGTTGGTGGGGGGAGTTGACATGCTTTCTGGGTTTCTTGCCCCAAGGGCGAAACAGGGCAGAGGCTGCTTGTCATCAGCTGCTTCAGACACAGGGTGGTGCTGAGCAATGAACCATCTGCAAGGCTCATTAATATTTCACTGCTTTGCATCAGCCCAGTGCCCCAGCAGCATCGCTCGTGACTGAGTGGAGCTCTGTGTGGCTCGCTGATGCATCCTTAGCGTTTCAGGAGGGCCTGGCCCTGGCGCACTTGGTGTATGTGCTGGCGGCCTCCGAGGGCAGGCTCTGGGCAGCCCCTCCGGGGTGGGGATGGGCAGGCATGCAGCCTGGCCAAGCCGTCAGCCAGCCAGTCAAAGGCACTGGGATCCAGAGAGTTATCCCAGAACTTTCCATGGCTCAACCCACCTCTGTTCTCATAAAGTCTTCCTACACGGAGATGGAACAACATGATGGATGTAAAATTTTCCCTGAAAGAAGCTTGCCGTGATGGAGGTGGTACCAACAATTTAAACAGATGAACACATCAAAGAAAACAGCTAGGAGATGGAAACCAGTTTTATTTGGTGGGATCTTAAGTGTCTACACTTGCATACCTGGAGGTCTGTGTCCTGGGAAGGAGTGAGGGCCTGGGTCCTGCGGGCACTTTGGGGCAGGCCCAGCAGTGCAGGTGTCAGGTCAGTCCAGGTGTTCCGGGCTCCATCCCAAATGGTGTCTGTCCCTGGTGTCCCACGCACCCCATAGGCCCTCCCTTCTCCTTTTCGCACTTGTCTGGCCTCCAGACACCATCCACCCATCGCAGAAGTTCAAGGCAACACACTCCCTCCCTTAGGGCTGCTCCTTTTGGGCTTCTCTCTAATGCAAATATAGTTTATTTTTTATTTTTACAAAATAATTTCCCATCTAATCCAGCAGGGGTGTGATTTCACCTGAGATCTGAGAGCCTCCTTGGTGTTACTGAGCCCAGACTCAGGGAGGACTCACCGCCCCCTCTAGGGTAGAGCCCAGGTTTGGGGCCCCCAGCTACACCACTCTTATTACCATTTACTCCTGAGGATGCCCAGACGTTTCCAGTGGTTAGTTACAATTTGGTTCCCAGCCTAGAGACGTCCTGTATCAGCCATCAGTTTTATAAGGCTGCAAAAATTCTTCACTTTTCTCCATAAGTTTGACCTAGTTTTCCCATCAGGCATTTGACCAGCACCTGAGAAAGTCTAAGTGCTCAGGAAGGGAACCTGAGGGATGCAGATATGGACCTTCCTTCTCAGAGCTTTCGTCTCTCAGTTGCTTTTGACGCCTGGGGACAGGCATCCTTGTGGGGGTGGGTGGATGAAGTTTTGGATCCAGACAGGGCAGATGCCAGCTTGGCCGGAGGGCTGGCAGGGTTCACGTTTACGGAGAGTCTTCCCCCTGGAATCAGGACCGCTCAGCTCTGTGTGCATCTCTAGAGCACCTCTCACGACCAGGATGGGGAGGGTGTGTCCTTCAGTGTATTTATCCAACCATCTACCAAAGGGCACCTCGGCTGCTTCAGAAATTTTGGCAATTGTGAATAAAGCATCCAGATGGGCCTTCACCGGGGACCAGCTCACCAGCGCCCCCAGAGCCAGGGCCAGCCTCATGGCACTCTGCCTGGTTCTCCCTCTTCACTGGCCAGGAGGGCCACTACCCAGGTCCTTGAGGACACCCCTCTCAAAGATGTCTCCAGAGAACACATTCTAAGGGACACACGTCCATCATCCTCCCGGCAGGGCCTGGTGCTCATTTGTGGCTGAGGATGTGGCTGGTTATAGCCTGCTGACTCCTTCTTGTTGCCAGAGAAGCCAGCTGAATGGGGTGGTGACAGGCTGGGCTGGGGTCCCAGCCAGCCACCTCCTTCTCTGGGTGAGTTCCCCTCCAACACAGGCAGGACAGGGCCTTCTACATCTGTGTCCTCCCTCCTCCACACCCAAGGCTCTTTCTTGAACAATGGGACTTGTCTTCCATCCCTGCGTCCTTGACCTCTGTGCCTGTTAGAGAGAGTCCCTCTCCCCTCCCCCCTAAATGTGCTGTACGCTCTCTCCAGATCCCCCGCTGATGACTTTAAAAGAAAGAATTCACAACCAGGAACGTGCAGGCAGGCTGAGGAGGTCCCCGAGTGCTTGGAATTTATTGCTATGACGACAAGCATTTACCCTAAATGGGCCGGGAGGCTCCAGGCATTCACAGCTGAGGTGCAGGTCTACACTGATTTTCCAGAAGACACTGGGCATTGTTTGAACTTTGATATGTTTTAAAAGCTCTGTATTCACTGTAATGGTTTCCTCCTGGGAAGGTTATTTTTTACCAGTCATTTCTGCTTTTATTAATCCCCTTGAGCACACACATGAGAAAACCGACAATACAACCAACCCACCAGAAGTGGGTTCTTAGCTCTGGGCACACAGTACAGAAGAGTTGCTTCTCCTATTTCATGCAACAAGGCAGAAGGAAGAGTATTCTTAAAGTGACTTTGCAGGATGTGCTTTATTCTCAGTCAGTCCCGAACCCAAACTACAGAGGGTCAATTATTTGGGACATATTCTAGTCCACTCAATGATTCTTCTCAGAAACTGTCCTTTAATATGGAATGAAAACTACATGTCAATCATCAATTTTTCATGCTACATTGTTATTTCATGAAGACGTTGTATGACCCATAATAATAATTTAAGAAAAGGCCGTTTGTTTATTTCCCCAAGCTCAATATACATATTTCTTTCATAATTATGAACTTAAAAAAACCCGTCTCAGATGTAAAAATATGAATTGGAATATGTAAACTCGTTGAGAGACCTGAAAAACAGGGAAAAAAACGTCACATACTGGAAAAACCACTGCTGTGAGTCATGGAAACGGGAGGAAGCGTGGGGGTTGGGGGGGGCAGAGGGGAGCTCAGACCTCAGTCAGCAAAGGTTACAGCGTCCAAGGACCCCACCTCCACCGGGTGGCATCTCTGTCTGTCTCCCGGATTGGGGTTTCACAGGGAGCAGGAACTCTCTGGAACCAGAAGAGACACCAGCTGGGCCTCGGCAACACTGCGTCCATGTCTTTGTTTTGCTGCTTTTTTTTTTTCCTGAGAAGTCACTGGTGTTGAATGGAAAGATTTCGTATTACTCTTCAGTTAAGGTAAGGCAGTAAGTGTCACTAAGGTTATCTTTTTGCTTAGAATGAGGCTTATCCTTCCACTGGCATCACCATGGGTCACTGGCCCCTCCCTCTTTCCCCCTAGAAGCGTATGTAGGGGTTTCAGCCCCCACTCTGCTGCATATTTGGGGTGCAGTCCCCTGGCCCCTCCCCACAGCAGCATCCCCTTGGCAGCCGAGCGCCGGGCATGGCGTTGCGATGACCGGGTATCTCCAGGAGGGCACCGTCCACCCAGGAGAAGGTCTCTCCTTCCTCCTCCTGCTGTTCTGTCTCTGAGGACCAGACCTGTCAACAACTCCTCCACACAGTCAATCAGGACGCGAGGCACCGTGGACGGCCACAGGCGAGCAGCCCCGACTTCAGAGGAACGGAATTAACACGAAGGATGTTTCAACAGCGCCTTGGCTCGTAGCTCTGGGGGCAAAAGGGAGCCCAGCCCTTCTGCTCCCGTCAGCACAGAGACTGTTTCCGCCAAACTGGAAATGCTTAGCTCGCAGGACAAGATTGTGCTTTTCTTCTTTTCTTTGGAAAATCCCCACGTTAACTCGGCTCGCGGTCTGCGGCCAGGGTGTCAGTTTGTTTTCTCCCTGGTCCATTTGATCATGGTTTCTGGTGACCGGTACAGGAATATTAATTTGGCATAGAGATCCTCTTCCAGCTCCAGCTCCCCAGTCTCCCGGACTAAAAAAATGTCTGTGCACAACTTCAGAATCCGATCCACGTTGGGAAGTTCTTCAAACATGATGGAGTGAGAAATCCCGCTGAAGAATTCCCGGACAAACTTCCCGATCACCAGCACCACAGAAGCGTAGAGGCCCATGATACTAGGGGAAAAAAGATGAGGAAAAAGAGGTAGAAATAGTATCTAGCAGTTCAGTTCAGTTCAGTTACTCAGCTGTGTCCGACTCTTTAAATATGGTTAATAGAAACACACACATACACACGAGAAAACATAATAACACTTTCCCTCAAATGCCACAGAGGATGTGATAGACTTACCAAAGCTTAAATTATTCCACTTTGGTGAAAACATTGACTTTTTTGCTAATGAAAAAGGTGATGCATGTTTTCTCTCTCTCTCTCTTTTTTTAAAATTACACATTATAGAATTGTTGGACTTGAAAAATGAAAGTCCTTTGAAATCTCACCTTCTGGAAACAAGCAGTGTTAATAGTTTCACGTATGAACTTCTGGTGGTTTTACTGCATATGTTATATGCATAAGCTACATAGTGTGCATAAGTGCTCAGTTGTATCCAACTCGCTGAGACCCTATGGACTATAGCCCTCCAGGCTCCTCTGTCCATGGGATTCTCCAGGCAAGAATACTGGAGTGGGTTGCCATTTCCTTCTCCAGGGGATCTTCCCCACCAAGGGCTCGAACCAGTGTCTCTTGGCAGGCAGATTCTTTACCACTGAGCCAGCTGAGGAAGCTACATAATATATGTGGTAGAAATGCAATTGTATCATACACACTTTCTGTATCGAGAACTTTTCCCTGCCTTTCACAGAGATTTGTGTTTATAATAAAATTCCGAAGAGACAATGATTTTTTTAAGAGGCTCTTTCTAGGAAGTGGAAAACCTTAGTGTCCTGTCGGGGGTGCCTGTTAGAGGACTGAAGCATCAGAAGGTGGAGAAGTGGTAACATCAGGCACGTCCCAAACTGATTTCTGACTGACTCTCATCTGCTAAGGTCAGAAGGCAACATCAGCAGAAAAGAGAGAACTCAACCCCAATTTCTAGATTAAACCCCAAATTGCACCAAACTGTGTGGGAGCAGGAAGGAATAGTTAAAAAGCTGGAGACACGACAGATATGGCTTCAGGTCCTCTGTTTGGTAGAAGGACTACCCAAGGCATTTTTTACTTCTCTGGGACTCTGGTTCCTCATTTTTCAAAACAAAGTTCCCTGTGACAAACCATAATGGAAAAGAATATGAAAAAGAAATACATATACCTGTATAACTGAGTCAGTTTGCTATACAGTAGCTATTAACACAACACTGTAAATCAACTATACTTCAATAAAATTTTAAAAATATAATATGAAGAGCCAAGGATCTGTGAATTCTAATAATACAACTATAGAATCTGAGAATTCTAGGAAGATAAAAGACGTCCGTCCTCAGCTTGGTGCGGTGCAGAGGGGCTCTCTCATGACCGTTGATTGCGAAACGGCTTCTTACCCGTAGCCGGCCAGGAACCCCAGGCTGGGGGGGCTGACCTTGTCGTTGAAGACCACCAGCTCCAGGGCCTGCGCTTCCTGGTTGTAGATTCTGTTCCCAGTCAGGTTGAGAACCCACCACTCACTGTTCGAGTTAGTCGCATTGTCTCTGGACAAAATGATGGTGATGTTCATGAAATTATTTTCTGGAGAAGGAAAAACATGAAATCTGGTCAGCAGGAGTATTTAAGGATTTAATGCACTCAGCAGTTCCAGGATGGCACAAGATGGTTGGTACCCATGGCGCTGGGTCCCAGGATGAGTGCACAGGGGCATGTTGACTCTGGGAGGAAAAGGAGTGGTGGGCCTGGTGGGGGAGGGTCTCTCTTTTTCTCCAAGAGGCCAGTCCTGCTGCTACATGAGACGGCAACCACATCACAGGGAGAAGGGAACCCCATTACTGGAACACCTTTGCTGACAAGTCCCAACAACTAACTAGACATTTAAAAACCATAATAACTGACTTGTGATGGACTTGACAGACTCCTTCCTGTTAGCCCTGTTTATTGAGCATCTTCCAGGAAGAAGGTGCTCCAGGAGGTGCTCAGGGATCACCCAGTCACACACAGCCTGGTCCAGTGGGAAAGGCCACCTCCACAAGCACAGTTTATCGGCACGTGGCAACCACCACAGCGCCTGTACCAACAAGGCCTGTGAGCCTGGGGAGATCGCTTCTGGTCGGCTTCCCAGAAGAGGTGACCTCTGAGCTGAGTTTTGCTGGGTGAGAACGTTAATAGACGGAGCCCGACTACTGGCATTCAGTCACCCTTGAGCTGAATCACATCCATTTCCTGCCATCTTTTTATTGTTTTTATCAGGGGGCCTTTGGCATTAACACTGTAGGAGGCAATTTTCTGCCAAAGATGTGTTTGCTAATAGAAGCAAGTAAATAGGTTCTGATAAATCAGTTAACCTGTCACTCAGCATGGATTTCAGTCAATCAAGCTCTATATTGATGAAAGAAAGGAAGATGAACATGCCCTGGGTGGGTAAGTGATCCCTTCTTGCTGGTGGACACAGCCTGGAGCCGTAGGCGTCTTGTGAACCATGTCACATGAGAAAGAAACCTGGCCAAGGAGCTTGATAGAGGCTGAAAGGGCAAACTATAGACGTTGATTGAAAGAAAAGATTAAGAACAATTCTGAAGTGATTCCTTATTCTTACCAGATAAGAGCTGCTTTATGGGTTTGGAGTTAGAGTCACTGGGTGCTTTCACGTAGTATGGGTAAATCCTTTCTATGGTCCTGGGAATTAAGAAGGAAAAAAAAGAGGTAATTAAGTTCTAGCTGTTTTGCGTGCTCAGTTGCTTCAACCCCATGGACCATAACCCACCAGACACATCTGTCTATGGGATTTTCCAGGCAAGAATACTGGAGTGGGTTGCCATTTCCTTCTCCAGGGAATCTTCCCGACCCAGGAATCAAACCTACATCTCCTGAGTCTTCTGCACTGGCAGGCAGATTCTTTACCACTGCATCACCATGGATGATGATTTTTTTTTTTTTTTTTGCTACTTTCAACCTCATTTCAAACAAATAATGGTGAGAGTCTTCCTATAATTATGCAATGTTCAGTCATCATAGTGTATGTGTATTTTACATAATGTAAATACACGTAGTATCCATTAAAATCAAAAGTCTCCAAATCTGAATAAATTCACCAGATTCTAACCAGATGTTCAGGCCACCTTTGTACCAAGCTAGTTAATGGCTTAAAAATGGCTACACAGATTTTTCCACACCTGTGACTTTTCTGAAGCAAGGGGCTCTCTTTCTTGCTAAATCCACCCACTCTTCCAATTTTAATTTTCAGGATTTCAAAATTCCGTATAGTGGAATGGGCTGCTCCAGCTGATATGAGGATGCAGGTGTAGGGAACAGAGGACTGGAATCTGAGCCCTCAGCCCACGGCTGCTCCATCCCTCTAGGTTGCTTTCTCATCTGGGAAGTGATGGGGAGAGCCTGACGGTTCTCAGGGGCCCTTGGTGTTCAGTGTCTGACATGGGGTCCTTTCAGAATCATGTCTGAGGGTTGCATGGTGGTGGTTCTCACCCTCAGTGCTTTGACACGGGTTGGGGCAGACAAAGGGGGACAGACGGGATGGAGCTGGGCACTGGGCAGTTTGGGATCAGCAGCAGTTGTTTGCTCCTGCTGGCTCTCACATGAGACTCTAACATCACAGCTTAGGTGTTTGGAGTGCAGTGTTGTGTGGCAGGGGAATATATAAAGATACAACTTTTCCCCCTCAAATTTCCTTCTGCCCCCTTGCCTCCTCCTCACTCCCCTCCATTAGCCAGGCATTCAGTGCCCCAGAAACGGGGGTGATGGTAGAAAAGGGTCTCCAGGGGTCTCTCCTTGGTTTTTGGTGATTACGCCAGGTGGGAGCAAGGTCTGTCACCTAGAGAAGAGTTCAGTCCTCCCCAAACTTGCTGGCGGGAGGGAGTGGGTGGAGAGCAGGTGGGGCTTTGATGCAGCCCCTCCGGGGCTCTCAGCACAGGCTCACTCAAGTCACCCGAGTGAGCAGGTTGAGTTTCTTGCCCACCCATGTTTGTAGAGGAGACTCTGTACCAGACACACACGTCTACTGTCACTGTGTTAACAATGATGACCAACTCACACAGGTGTCCTGGAACTTTCTGTGTCACCGCCGGCTATCATTTTAGCAATATTCTCTCGTGTTGTGTTTTTAAGAGGGAAGGAAAGCTTATCTGTTGCTATTTCTGCTTTTGCACCCAGACTCATGTTTCTGTGAAAGAAAAAAGAAGAGGTGAAGGTCGGTGGTTAGTCACAAATCTGCAGGTGGGATTAAAACTCCTGAAATACTCCTCTCGCCAAGTTTCACTGGGTCCACAGTCGTCAACTCCCACCTCTCTGCTCACCTCAGCTGGGCATCCAGCCTCTCAGACAGCCAAGGAGGCTGCAAGCACCTTCAACACAGACCACAGGTGAGGAGGAAGAGTGTGGGGACCCAAAGAGACATGGACCTGAGCATCTAATAGGGCTCTGAGGCACTTTATATTAGCCCAGCGATGTTAGTCTCCATGAGGACTCCCAGAATCCAGACTTTAAACAGAATATTCACAATGAGATGTCACCTCACATCTATCAGAATGGCCATGATGGCCATCACTAAAGAGACAAGAGACAGCAAGTTTTGGTGAGGATGTGGGGAGAAGGGAACCCTTGTGCACTGTTGGTGGGAATGGAAACTGGTGTAGCCACTGTGGGAAACAGTTTGGTGATTCCTCAAAAAACTAAAAATAAAACTACTATAGGAGCAATCCCACTTCTGGGTATTTTTCCAAAGCAAATGAAAACACTAACTTGAAAACATATCTGCACCACCATGTTCACTGCAGCATTTACAATAGCCAAAACACAGAAACAATGCACGCGTCCAGATAAATGAATAAAGAAGATATGACGCATACACATGATGGAATATTATTCAGGAATAAAAAGAATGAAATCTTACTCTTTGTGACAACATAGATGAACCTTGATGGCATTAGGCTAAGTGAAATAAGTCAGATAAAGACAAATACTGTATAATCTCATTTGTATGTGGAATCTAGAAATAAAACCACAAAACCTGAACTCATAGATACAGAGAACGAATTGGTGGTTCCCAGAGGTGGTGGTGGTGGTGAATGAAATGGATTATTTCATTTCAGGAATGAAAGGAAGTTAAAGGGAATGAATTTTCAGTTATAACATAATTAAGTACTGGTTAGGTAATGAACAGCATGGTGACTATTTTTAATAAAACTCCACTGCATATTTGAAAGCTGCTAAGGCTGGATCTTAAAAGTTCTCATCACAGGAGAAAATGGTTGGTAACCATGTGGTGAGTGTTCATTAGACACTGTGGTGCCCATTTTGAAAAGTACATAAATATCAAATCACCATGTTGCTCCCTTGCAACTAGAACAATGCCACATGTCCATTATCTCAATTAAAAACAGAATGTTCAATCAGAAATTGGTTTTTAATTTTGGGGGGTGGCTCTTCAAAGGAAGGGCTAAGAAGTGCATTTTTGCCAACACTGAATTCCATGTGGGGAGTTTGGGACATTTAAAAGGAGAAAATAAGATTAAAGAAGGAGGTCTTTAAAGTCTCAGCAGCCCTTTCCAAAATCCTTCTTTACTATTTCCCTCTGAATTCAGATTCCAGGCTTTGTTCTTTACCTATCATGGTTCTCTCTTAATTCCAGCCAAGAAGCTAGTATTGTGCACCCAACAAGCCTACCCCACACCTGCCTGGAGTCCTGAGAGAAACAAAGCTCATCAGCCAAGGTGCTGGGTCAGGCCCCCAAGCAGCCCCATGGACACCTTGGGCTTTGGATGTGAGAACTTTTCCTGAGATAAGTGATGTGGTGGCCACAGGCTGGCCAGAGGTTCATGTTGAGGGGGGAGGGTAGGAATACCCCTGCTCTTCTGCTCTGGACCTGCCCAAGGGGCTCCCCCAGCTCAGGCTAGGAGGAAACAGCCACAGGGGCTGCCCAGTGCTCGGGGCGGCAAGGGAGACTCGGGGTTCCAGGGGCTACAGGTCCTGTGTTATGAGACCAAACCCCAGGCTCAGGGAAATCTCATGCTTCACCCGACTCGGTTTCATTTTATGAGTCATGACTCTATTTATTTTCTCTCCACCTCTCTCTTTTGCTCACAGACCTCACTGTCAGCTTCTTTAGAGCTAAAGTTAGTAGAAACAGGAAAACTGAGATGTTCTCGCTGGGTCAATAAGTCTCAGGCAAATCACTGTTTAATAACACACAAAAACATTAGCTATGGCATTGAATGGATGTTACCCAAGAAGTAACATGAACCCAGATCCACATTAATCTGAGGTTTCTAACCTCCCACGTGCCTCCCACCCCACCCCCACCCCAAGTTCAGGTTGGGGAAAAGGGGGAAATTATGCACGGAAATCCAGTAACTACCTCTGAATACTCCATGAAAAAACAACAGAGAAGCTACTATTGGGGTCCTTGAGTTCGTGTATCATTTTCTGCTTACTGGGAGGGCTGATGGTCCATAAAGAATTTGAGTTTCCTTCCAGTTCTGCAACTGTTATGTCTTCTTTTTCATAATTTTCCAGAAATTGCATAGCACCCTGTATGCACACAAACACAGCTGCATAAATAGACCACACCCCCGAGGACATGCAAGAAGGTGACTACCCTTCCCTCTATCTGGCTTTGCAGAGGGATTTTCGTCCCAATGGGGTGCCTAGTGTATTCTGGTGCTAAGAACTCCAGTCACATCACCAGACCCCAGTGGTGGTGCTGCTACTCCCATGGGCATGGGTGCTGGGTCAATTCAGTCGTGCCCAACTCTGCGATCCTATGGACTGTAGCCCGCCAGCCCCCTCTGTCCATGGATTCTCCAGGCAAGACTACTGGAGTGGATTGCCATGCTCTCCTCCAGGGGATCTTCCTGATCCAGTGATTGAACCCATGTCTCTTACATGTCCTGCATTGTTGTGGGGCAGGGGGGAGGTTCTTTACCACTAGTGCCACCTGGGAAGGCCCCCTCCCCACAAGGCCATGAAATCACTCCAATCAAACAGTACAGAAAAATCAGATGATTTAGTGTCATATTTCCCTTCCCACTAAAAAAAGAAATGTATCAACTATTGGGGAACATCCCTCTCATAAGAGAGAAAAATTTAATCCACCCTGGACATCTGGGCCCTTCCTCACAGCTATGTATTCCTCAAGACTAGTGCTGACAGTGGGCATTACAGGGCAATCATTTTACAATGGGGAAAAGCATCTGTTTGCCTAATCACTGTACTTAAATGAAAAGTATCATTTGTAAAGCTGATTTCAACCATGAAGAGTCATGCTGTCATATTATTAAAAGCATGGAATGCAGAGAGAAGGATGACATCAGCCACAATTCTACCACCAGAACTTGATTCCCGTTCTATACAGTTGAGGATGCGTGTCTTAATTTTTAAAATCAATTTTAAAATAATGGCATCCTTTTAAATCTCTTTCATTTTGAGAAATTTTCATGCCATGAAATCATATTCGTAATTATCATCTTAATAGAAAGGAATTTTCTTGGAAAATCTGCCGTAATTGATTCATTCAGTCCTACTTGTTGAATCCCCAAGCTGCCTAGTTCTTATGAATGTGGAGGATGTTGTCACAAGCAGGCACCTGCCTGGGGCTTCTCCCATATTCTGAATGACTTCCTTAGGATAGACTCCTGCAGGAGACCTCTCAGTCAAAGGGATCAATATCTACCACGATTTAAAAACTTTAGAGATTTTAAAAGGATCAGCACCTGTTGTGCTTAACATGAAGATTCTCTGAATTAGAATTATGTTTATTATCACTTATGTCTAATAATACAGACACAACATCTTAGATGATCAAAGTGGCCAGTGGCCAGGAACCTGCAGTGTAACAACTGATCATCCCTAGGAAGTCCTCCCCTCCAGCTCAGGTCGTGGCCAAGTGGTGAGAAAGGTGACGACAGTCAGCTGGCCAAGGTGACAGCTGTTCACAGAGACCAACTCCATGCATCTACTTACAGTGTCCTTAGAAAAAGTTTTAATGAATTTACTAAACATTGGCTGGTCCATAACTTTCAGCTGGCTTTGCTGGGCACTCATTGTGAAAATAGGCTGGAAAACAAAGACACATGGGACAGTTAATATTTGAAATTCCTTCTGTGCATCCTGGGTTCTGAGAACAATATTAGACCGTGTATTATCCACAGCCAGTGCAGAGCTCTCTCTTCCCTGTCTCCTGCACCTTAGCTCACATATTTGCAGAACTGTCAATATTCAGACAGGAGATGGGGGTCCACCGAACCTCAGTAAGTCATCCAGGTGGTGGTCAGGGAGAGGGCCGTGCTATGTAAAGACCCACAGAGGGGCGGGGGATTGAAGACCCAGAGCGGGGCATGGTTACCTGGTACCCGCCCAGGGTAATTGTGACTGAGACATCCAGGGGCTGGTTGATGACCCCGGCGACAGATTTGACCAGAGACATGAAGAGCAGCGGGAACCAGACGATGCAGATGAGCAGCACGATGATCATGCCCCCCATCCCGTACTTGACCACCTTCTTCTTCTTCTGCCCCCGGGGCTGCGGGTACCTCTGCAACGGGAGGGTGGCACACTCAGGTGGTGTCCCCAGGAAGGGCGGGCACTATGACCACAAAGTCTGCCCAGGACTGAGTCCTGAATCTGTTCAGAATGCATCCAGACCCAGCCCTGGAACAAGGGAGGCAGTGATGCTGGGCTGTGAGGAGCCTGCTCTGTGACCCCAACAGGGTCCATTGGGGCCTGAGTGGCATTTTCCTTAAAAGGATTCTGTGGGTTTGCTGGAGGCAGACCTGTGGACCAAGGGACCAAAGCTTCTGCTGAATAAACCTCTGGTTTTAAAGGATCAGGTGGGAGAAAGACATTTTACTTTAAATTCCTGAATATTCGAAACTGCCTTTCAAGGGGCTCCTCCCCTCCCTTGGCAGGTGGAAAACATTTTAACTTCGTTCCCTTGGCGGGTGGAAAACATTTTAACTTCATTCGTGACACATGTTGTCAGGACCACACTGTCCAAGCTGGAATCACCTCCATTTGCTGCATCAAGGGCTCCCCAGCCCAGAGCTCAGCCTGCAGGCAAGTGGAGGGCTCAGCTCCGCCATGTGTCGTGGAGGCTGCTCGGGTCTACACGCCTATTCCATACTTAGATGCTGCTTCTACAGGACCTGTGTTCTTTAAGGGGTACTCTAGAGGCTGGACTACATACGTATGATAAACTTTTGAAAAATTCCTTGAATAATCATGCCATTGTTCAGTTGCTAAGTCATGTCCGATTCTTTGCGACCCCCATGGACTGCAGCACATCAGGCTTCCCTGTCCTTCACCATCTCCCAGAGTTTGCCCAAGTTCATGTCCACTGAGTTGATGATGCCATCCAACCATCTCATCCTCTGCTGCCCTCTTCACTTTCTGCCTTCAGTCTTTCCCAGCATCAGGGTCTTTTCCAGTGAGTCGGCTGTTTGCATCATGGCCAAAGTATTGGAGCTTCAGCTTCAGCATCAGTCCTTCCAGTGAGTATTCAGGGCTGATTTCCTTTAGGACTGATGGAATCATGATTCCATCCACATCTAAACCTTAATATCCAACCTAGTAGAATAAGCAGATATTTTCACTTTAATTTCCTTTGCACAAAGAGGTTGCCTCCTCTGTCCCTCATCGAAGAGTGACTCAGGGTGAACCTGAGTCTCAGTCACCTGGACCACTTTCCTCCAGCACATCTCACCCCCTCCTGCTCCCAGATGAGCCATTTTAGACTGACTGTGTGGTCTAGCACCATGTCACCTCTTCTCACAACAACCACAACAAGCATCTGCCAGAAGAATCATCTGGAGGCTCTTCTCACTATGGCAGCGGCAGGTCCAGATTCCTAACTCCAGCAGGGTGAAGTCAACGGGGCATTCATAGGTCCTGGTGGGTTCTGCCTCATTTACTGGGCCACAAAACTTGCAGAAGGTCCTATCAATCTTATAACTGGCCTGTATCTAAAAAACACAAATACGGCTAAGGCACTGCTATTGGCTTACTTTTTCCGACTCCCGCCAACACTTGAGGATGAAGATGTGAGCATAGATGTCCTCCACACAGATCCAGCTGGACAGGCTCAGGGTCGTGTCTGTCCACACCCAGTCCATCACAGCCCTCAGCTCCGTCAGGAAAGGGACAAGGCGGAACCTGCAGAAACCAAGTCTTGTTAGAAGGATAGCTATGGGCTGGCCCCATCACCCGACAGTCTTGCAGGATCCTGGAGGTCTGGACTGTCAGCCCTGACAACTCAGAAAAATTCTCAAGGTCACTGTTACTATAAAAATTCAACATGGAATACAACTGCTTTTCATTATCACTTTGTGTTAAGAAATGGTATTTGCCTTTCCTTTTTTTCTGGCTGATGGTCTTAAAAAACTGGAATTCCTTTTATAAATACATTTGAAAGTGTCTTCAATTTCTTTCATTAAGTCTTATAGTTTTCTTTGTAATAATCTTTAACTTCTTCGGCTAAATTTATCTTGAAGTATTTTATTATTTTTGATCCTCTTGTGAATGGGAGTGTGCTGTTTGCTCAGCTGCTCAGTCGTGTCTGACTCTTTGCGATCCTATGGACTGAAGCTCGCCAGGTTCCTCTGTCCATGGGATTCTCCAGGCACAAATACTGGAGTGGGTTGCCCTGCACTCCTCCAGGGGATCTTCCCAACCCAGGGATCGAACCCATGTCTCTTACATCTCCCACACTATGGGGCGAGTTCTTTACCACTAGAGCCACTTGGGAAGGCTCCCCTCCCCCCATGGCCACAGAATCACTCCCATCCCTGGCGGCTCAGATGGTAAAGAATCTGCCTCCCACTGCACCTCCCCATACCCCTACTGCCCCCGGGTCCCCCACATCCTGTGCATGGCCAGGATGGCACCGAGCCCCTCACCCCTGGAACAGGAAGAGGTTGACGTAGTTGTAACTCTTGGTGAGGAAGTTGCCGAGGACCCGAGTAGGGTAGCCGCAGCGGATCTGGTAGGCAGACAGCCCAAAGTACACGCATTTGACGAAATACCACAGCTGCGCGACCAGGTTCTGGCTGAACTTCCTGGGAGAGAAAACAGAAAAGTGCAGGGTGGGATGCTCTTACGGTACAGAAGGACACCAGTTTAGGGTGAGAGAAAAGCCTAATCGTCCCTCTGGCTTCTAAAGGCAGGTCCTTATCACAGACGTCTCAGCCGCATCTGGTTGGCAGGAGTCATTCCTAAGCTAATGATATCCTCCAAAGCTGGGAGGGCAGTGTGGTCACCCGAAGAATGCCTCCAGATCCCACCCAAAGATGGGCATGTCCTCACCCGCAGAACCTGGGGACATGTGACATTCCTCGGCCAAGAGGACTTGACAGACATGCTAGGGTTGGGGACCTGGAGGTCGGGAAGAAGAGTTGCTGCCCGGGGGCCCCACGAGCAGGCCTTAGCCGGACAGCCTTGCTTGGCTGTGGGCAGGAGCAGATGCGGCAGGGAAGAGATGCAGGGCTGGGAGAAGGAGGAGGAGACCCCAGGCATCTCTGAAGCTGAAAGAGGTCAAGAGATGGATTCTCTGGGGACTCTCCAGAAAGGACTGCCGCTCCGCCCACATCGTAATTTCAGTCCAGTGAGGCCTGGGTCTGCCCCCTGGCCTGCAGAGCTGTAAGACAATGCACTTGCATTGTGTTAAACCCTGACTTGCAGTGGTACTGATTAACTCCTACCCTCTCCTTCCCTATGGGCTTATCCTTACAAAACATTTCCTTCCCCGACGGGTTGCAGGAAAATGGCCCCACAGCTCCAGTTTCCAAGGCCTCACCTCTCGGTCACGCCAGGCAGGATGAAGAACATCCAGAAGTGAATCCCAAACACCAGGATGACCTGGAAGATGACCTTTCCCAGGACGGTCTTCCTGAGGTAGAGTGCCCTATCCACCACCATGGTCCCGAACTGAATGAGCACCATCACCAGGAAGGGCCCCGGCACCTGGTCCTCGGACAGCGAGGACGTGATGTCGGCTGCGGCCGAGTGTTTCTGGGGAGGAGATCGTAGGTTCAGGCCTGGATGCACCCGCAGGACAGCATCGCTCATCCCCGGGGTGTGGTGGCCTCGGTCCCCCACCTACCCCGAAGGCCCAGAAGCCGAAGACAATGATGACAAAGTCCACGGTGTCCGCCAGGAACATAAGCACGTACACATCGGTGACAGCGCTGTAGTCAGGGTGGATGAGGTCATAGAAGAACTGCCTGATGGGCACATAGAGCTGCAGGGTCCTATGGGACAGACAGCCAGTGTGGGGTGGGTGGAAATGCAGGACCCGCCAGAGACCCCATCATTCCGCCCTCTGCTGCTCTCCTCCACAGCTCCCCCTCCCCTGCTCCAGCCTCAGGATACTCCGCTGGGGGCAGGGGCCCCTGCTCTGACACAGACTCTGAGCAAGTTCATGGCTTCTCTCCTGAAGCATAACAGACTGGTAGCCCCAGAAACGAGGGGCTGGTTTGTGCCCTGACTCAGTTACTCTCCACCTGTGAGACTTGGATCCTGCTCTGAGCCCTGTGTACTTTCATCTCCTCTTCTGTAGAAGGTGTAAGGAGACCTGAGGGCCTGGACGGTGGTGAGAATGACAGGACCTCCTGGTCTTGCTGGGCCCCGGTAGATGCTGGGAGCCCTGCTCCTCCCCTTTCTGCCCTCGTCCCTGGGACCAGGCATCATCCTGGGCTCTGGGGCTCAGCTTCCTCCATCCCTGTGCCTCCACTCTGGCTGTCTGCCCAGCCTCTGCCCCTCCTCTTCATTGTTCACAATTCAAGACTGTGTCCAGGTGAGCACGGCCCTCGGTCTCAGAGCTCAGGCTCAGGGCCAGCCTTGAGGCACCGGCCCTGTTTTCACTCCCGTCTGCTGCCGGTCTGCCTCCCTGATACCTGGGGAGGGGGCCCTGTGACCTTGGCTGGTGACTTTGGGCTGCATGAGGGACGAACCACTTCTTAAGAGCACCTCGGCTTCCCTCTACAGGGTGAGCATATCTCTGAGAACCTTCTGACTTCACTGCCTGTCTGGTTGGACTCATTCGTGTGCCTGGAATTATACACCGTGAGCTAGTGTGTTTAGAAGTGCAATGGATATAAAAATGAATCATCCTATTGGAAAGTGATTTTTGAATGCAATATCACGGCAGGGCATTTTGTTCTGCCCAAAGCCAATGACACTTTTGATGGGACAGGTCACTTCTCAAGCATGTCACCTGTGGCTGATGCTGAGGAAGTCTTCCCAGCCCCCAGGTATCCTCACGCACTCACTCACTTCTTTATGGTAAAGGCTTTTGCTTTGATCAAGTGTTCTTGCAGCTTCTCCATGTAAAGTTCCCGTCTGCTCTTCTGCTTGATGCTCACGACGCTGCTTCCTTTCTGGCTGCTGTTCCGGGTGCTCGTGCTGCCTGGAGACAAGAAGGAATCGAGACGCGCCGTGAGCTGTGCGTCTGTTGCCGTAACTATCGTAGAAGCCCGCCACCCCCACGGCAGAGGGACAGTTGGAAGCTGGTTAGAGGGCGGGATGCACACGCGTCTGTAAGAACAGCGGCGGGGAACTTGGGATCTGCAGCCCCCACTCTGGTTCCAGAGCCAAAGGCATCCGTGGGCTTTTACACTCACTGCTGGCTCCTTCCTGGGTGGCTGTGGGACCTCTGTCCCAGAAAGAATTAGACTGTAGAGCAGTTTTTCTCCTGCTCGATGGGGTCCCAGGTTTTGGTTGTGGGTTTTCTAGTCTGGGTCCAGGACCATGCCTTTTTTCAGGACCAAATTTCTCTAACTGTAAAACCAATATGAGACGGCCTGCCAGTGTTGGCCAGAAAAAAGATGAATACAGAGGGTCTGGACAGCTTCAGACAGGAGCGCTGTCAACACAGAAGCACAGTTACCCCAAGAGGGGCGACCGTAATGCACGTGTACTTTCCTGTCACTGGCTGTTTAGTAAGAAATTAGTAACTAGCCTAGGAATTAACTAGGTGGTTTGGCTTAAAGCTCCTATTGATTAAATCTAAGTGTACTTTCAAAATAAATCATGATGTACAGCACTCTGGGCACACCTGGCAGAATCTCTGGGTATGACTGACAACTCCCCTGTGTCTGACACTCACTAGGTACAAGGCAGCGTGCGGGTCACTTTTCACCGACACCTGAAATCTTTGTCCTAGGTGGGGGTTGGGGAATTCAGACAGACACCCTAGACAGGGATGTGAGCACCCCAGGCCACACACACAGCTCAGCCAGGATTTGAACTTTGTCTGGTTACAAAGTACATTCATTTCACATCACAGTATCTGCTGCCTTTACAGCGCCCAGCTCCCTTGCCCCTGACCCCCTGGCACCAGGGAGTAACTCTGCTCACGATCCCTTACAGTGACACTGCGCAGCAATACCTCTCTTGGACCTATTCGAGGAAAAGCTGGATCCCTGTGATGTCTGGGAGCCGCTGCTGGAGCGCTTCCTCCGGACGGCGGCCGGCTGCTCAGGAAAGGTCACATGCACCGACTCCACAGACGCAGCCAGGTTGATGGACTTGAGCGAGTCGGAGGAGGCCCTCCTGCCGTGGCCGAGGGACAGCTCATCATCCGAGTCCACTTTGTCCGAGCCACTGTCCACGATGTCGTCTTCGTCCCAGAGGCCATGACACTGAGGAGGCAGGAAAGGGACAGCTTAGCCCGCTGTCCAGACAGAGGATGGGACTCGGCCCCGTGACATCCAGGCCACCAGCGTGTACCTCAGGATAGGAAACCACACATCAAACAGGGCGAATGCAGCCAGCAACACTGCTTGACAGTGAAGACTGCTAGGAGAGCACAACCTAAGTGTTCCCACCAAATGCCGACCAACAGGCAGGTGAGGAAGTGGTGGATGTGTTAACTAACCAGACGGGGGTCCTTTCACCATATATACACTTAGCAAATCACCATATATACACTTCTGATACCTTACAATTTCACTGGCCAATTATATATCAACAAAGGATCCTTTAGTTAAAGCTATGGTTTTTCCAGTAGTCATGTACGGATGTAAGAAGGCTGAGTGTCAAAGAATTGACACTTTCAAACTGTGTTGCTGGAAAAGACTCTTGAGGGTTCCTTGGACAGCAAGGAGATCAAACCAGTCAATCCTAAAGGAAATCAATTCTGAATATTCATCAGAAGGATTGATGCTGAATCTGAAACTCTAATACTTTGGTCACCTGATGGGAAAAGCCGACTCATTAGAAAAGACCCTGATGCTGGGAAAGATTGAGGGCAAGAAGAGAAGAAGGTGACAGATGAGATGGTTCGATGCCATCACTGACTCAATGGACATGAATCTGAGCAAACTCCAGGAGACAGTGAAGGACAGGGGAGCCTGGTGTGCTGTAGTCCACTGGGTCACAAAGAGTTGGACATGACTTAGCAACTGAGCAACAATACAGCAACAAAGCTGAAATTTAAAAAAAAAGATCAGAAAACCAAAGCAAGGTCAGGGATCCTAAGAAAGCTTATTATCTACCTATATGTACTTTTGCAAACTCAACACACCCCAGTGACTCAGGAAAGACCCCCTCAAGTGGAGGGTTAGGGACTGGCAATTTGCAAGGTGACAGAAGGCAGAGTGAAGATCTTGGCCACAGTCCACATAGTTAAAAGCCTGTGTGAAACAGCCTACCAAGTAGGATAGAGGTCGAACACACATTTACATGTATGTGTGTGTTGCAGCCTGGTAGAGCAGAAACCAGAACCTGTCCCATGACTCGAGGGTGTGGCAAACTGCGCCCTTGTGATTGTCCTGGTAAACATGCTAAATGGACGTCCTTGGGGTGGGATGTGCTCTCTGCTCCGCTACACTGCCTACCCCTTCATCCGTGCCCATGAAAACAAAACAAGATGTTCCTGATCAACAGCAGAGCCTTCGCTAATCAAACTCCCCAGTATAGCTATTCCCTAATGATCTCATGTGACTTTTGCCAATAAAAGTGCGGGCTGAAAGGAGCAAGAGGGCCCCCTGACTCCCCGCTTGCCAAAATATGTATGTGTCTGTCTTTTCATTACACGCTCACCCCCATTTCAGGTCTTTCTCACCCGCTGTGCTGGACGTGGCACATGTGTGCCTAACTTAGGCCAAACTTGTTCTGAAAAGGAACTATCAAAGATACTACTTGATAAAATGAATGTAAGATATGTTATATCAATACAAGGAGACACAGTTAAAACAAGAGAAGGAAAGTGAGATTCTGACCATAGGCACATCAGTACATCCAAGGTGTGCTGTGTGACAATCTCTAACGTGTAGACTTGAGTGGCGTATCACAAGTTCAGCTTATATTTCACAGTGTCTGAGACGAGAAACTCCACAGGTGCTCAGCAGGATGACAGGAGGTACAGATCCCAAGAAGGTTACCGTGCACACCCGTCTTCCCAGAGCAATGCAGACATGGCTTTCTCAGAAGTGACCTCTCTGGGAGCACAACTTTGGATCCCCAGGCCCATGGATTGGACAGTGTCTCACTAAACCAATGGTTTCAGAGCAAAAAACCATGAGAAAAGCAATGCTCCTAAAAGGGGGTGGGCTAAGGTTGGGCTGGAGAGGAGACCCCAAATTCTAGCTTCCCAATGATCTGCCTTCAACTCAGGCACAATTTGATGGATCCAGCAGTAAGAACCACAGACCCTTTGGGCAATTCCCACAAACACGGGATAATCATGGTGCCTTCATCCCAGGGTGGGCTTCCCAGGTGGCGTTACTGGTAGAGAACCTGCCTGCCAATATGGAGATATAAGAGGTGTGGGTTCTTGGGTCAGGAAGATCCCCTGGAGGAGGGACTGGCAACCCACTGCAGTATTCTTGCCTGGAGAATCCCATGGACAGAGGAGCCTGGTGGGTTATAGGCCATAGGGTTGCAAAGAGTCTGACATGACTAAAGCAACTTAGCATGCACGCATGCATCCCAGAGTAGAAATGGGGGAAATTTCCCCCAACGGATCACAAACTCCATTATTGAGTACACAGTGTTGAGAAAATGAATGAAATGAACAAAACTGTTAACAAAGAAAACAAGAGCACACAGATAGACCTCACCCATGGCCCCCTAGCCCCTCATGATCCCAGCACCGGGTGCTCAGAAACATCCCAGAGGTAGTGGATGGGCAGTACCTTTAGGATGGAGCGGTGGAAGAAGAGTGCCAGCAGCTGGATGAGGTCGTAGAGCACGTAGGCGTCCTTCTTCTCCACCCCAATGATGTTGGGCGGGTGGTAAGGCTTGTCCTTGTTCAGTTCCACATTCTTATTCCAGGGGAAGAACCCAAACTGGAAGAAGTACTTGACCACAATGGCCACCTGCACAGATGTGAGAAATTAGAATAAATGACGCCCTTTAAGAGTAGCTCTAGATGAGGAACAGTGATACAAAAATTAAGGGAAAAAGTCTAGTTTTGGTGCTGGGAATGCACACAGCATGTGGAATAACGAATTTTCTTTCCACAGATACTGACTTCAGGACAAGCCCTGAACCACACCTCCAGGGCCTGTGACCACAGACACATCGGGGCCATGGAGGTTACTCCTGACTTGGCTCAAATGACTTCTGCTATTGTCAGGGAATGGGCTAGTTTCTGGGCTTCCCAAGTGGCACCAGTGATAAAGAACCCACTTGTCAATGCAGGAGAAATAAGAGATGTGGGTTTGATCCCTGGGTCAGGAAGGTCCCTTGGAGAAGGGATTGGCAACCCATTTCAGTATTCTTGCCTGGAGAATTCCATGGACAGAGGAGCCTAGAGGGTTACAGTCCATAATGTCTCAAAGTCAGACATGACTGAAGTGACTTAGCATGCATGCAAGGGCTAGTTTGTGCTGATTCAATTAGATACTTATACAAATATTCAGCTATTAAATGAGGTCATTAGGACAAATGTGAACAGCAGGATCTTTATTCTGCAAGTACGGCTTTAGTTTGTAATCTTTAGGAGAAAACTGCACAGATACTATAGACAATTTTCACTTTATTCTGCACTCTTTCCTCTCAGCATTTTATTGCTCACTGGAAGTTCTCCTCAAGAAGAAATAAAAGCGAATGAAACAAAACCTTGCCAGCCCAGGGTGTAAATGTGGAGATGTTTGTAGAGACTGACGCTGAAACACTCCTCCAATGTCTACATCATCAGGATTAATTGCATCCAACTGTGTTTCAAGTGCTTACTGTGTTGTTTGATCCAATGTCCACTCACTGACCATGCACCAGCCCTGGCACCATGCTCGTGTCTGCCTCATACTTACCGTCTTGCTGGTCAATATCACAGGGCAGACACCAGATCTCAAAAGCCTCCCCTACCACTCACCAGCTGGGTAAAGTGAAAGTGTTAATCGCTCAGCTGTGTCTGACTCTTTGCAACCCCATGGACTGTGGCCCCCCCAGTCTCCTCTGTCCATGAGATTCTCCAGGCAAGAAAACTGGAGTGGGTAGCCATTTCCTTCTCCAGGCAATCTTCCCCAGCCAGGGATCAAACCTGGGTCTCGTGCATTGCAGGCAGATTCTTGACTGTCTGAGCCATCACAGAAGCCCATCTTGGGCCAATTATTTAATCTCATAAAGGCTGTTCCTTATTCCTTTTTTACAGAACGATATTAGCTTCTATGTTGTGTGACATGTGAGATGTGAAAAGACAACTATAGTTCTCAGCACCAACAACTGCTGGTTATAATCACGTGCTGACCTAAGACGATCCCTCTAACTGACTATGTGAAGCAGGGGTCAGGCAGGTCCACTGGAGGGACGCCTACCTCCGTGTAGACAATGGCCATCATCCAGAAGCGCCTGCTGGGCCGGGGGACAGACAGCATGGCCCAGAGGAAGATGAGGATAGGCAGCACGAGGGTGATCATGGAGGCGGAGACCATGTGGTTAAGGATGATGACAAAGTAGCACACCATCTCGGAGCGGGCCACCAGCGTGTTGTACAGCGCGTAGAAGAGCAGCAGGAAGCGCGGCTGCCCCACGTAGAACTTCTCCGACTCCTCCAGCTCGTCGTCATGGAACATCCTGCCAGAATGCTGGCCTCAGCTCCTCCCGGGCACTGATTCCACGCGGTGAGACCCCGCCCACCCCTCCCTGCTGCCTGGGTCCCCAGGCGTCCTGTGCTGTCAACCTCCTGTCGTGTTACAGAGAGAGAGGTGAGCATGCATGTGGTTCTAAATGCCTGGGGGGACCTTTTCCACATGGTCTCTGCACCCAGCAGCCCAGTGGACACTAAGGGTCACTCCCAGCTCCATCGCTGTGGCCACAGCTCTTACTTGTTCAGCAGCAGCTCGCTGGCTGTCAGCTCGTGGGTCAGGGGTGGCAGGATGCTGGCCTCCAGCCGGTCTGAGCGGCTGTCATCTGGGCTGACCTCCATGTGGGTCTGGCCGGCCGAGTCATCCCGGGAGTCGAAGGACAGGCGCTCAAAGCTGACAGCCTTGCTGTACGATGGTGGGGCCTCCACATCGCCATCCTCCGTGGGGTCCTGTGGGGACTCGGCCTCCTGGACCCCCTCGGGCACCTCCTCGTCCTGCTCAGCCTCCACTTCCTCGATGGTCTCCGTGGTCCCCTGGCGCGAGTACAGCATCGTGCACTGCGTGGGCTCGCTGTCAGGAGACACGGAGGGTGCCACCTGGCCTCAGCAACTCCCCCAGCCTCCCGCGGCACCCACGGCCATGCACCCAGGCACGTGGGTGGGGGGATGCCTCCACACTTCCCACATTCCATCTGCTTTGTTCCTTCTGGATAATCATGTCTGGGTGCAGAGATGGGGGAAGGGTGCTGGGCGGCAGGTCCTGGGGTGCCAAACCCTCCTGTGTGTAGCTTTTCAGTCCCATCAATGTTCCTAGGCACAGGGCCCACTGTTTATTTCCAGTCAAGACACAGTGAGCACAGCGCACCTCCCAGAGCACAGATTGTAAAGAAAGGTGCCCAGGGAAAGGAGATGTCTCAGCTGGCTGGGTCCATAGGTCTTGGCCAAGATGCACTCTACTCTCAACAGAACCCAGACCCTTAAGGGGAGGCCCGGAATGGTGGACCATTGGCAAGATAAAGCCTGCTTCGTCCTTTATGCTGGCTCCTCCCTGCACTTCCATCCTGTGCCTTTTCTCACTGGTGCCTCTGACACCTGACTGGACGCTCACCATCATCCTTTTCCCGACTCCCCACCACCTGGCACGTGGAAGCCCCATCCACCACTCTCTGACCCAGGGTCTCTCCTGGGGCTGCACCCACCCTCCCCTCTGACTGCCCTCCTGCTCTCTCCTCCCAATGGCTTTGCGCTGCCAGCTCCTCTTCCAGCTTCATTTTCCAGGCGCCCCTCTTCCCTGGTCTTCACTCTACTTCTGTGCCCTGTCTTCCCTTTGGCATCTCTCCTCTCCTTCTTCTAACTCTCCCTGATGGGTTCATGCAAGAAACACTGGACATGAAAGTACAGCAGCCACAGCCGTGAGATCAAGGCCTGCCAGCTATGCTGCGTACCTCAACACACCCGGCCCCGAAGAGAGGAGGGGAAAGTCACCTGGAGATGCTGGGTGTACAGGGTGTGCAGTGATCATCTGTTAGGCTCTGAGACGGTGCTGCTCCCCAAATGGCATGTGTGAGCAGCAGGGGTCATATCACTGAGATGCTCAAAGGTGCAGACTGTACCCATTTCTCTTGTCATGGACACTGGTGCACCCATGTGAATGAATGAATGCATCTGGCTGAGCCCTGAGGCTAAAGAGCCAGACTTGCATGAGCTCTTGTTCCTAATTCGGGGGTGTTCAGGGCCCCAGGGCTTTGGCCCTACATGTGCCTACAGCACATTAGGCTCTCAGAATGCCAAGACAACGGCTTTTGGCTAAGACTTACCTGGATTAGACATGGCCATGAAACTGACTGGTCACCCAGTTTTCAGACCACTGGAGCCAGTCCCACAACAGGTTCTAACTTCCAGAGGGACCATAACCTATCACAGGCATGCTCTGTATGGGTTTTGATGAGGTCTTGCCCCAAAGGGATTCAGGTAAATCCTGGTACGTTCAGGAATCAGCAGATTGGAATGGCATAGCATGTGCCCACCAGAGGACATCTTAAATGGCCGTGGCATTCCCTGAAACACTGGGTGCCAGCATCCTGCAGCTCTGAATGTGCATACGTACATAGCTGCTGGCAACAGTGACCTAACACTGCCTGACTTGACAACACTGCCCTTAGTTTCAGATTGGATTATTTGGGTGGTTGTTTGGTATCAGGATAAGCACAATACAGCTTGTGCTTCTGTGCTCCTGTTGACTTTTCAAAGAAGAGCTTTTGGATTTTAAGCAAGTGATTTCATTTCTATGCATGATTATAGTTTTTATTGTGGGATTTAATGAGAAAACATAAGCCCAAAGTAATCTTTCCCAAACCAAACAAGTTAAAGTCTCCCAAAGTAATATACTCTACTGCATAATAATACTATTTTAAAAACAACAGTTGAATATATTCTAACTTTCATGTAGGTTGGGCATGTAGCATGTGGACAGATTCATTCTGTATTGACCAAACGTGACTACATACAGGATTTGGGATTATCTTCTACTGTGTGGATCTTTGAACAAAATTATGAGAAAGTTTCCTTCTCTTCCTGATCCACTTCTCCCTGTGAGGACTGCCTACTGGCACCCTCAACCAAGGAGGAAACATGCTTGCTCCTTTGGAAATAGAAAGTGTGAAATACTTACAAAATGGAAGACAATGTTTATAGTAGGATTTTTAAGAAACTCCTAACAGACAAAAAGCAAAGAGCAGTTAGTTGAATAGAACACTACCCTGGGAACGACCAGTTGTGTCCCAGGAAGGATGCTGGTTATGTTTTCATTAGTCATGCACCTTCTTAAGACAAAAGTGAACGAAAACACACAGGTCACAATAACTCATCTGTGCAATGACACGGGAAGGGGTTGACACGGTCACGGACAAAGCATGCACGGGTGAGCACCTGGAGGCTAAGCTGGTGCTCTCGGCTGACGAGGAGGACACATCCATGCTGAGCATTTTACGGAGCCCGGGCCGAGCGCGCTCACTCGTTTTAGGCACAGTTTCTGGTCCATCTAAATCATCAAGGGTGGACTGCCTTGAGAACAGCATGGTTGCTTCCGTGTAGCAGCTAGCAGCGCAAACAGTTACAGAGACACAGTGTTAAAACAGCGCCAGAAACAGGAATCACACATGTGAGAGACCCAGAGACCGCCATGCAGCAGACCACACGCCACTCCAGCACCACGGACAGCGGCCACCACAGCGGGGCTCCAGCACAGAGAAGGCAAGATGAGACAGGGGAGCACTGGGCTGAGAACAGAACTGATGATAAAGGATGAAGTGTCGCTCTCTGGGTGGGTCAGGGAACTAGAATAATGACAAGTCCTGACCTGTCTCTCACAGAGCAAAATTCATCTTTACAATTGTACGGCTGAGGTTTTTTTTTTTCTCAATGACAGGAAATATATTTTATTCAGAGCCCCCCTTCCCCAGTCCTGAGTTCAGTTCTTAAGCAGAAACACCTGCTCAAGTAAAATTTATATAAAAATGCCATTTGAAAAACATGGTTTCCAAAAGAAAAGAAGGAAGCTCAGGATTGAGTGCAACAAACTGAATTTTCCACCCCACTTTCTGAGTGATATTCAGTTGAGCCAAACTGGATGGCTTGGAGAATAGATGCTGGTTTGATATGCAACTGGATATAAACCAACATCGAAAAGAAAAGAAAAGAAAAGAAATGGTACAAAGGCAATAACATAGGAAGTCCAGCAGTGGCAGGGCCATTTTGTCTGTTAACTGTTCATTGAGCCTAATGAGTGGTTTTTCTCTGTGATCACATTATAGGTCTTGGCGGATATCAGCAGGGGGAGATCCCACTGGCTGAATCCTCAGTGCCTGTCACTTGACAGTCAGGGAGGAAACTGAGGCAGATTCAGGGCTGAGCTGCTACTGGGTGATCTCAGTAGCAGCCAACAGCTCAGATGGAGGCATGATGGCAGTTCACATGCGGAGTTTAACCCCAGAGAGGCACATGCCCTGAAACTCTTGACATTGAGGCTCTCAGGGCACTGACTTCCAGCCTGAGAGTGAGTGACCCAGCTGACCCTTCATCCTACAGACAACTGATTTACTGGATGAACATCAGCCTCATGTGACTGCACCAGGGGACCTGCTGTGTGCCAGCCGCACAGTAGGCACCCTTAGTCAGTGACTGTGGGGCAGAAATGGAAACCATTCAAGACGATGAAGTGACCTCTGGGGTCCCCTCTGGGGGTGGGGAATTTGAGGCACTCATGGCACTGCTGAAGGGCTTTCAGGTTCTCAGAGCCTTAGCAGTCCCTACCCTCGAGTACTCTGCGGGAGAACACCCTGACTGCATGTCACAGCCACATGGCCAAGACAGGACCCAGCAATGGGACAGGAGACAAGGTGAGCAACCAAATGGTCTCTAATAAGGATTTTAAAGAACAATCCTGATTCCTTTCGATGTCAACTCATCCTGAACAAGAAGAGGAGATTGGTGAGATGAAGTAGAAACATAGTGGACATTGACTACCTGCCAGATTTTAGATAAATCCTTCCCCACTCTTCTGGGTCTCAGTCTCATCATTTATGAGATGGGGATCTGGATCTCTGAACTTCTGTATTGTTTCATATTTTCAGAGGTGGATCCCCCAGCCTTTGGGGAGTTTGCAGCAGAAAGAGGCCGTGCACCCTGACCAGCCCGATTTTCTGTGTGGAATCAGTGCTCTGACCACAAAGTCCTCTTTACCTTGTTAATTCTTGGGTGATTTCTGCCACCATGCAGCCTGCCCTCAGACTCCACACTACTGGGTTATTTGCAGTGGATTAACTTGTCGTCCAAGCCAGGACAGTTTTAAAACTGAGAGGGAAGAGCAGCAGCTTTATGAAAACAGGTGACAAATCTAACTGATGTCCTCAGGTCACTTGGAGCTGTCCCAGGGGCACAGAGCACATATTCCAAATAATAAACACTGAATGTATCTAGGAATGCTCCTTGGAATGTCACCAATGTTTCCTAAAGGAACTTCAATTTATTTTCTGGGAAGGTAGAGGATATCTGATTTCATAAAACAACCATTTTTTTTACATCTGGATTTGAAGGAAATCGTGACTGTTCCAATAAGTCAAAAGGAACATAAGCACATTTGTTAGGTTCCTACCCCAACCCCCTCTACTGTCTGCTGAAGGGAAAAGTGGGTGAGATGGGGCAGGTGGGACAACTCCTTGCAAGCTGGGTCCTTAACGGGCTGGGCTACATAGAGCATGTGGGTCCCCGTGTCCCTGTTGGGGGTGATGCTACCTGCCCCAGGGCACCTGTGTGGTGACGGCAAATGTCCACACTGGGGTCCCTCCCAGAGAAGACCACTGCCTCGTGAGAAATCAGTGTGGCTTCTTATGGACTCTATTGCAGACACACAATTGTTGGGAGATTTGAAAGTTTCCTAAACAAAAAAAAGTGGAAGTTCTCCTTGGCCTTTAAGAAGAGGGCAAATATGTTCACTCACTTACTAAGGGCATAAATGACCTATATGGAGTCTCCCTTTTCTTTACGTTACAAATAATGAATAAAAGGACATTAAAAATAATTGTAAAGGTATTGGTTTTCTATTAATAAATTTATCGATGGATTGACCATTTAAAAATGCTGGAATATTTTGACAGTCTTTGTTAAAAGGTAACCAATGAATTTTAATATCCCCCACCTCACAGCTTTTGACTATGGGTGCAGATTTGTTAACTTGGATCAGATTTAAAGGCAGTTACTTGATTTTAATTTAGCCAGTCTTTGTTTTCTTTTTCTTCTTCTCCCTCCTAAAGTTGTGGTTTACAATATTTAGTTACTTTCTTAACTGACCATATTATCAGTTGCTACACGGCTGAAAGTTACTAATATAGGAACCATGTGTGTTTATTTTATGAACAACCGATTTTCAGTTCACTTTCTAATTTTCCATTTGATTCACTGGTTCAGAGTTTGGTTCTGGAGCCACTATTCTTAAGACAGGCTCATGCATAACATTCAGGAAGCCTGGGAAATGCCTGAAGTTCTACGGAAAAAAATGCATAATAATGTGTGATCTTTCATAAGAAGTTCATGTCCCTGTCAATTGGGGATGATAACAGTACATCTCAGGGAGTCTGTTACGGAAGTGAGGAAACCCACACACATTGCAGCCCCAGGGAAGGGTCAGTGCAGGGGCCTGTGTGAAGCAGGGGTGTGACCACACAACTCAGAAGGTGGGGCCCACAGAACCACTTCTCAAATTTTTACGATTCTGAATCATAAAGTAAAACTTCTGAAAGAAGAAGATGGAGAGCAACAGGTGGCAAAAGACTCTAGAATAGAAGAAACTTTGTGGAACAGCATTTTAAAGGCATTGAAGATGCAGTTCTTGATACAATTACTCATTTTGTGTCAGGAGGCTCCTCTGACTTTAACTCCAGCTTGGAAATCCCAGTCCTGGGCCTGGCAGTCATATGGGTCTTTCTAATAATTTATTACTGATATCTGCTTCTCTCTGCTCGGACCAGGGGCAGCAATGCTCTGCTAGGCCATGCCCATGGAGACAGCCCAGAGCAGCTGGGCACCCCCAAGGTTCTGATTAGCCTGCACCTCTCCCATCAACTCTCACCTCTGTCATCCCTGTGGAAAGCAGCACCACTGTGGAGCACGGGACATACCTGGAGATGCTGTCGTGGGAATCCAAGCTGTCCATCCTGTGGGCGGTCTGTGCACCTGCAGCAGGGCCAGCATGGTCGTCGATGGTGTCCAGTCCTGACTCCCTGGACAGGTTCATGATGTGGTTCTGGTAGTACATGTGGATGCTCTCCCGGGTCGGGACGTTGCCCTGCGGAGAGGGAGATATGTCACAGCCCTGTGCAGACATCAGTGTTTCTCAGTGTGGACAACCCTCCGCCATCACACACACCTCCAGCAGGATGAAAAGCCAAGTTAGTCAAGCTGAGGATTGATGTCAACTCACTGAATTAATGGTGCTGGATGTTACTGGGTTATGCTGAACAGGAAACCCTTCCTAGTTTAAGGCTGAAGATGGTCAAATGTACAAACTTGCAGTTATGAAATAAATAAATCATGGGAATGCAATGGTGACTAGAGTTAATGATACTGTATTGTGTATTGAAAAGTTATTGAAAGAAGAGATCTTCAAAGTCTTCTTCACAAGAAAAAAATTTATAACAGGTGCAGTGAGGGAGGTTAACTAGATCTACTGTGGTTATCATTTTACAATACACATAAATACTAAGTTATTATGTTGTAAGCTTGAAATGAATAAAATGGTATATGCCACCTACATCTCAAAAAACAAAATTAGAAAGAAATCCCTTCTTTTTATTATGTAGATAATAATGAAGATAATTTTGTAGATAATATTGTAATAATTATGTAGATAATTTTGCCAAGTGAGAGTAACCTTTCCAGCTGTGAACTATTTTTTTTCAAATGTAATCTATAAACCATCTATGGCTATGTTTTGTCTCAGTCGCTCAGTCATGTCCAACTCTTTGCCACCCCATGGACTGTAGCCTGTCAGCCTCTTCTGTCCATGGGATTTCCCAGGCAAGAATATTGGAGTGGGTTGCCATTCCCTTCTCCAAGGGATCTTCCAGACCCAGGGATCGAACATGGGTCTCCTGCATTGCAGGCAGGTCCTTTACCATCTAAGCCTCCAGACGTGTATATTCCTTATTTTCCCTGTGAGAAATTTCAGGTCAGACTTCCCAGACTAAAGCACATGATCCTTTATGAGACACAACAAAGCCAGTGCAGCTGGGAACCGTGGTAATGAGAGGGGACAGAGTGAACATGCTGGCCAAGATCCCAGGACTGCGAGGGTGAGGGTGTGTGTGTGTGTATGCGCGTGTGCACGGACTCTGAGCACGGAACAGACTGAAATACACCAAAAAACCAGAGGGGTCATGCAAAGACTGGAGAGGAAGGATTTTGTCTGAGCTTCCGTGGAGGTCTGGGCCCTGGCTTTCAGAGCCTCTGTGACCCGGGCAGAAGTGAAGCAGGGTCACGAGCAGGGGTACCTTCTTGATCTCTCTGGTGAGCATGCAGCGCTCGATCCTCAGGACGGTGGAGATGTCAATGTGCTCCCTGGAGATGGAGTTGAGCCACGTTGTGAAACTGTCCACGGTTGCCAGAAACAGGACCCAGGTGAACTTCAAAATATTAAAGATCCTTTTGATGATGTTGTCTAGGAGGAAGAAGAGAACCTGATTTAAACGGACATCATGCCCTCAGTTGTGGTGCTGTGTGTGAAGCAGTGGTGTTTTACCAAAGACAGCCCTGTCTGGTTTTGTCCTTGACCCCGACATGGAGAGACAGGGCCGTGGTTGGGGAGCGTGTGCACAGGCATGGAAGTGGTGGGCAGGGTTTTCCATACCTGCAGTGGCAGCTCCCAAACCAAACTCAGATATAATTGTTAACCTTTGGTCAAACTTCAGTCGAAACAGGTCCATATAGAGATACCAGGTCTGATTAGAAGTACAGTCTGCACTCAAGGGTATTTGCTACTGGCCAGAAACAGTCTGTATCTAGCCAAGAAATTGGTTCCATTAATGCTTTTCTTTTTCTGTTGGTTCTGTTGGTTCAGTAAGACTCTGATGTTTCCCACTGCAGCTGAATTGTAGTTGAACACCTTTCAAAGGTATTTTGTACAGAATTCAGTCCACACACTAAGACTCTATCCAAACCCCTGAATCACCTTTCTCATATGTATTTCATGACACCAAGCTGTGCTAACTATAAAATATTGCCTATGTGGTCAGTCCTCTCCAAACCATAGGAGCCCTGAGATGCCCACTGACCCTTGGCCACCTCCCTCCTCTTGGCTGTGACTGGGACCCGCCTAGGGAGCTGTGTGTCACTAGCTCACCTCCGATGCTCATCTCTATCCCCAAGTGGTCATGTAGATGTGGGAAAGTTAGCTAGTTTTTCTCTGCCTTGGTTTTTTCTCTGTCAAGTGGGGAAGAGGGTTTTGAGGGCGTTGAACAAGTTAATGTGTGTAAAGCTTATGGCGAAGGAGACGAGCTACTTGAAGCGTGGGGCACTGTTACCAGGAAAAGGTTTGCAGGAATAACAGGGTGTTGCCCCACAGACAGCAAGCTGATTGTCTGGACGTGGAGGCCCGCTTCAAGGACCGTGCCTCCAATGGCTTGGAGAGCCTTTGGGAAGTCTCGTTTTGTGTCAATAGATGGCATCCATGGATGTATTTGTGTCCAGCACGAAAGAGCCTGAACACCTTGCCTGTGGGTAAGTGGTGCACCCAGGACTGACAGCCCCAGGGGAGAGGAAGCCACGTGTCTGTGGGGCCAGAGAGGCATGTGGGTTCACTGTGTTCAGAGGCTTTTGTTTCTCCTCTTTTTTTTTTTTTCCTGATGGAGAAATCTTCCCCCCAGTCTCGGGTTCTGTGAAGCCCACGTGGCACTGGGCCTGGGCTGGGGCTCAGAAGATGTGAGCTCTATCCCTGACTGTGTGGAGTCCTGAGCAAATGCACTGGGATTCAGGTTTCTTCCCTAAAAGGAGGAGTCAGCCCAAGCCCTGGAGGCTGCTCATTTCCCAGCGTACTTACCTCTCACGCGTGCTCAGTCGCTTCAGTCGTGTACGACTCTGGGCAACCCTGTGGACTGTGGCCTGCAGGCTCCTCTGTCCATGGGATTTTCCAGGCAAGAATACTGGAGTGGGTTGCCATTTCCTCCTCCAGGGGATCTTCCCCACCCAGGGATCGAAACTATCTCTCACTTCACTCCTTTTCCATGCCTTTTAAATGCCAATATTTTTTTGTGCCTCCATGCTGATGGTTTCGGAGAAGGCCATGGTACCTTACCAGGCACTCTTGCCTGGAAAATCCCATGGAGGGAGGAGCCTGGTGGGCTGCAGTTCATGGGGTCATGAAGAGTCGGAGACGACTGAGCGACTTCACTTTCACTTATCACTTTCACGTATTGGAGAAGGAAATGGCAACCCACTCCAGTGTTCTTGCCTGGAGAATCCCAGGGACGGGGGAGCCTGGTGGGCTGCCATCTATGGGGTCACACAGAATTGGACACGACTGAAGTGACTTAGCAGCAGCGGCAGCAGCAGCTAATGGTTTCCCTGGGACATTAATAATTTGTTCCCAACTCCCTTTCATAGGCGTTTGGGTAAAGGACTTTACACATGGACTCTAATCCGACATCTCATCCCACAATGCAAAGGTAGGTCTGACTTTCAGAGTCTCTTTGCAATTTCACTAGAGACGCGATTTCAAGGGATGCCGATGATTGAGTCACAGTCCAGAAACAGGATTTAATTCACTGTTTCCAGGCAGCCTTCCTCACACACCATCTGGGCAAGAAACATCCTCCCACTTCCAGCCCCCACCCCCACCTCCCCTGCTGATGGGCATCTTCACTTTGTTACCTGGTCCATCAGACTTCTTTTTGACTGGCTCATCCTCCCGGTCTTCCCACTCCACAGGACCTGCCAAGAGTGTTCAAGGAGCATGAGGTAAATTAACGCCTATGCTACACTTCTGGACTGAGAGGAATTTTATAATGAAATCTGGGACGTTCCGCCTATTTGATGAGCTCCGAGGGAAGAGTTGTCAGAATTCTGAGCTTTCAGATTCTCCTCACTTGACTTCAGAATGAGTATCATGGAGTTGGGGATGGTAAACCAAATTGTTTGGCCAAATCTTTCCTGCTTCCTGTTGTTTAATGGCCTGTGAGTTGAGAGTGGTTTTTATATTCTCAAAAAACGTCTGAGAAGAAGAATATTTTATGCATATGAAAATTATATAAAATTCAAATTTTGGTGGAACATAGCCATGCTCACTTGGGGACCTACCATCTGAATCTGCTCCAAGAAGGCAGGGTGAGTTGCAGCAGGAATTTACAGTGCAAAGCTTAAATATTTACTATCCAGCCCTTTATAGAAAAAGTGTGCTGACTGCTGTTATATACTATGAAGTTGTAATTTTGAACACCTTGAGGATCAAAATACAGAGCCCAGAAACATACCTAAGAATAAATGGGAGATTAACACTGTCAAAAGGAACATTTAAATTAATAGAAAAAGAAAGATTCATTTACCAAACAAGCTTAGCATAATATATCTCTACCTCAAAGGACAATATGAATTCAAAAGGACAAAACAAATTCAAAAGGTAAATAAGAGGAAATACAAAAAAACATATGCATAACATCTGGGGGGAAGACTTTCTTAAGCAAGATGAAAATACAGAAATTGCAAAAAAAAAACCAGACCAAAAAAAAAAAAAAGAAACCAGACCTACTTGACATCAGAAAAAAATTAAACATTGCTTAGAAAACATACACCATGAACTAAAAGATAAGCACTGGGTTGGAAAAAAAGATACTTGCAACACATAAAAAAGGCTAATATTCCCAACATAAATATCTCCTAGATTAATAAAGACAATCCAATAGAATATTATGAAATGTGATAAAAAATGTTTAAATCTTGGATTTGAAAAGTAAAATTTATTTACTTTTGTATTTAAATTTTTTTCATTTTAATATTTACCAAGAAAATATGAAATAAAAATGTTCAACCTTATTAGTTCCATTAGTCCATGGAATTCTCCAGGCAAGAATACTGGAGTGGGTTGCCATTTCCTTCTCCAGGGGATCTTCCTGTCCCAGGGATTGAACTCAGGTCTCCTGCATTGCAGGCAGATTCTTTACCATCTGAGCCATCAAGGAACACCTCCCCCCCAAAACCAAGAAAATATGAAAAAAATATTCAACCTTATTAGTTAGGAAAATTCAAATGAAAATGAAAGCCGTTTGTCATCCTTGAGAAAGACACACGATAAAAATAATAACAGCCCATAGGACAAGGCTCCAGGGAAACAGACATTCCTATGCCTCATACAGAGGAGCTTAAATTTCTAAAACCTCTTGGGAAAATATTTATTAAAGTAAAACAAAGAAGCACCCACTTTAACCCAGAAATTCCACTTCTGATCATCTATTTTGGGGAAAGTGTGTGTTCATCCTGCTTTTGCCATGCATTTAAACACATACACACACATGACTACGTATGAATTTCTGTGTGAGGAAATCCATGATAGTGTTATTTATTGTGGCAAAAATTTGGAAGCAAACCTTATATCCATTAGTGATGGAGGAGTTGGATAAATTATGCATATCCATATTACAGAATATTTTTCAGCTATTAAAAAAGGATGATATAGTTTATAAATACTTAATTGAAGAAGTGTTCATGATATATTGCTAATGAATGTACAGGAGAATCTGTGTAGCATGGACTCATTTTTGAATCAAAGGAAACAGTACCTGCCCACAGGTATGTATACCCGGGAAAGGGGTTGAAGAGAATACAACCCCTGCAAAGATTTGGTGCCTTAGGGTAGCTTTCCAGGCTATACTGCATCTGCTTCCTTACTGCTTGACTTGCTACATCCTCAGTGTCTTAATTTTGCCTTTTTAAACCAATCAAGTAAAATAAAATGAAAGCTACAGGAGGTAGCAGGGAGAATGGTCAAAAAAGAGAATGGCTTTGCAATTAGAGCTCCATTAGAAGTTATGTTTTCCTTTTCTTTTCTTGTTTGAATACATTTTTAATTTCATAAAGAATCAATATACACATTTCCTTTGTAAAGAATTAAAATATAACAAGCCTGAATTTTCCTTTAATCCTACTCCTTACTCTCAGCCTCCCCACCTCTTCTGCCAGAAGTCACCACAGCAATTAACTGGCTAAGTTTCCTTCCCAATCTTTCCCTTGTGCATTTATACACGATTACATGCATCCATTAAAAATGCAAAACATTGTCTGGAGGCACTTTGGTTTCCTTCATTTAGTAAGTGGTTTCATAATGTGCATGCCAGTTTGCAACAAATGCTTTTCACTTAACAGTATGTCAGGAATTGTTCTCCATGTCAGTTCAAAGTAATTCATTTTGCTTTTTAAACTACTGAATAGTATGTTGTAATATACTGGTCACACAATTTACTTGGTTCTTCTTTATGTGGGCATTTAGGATATTTCCCAATTTTCATTAGTGATAATAATGTTTGATGAATATTCTTAGACACATGTGCTTGTGAACATGAAAAAAGTAAAAGTCACTCAGTCGTGTCCAACTCTTTGTGACCCCAGGGACTGCAGCCCACCAGGGTCCACTGTCCATGGAATTCTCCGGGCCAAGAGTACTGGAGTGGGTAGCCGTTCCCTTCTCCAGGGGATCTTCCCAACCCAGGGATCGAACCCAGGTCTCCTGCATTGCAAGTGGATTCTTTACCAGCTGAGCTACCAGGGAAAGCCACATGTGCTTGTGCTTATGTGCAAATATTGACTCATGTGAAGCCACACACCTGGAGGTGGGATGGATCTCTGGTGGGAGAGGCACAGTTAAATTTTCAGATTGACATCTGCTCTCCAAAGTGGAGGTGCTGCTTTACAATACCACAGACGAGTATGCCTCCTCTAGCTCCAAACAGAGCTATGTTTACATTCTTGCTAATTCAATCGATTAAAAAAACAGAATATCAAAATTTTTAGTTTGCATTTCTCATATTGAGCTACTTAGTGAAACTGAGCTCCTTTTGGCTGCTTCTGTTTTCTGATCTTGAATTACTTTTCATACCCATTCATTCACTGGGCTGAATTTTTCTTTTGCTGACTCTCAGAAGTTCTTAATATAGCCAGAACACTGATCTTTAGCCTGATATATAATGAAAACATTTTTCCTGAGCTCCCCACTTGCTTTATAACTTCATTTTGGTATGTTTGTTATCATTTCCTCCCCTTAGAAACATGTTTCCATCATATATTTTTAAATGAATTGATAGTGTTGAATACAGCACTGGTAGGTATGTTCCATTTTTGGTCCCTGACTGCTCTTTAAGTGTGCTTTCCCTTTTTTTCTTGATCAAATTTCTGAAGGTTCATCTTTCTTATTTTCCAAGAACAGCTTTTCACTTAATGGTCAGGTCGTCTTCTATTTCTTTTCAATGACTTAATATCCACCTAAAAATGATTATATTTTGCTACCACTTTCTTTGGGTTTATTTTGCTTCTATCTCTCTTTCCATTTTATAAAATGTACCTCAACTTAAATTCATGTTTTAATTTATTCCAAGACCTGAGAAATTAAGGGCAAAAGTCTTTGTGCTCTTTAGACATTAAAAATTTCATTCCACCCAAGCTTGTTCCCTGTCCGCTGCCTGTCAGCTGCAGCCCTCTCCATCACTCACCCTCCCCAGATTCTTTTCTTCTTCTTTTCTGTTCTTCTCTTGCAGATCTTTTTTTCTCTTTGCGCCTCTGTCGGAGTGCTGTTTTAGGGTCAGTAATCCAGGCTTGATAAACAAACTGAAGGGAGAAAGTTTCATTATTTTCTGAATTTTTAATAAATTGAATTAAAGAAAAAGGGACCAACACCAAGTTTCCTGACTTTCAGAAATATATATATTTTTGTCTCAACATGAATATTAAACCTCCCTTTCTCACATCTCGCATTATACTGAGCTGACCAGTGCTCACTGGACATGAAATAAAATGTGAAAATAGATGTTGTAGGCATGTATTTTGTTCAGTATCAGGCAATCATGAGGTTCTCTGGAATCACGAACACCTACTTCTCCCCCATCCCCCCATCCTACTACATCTCTGACACTTAGCTCCTGATTCCCTCGTGTGACACACACTAAGCATAAGCTAGAAGCCTGGCTAAGTGTCATTCATTTTCTCCCGACACAAATAAAGTTTCAGTCAAGACCGAAACATCTTTTGTTCATTTACTTTGGGAAATTACTTTTGCATGTTTGTTACTCTCTCTTCTGAGTAACAACTATTACCAACAACTTGAGAAAGAGCTTTGTAGATTGATCAGTATTTGGAGAGGAAAGATAACGTGCTGTGAAGGTTAAGAGGTTATTCCAGAATGGGATGGAAGGAGAACAGGGGAACTTTAGGTTGCCTTCTGTCATTCGTTCAAGAGCTGAAAATAGTTGCATTAATACATGACAACCAATAACCACAACAGAGCAATTTTGAATATCCCGCCCACCAACAGTGTCCCAAGTCATGCAGAAGGAACAGAAAGAAAACCCTGAAATGCAAAGGCAGCCATCCACAACCATGAAGCCGGGAAGCATGCTCAACGTGCACCCACGAACACACCTGGTCTCAGGGAAGCTGGGTTTCTATCATGAAGATAAAGGAACAGGGCCTCTTGTAAACCCCAACACTTTGATTTTATTCTATATTACTTTCAGATTTCTGAAATCCTTGAAAAACACAATGTAAACAAACCACTGGCATTATAGAAGTAAAGAGGGGTTCAACTTTTCCATCCATGGAAATGTAAAGGTTGTGGGTTACTAGGTTACAGAGCATTTCCTCACAGGTAGAAATCTGAATCTTATGGGCAATTCACACAGATACAAGATCTGTATTGTTTCTGAATAATAAACCCAGGAGGCAAAAAAGTCATCCCAGTTTATGCCAGAAATATATTTTGAAAAGTAAAAGTGAATTGCAATTTGAAGAAGAAGCACCAGAAAAAGGAATGTATGGTTGATGTTTATTGAGTATGTTAACTGGAAATTCTATTAAGAATATCTCTGAGGTTTAGGTCGTTAATAGGCAAACTTGCTTCAGCAAGATATTGATTCTTTAAAAGAATCTGAACTGCTAAATGAAAGGAATTTTCAGGCTTAAGAAATACATACTGTGACATTTCCTTAAAATGGTGTTATTACAATATTGCTTTTGGATAATGCAAAAATGCCAAAGTGGAAAATGAGAAAGTGATTCAGGATTTGTGAGTGTACTAGGCGCACACTCTTTTGCTCTGAAGAAAAATGAAGCCCCTGGGAGACAAGAGAGGGGAGGGCAGAACAGGGGAGGGTTTAGGACATTATTGAAGGTATCTTGTAGAAAGGGCTCTGGCCACACAGATGATGCCTCATTAAAATGGTATTCCTGGTTCTACACGTGGTCCTTCATGACTGATCCTGCTGGTGTTTCCTCGCTGAGATGAGTGTTTGAAGAAAGGAGGGAAGGGGAGGATCCTAGGACAAGTCCTCATTTGTAGGAAAATGATTTTCATGTCCATGTTTCAAAGTACAAATATTTTACAGCTCCAGGAACACTGGACCGAGGATCAGACCAACTATTTCTGGGAAAAGTTGATGATGAAGGAGGAAGAGGAAGCATCTTGATTCTTACTGAGTTAAGACACCAAATTAAGCTTCTTTCTGAAATGTCTCAATTCTGAAGTCTCAGTGGTAACTACCACCCAGTGTCATGGGTATCTCTGGAGAACAGACAGATGAAGAACTAATCTTGGGTAAAAAAACACATGAAAATGTGCATAAATGACATCAACTTCTCCATCTGCTGCTGCCACTAGCCTGTACCCAACTTCATCTCAGTGTCCACCCTCACTGATTTCATCTTAAATGTTAGTGAAATGGGATTCCTTTTACTGAAAACTTTTTATGCAAAAAGCATTTGCTTTTTGAAACAGGAGAGGACTTTATTGAAGTGGAGACCTTTAACTGAAGCTGGTTAAGTTTTCTAAAATGTTTTTTAATCCAGTTGTGATCCAGAACCTTATGTTGTTGGTAAGAAGATATTTCTTAAACTAAGATGAGGGATAAGCACATTGTAATCTTTCATATAAATTCTTAAACGTGAATGGAAAGACACATAAGGCAGTCATAAAAGGGGAAAAGAAAAGAAACCCAAGGAAGTAGCAACAGGGAATATTAAACTAGAACTCAGAATTCTGGCATTTTAAAAAGGGAAGAAGCCCAGGGGTCTAGACCCTGCTACGCTAGGCAGAGCGACTTTTAGGCTTCACCTGAGAGCTTGAGAAAAATCTAGAATTTCAGGTCCCTCTGGACCTGATGAATTTAAATAACCTGCATTTAAATAAGACCCCCAAATGAAATGTGAGAAGCAATGGTTTCCCTCACTAGCCACATCCTTGTGGAGCATTTTACTAGTGTAAGTGTATGCTCCAATTTAAGGCAGGAGAAGCGGCTTTCTACAAAGCACAAGAGTAGTGAGTCACTATTTATGATTTCCAATAATGAAATGACCACAGCAGAGGTAGTTAGATACTTTGTGTTGTGTGTTGGGTGAATTAACAAATAACTGTAGCAGTTCATTCAGTAGTGTTTCTGATGATGTGGACCATGGAGGCTGGGTGGACCATCCACAGCAGCTTGGCCAGTGAAGAGAGACACTGAACTCAGGCAGAAGATGCCAGAAGAGTCCAATTTAGGAAGATGGAGGCTTAACAGGGAGCCTGAAAGGAGACGGAGCAAAACGAGTCGTTTTTTCCTGTTTGTAATTTTGCCAGCTTTCTGAGAAAATGGTCATGTTTTGACACATCATATCTGATGCATGCAACCAGACGTGACCCTTTTAACATGAGACGTGACTTAGGCAGAACTACAAGAAGATTTGTATCTGCATTTTCTCTTTCTATTTTTTAATCAGCTCTGAGGCCGATTGAAAAACAAGAATCACCATAATAAGGAATTTGGCTTCTCAGAACGATTTTTGGAAAAGTCTGCCCAATATTTTAAATTCTTCTCATTCCTTCATCGTAAGATGTATAGAACAGGGAAAACGCAGATGTGGGCAGCGGGGGTCTGCCCATCTAAAGGTCTACGGAGCAGAGGGCCACACACCACACATCAGTAAAATGTCAAATACCTTTGCAGCTCTGATTAAATACTGAAGAATAGTTTTGGGAAGTTTAATGATAGACTTTGGCAAGGCTAAAATGGCTGATGCAAACTTCCCAATAGCTCTCTACAAAGAAGGACAAAGCAAGAGTAATTAGTAGAAAAAAAAACAAAAACTGATCACTTAATATAAGACATCAGTATGAGTTTGGCTCTACAATTATACCGACTGGGTTAAAACGTGCTCATCGCTGAATGTGGAATAAAACGTGCCCTGCTTGTAGGTTAGGAATAAAGAAAATTATTTATCATTCATGTAATCTGTAAAAATGGTGAAGACGACCCGCTCTCTCCTCTGCTGCCTGATGAGTGAGCATTAGAAGGAAACTCGAAATAAAAATAAACAAGTCATTAGTGTTGAGCAAGCCAGCTGCACACATGCACACGCTGTCATCAAGAAACACACGCGGGCAGCAATAGGGCAAGTGACAGGGCATCATTAGAGCAAAGTGTCCCCGCGAACAATTTAGTTCTTCACTTTCACTAGGAAGACAGGGTGGAGGTAAGCTGCCAGCTTGGGAAGACCTGGCCAGCAAGTGGACACTGGTCTCATGAACACATCATGAGACTGGCCGTATGTCCATCTGTGTGCCTTGTAGTCTAACAATGGGGAAAGAACAGTCCCATGTCTGCTCCCTTGTAACGGAAATCTACCGAGTTTTCATCCCATATGTAACTCTACTGACAAACCCACATCTTTAACGAACACTGACGATACAATTGCTGGATACATGCTACTAGGCTGGTGACTCATGTCACCGAGAACGATACGGCAGGTTCTGAAAAAGAGAGGCAGTTAAGCTGAGAACATCAAAACTGGGCTGGAGGTTTTTATGATTTCAATACAGTCTAAAATCTTTAGAAGTACCAAGGGAATTGATTTTCAAAATTCAAAATGACTGTTTTCAAAACAAAGCGAGGATTTTATTTTCATGGTCAGCTATTTCACCTATGTAACTAGAAGTCCACTCAAGTGATCCAAAGCTTGAAATGAAGTACACACCCAGGGCAGCTTTAATTTTGTTTAGAGCATTAGAAATTTTTTTATGCAAATGAACAACTGGCTGGACCATTGCCCTTGCAGGAATTCTGGCAGTAACAATTGCAATGCTGACAGCAAGCAGCAGGACAGGACAGTTAGAACCACGTGACTTCAGATGTGAACTAGAACCTCTGGGAGCTACCATGCATGAACACGGCAGAGGAAGTCGAGGCCTGTGGTCAAGGTCTGTCAGAAAGAAAACCTCTTCAACCAACCAAGGCTGTGATGTCCTTATCCCCATAGTTACCTGGAAAGCTGACCTCCGGGGGGGCTCTTCATCTTCCTTTTTTAATTCTTCCTCTTCCTCCTCTTCACTATCCGTTTCAAACAAATAGTAATCTCCACTCCTGACCACTAAGTAAAACAAAATAGGTACTTATTTCTTGGAAGAAATATGAGACAGTTTGGGGTGTATTTATGAGATGCCCCCCAAAGACACATAAATTGTCCCTCAAAGGCATCGGTGGGGAGGAGGACACAGGAGATGAGGAGACCTCACTCTGGGCTGAGCTACATGGTCTCTGGAGCACCAGGCCTCGTCCAGGCCATGGAGGGGACCTGGCCACTGCTGGGTTCATCTGGCATTTTCTTCCTTCTTCACAGGAAATTGTACACGGATGCACCAGATCAAGCCTGCAGCAACCAGTTCTGTTACCAAGATGGCCCAGAGGACTGAAAACTATCATCATGTCACAGTTCAGCACTTTGGGACCTCAGACAAGGTCAAAGTGAAGCGGAAGCTTCAGCATTGTCTGAATAGGTACAAATTGCTATGGCAAAGCTAATCCGGATGATTCGGAACCAGGAGTCACGTGTCACCACCTTCTGCTTCACTTTATACTGTGCAGACACAGGCCATAACACAGGCCACAAGACATTTGAAAAAAAGTGTTTTTTTTTTTTTATCACACATTATCATGAGGAGGAAATGGGCAAATAACATAAAAAGAAAAGAAAAGAAAAAAAGGCATAATCACAAAAACATCACCACCACACTCTGGCTGTTTCTACTCATAGGCTAGGACAGAAGGAGCCAGGTGGACATGATCCATACGGTTTAGCACTGTTAGGCTTCTGGTCAAGAAGAAGCCCCCCAGTTGCTTACTGAAATTTGAGGAGAACTGTACTGACCACAAGACACAGAGCACAAACCATATGGATGGTCCTTGCCCGGCATTTTCCTTGCAAAGACATATTGTGTCTTAAGCACGGAGGCAGTCTAGAGAGCTGAAATGATTAGAGAGCTCAAGAAGTTTGAGAATGGAATCTTTATCAGTTTGATGACTATTTTATCAGAGAAAAGAGACCCAGCATGTGCATTTCTGATGCTATAAGAACTGCACTGTCACTGCAAGAAAACATATGCATATTTTCAAGTTATATTAGAATTTTCAAATGCTGAGGTATCTTTTGGATGACATCATGTGATGTCTTTAAGTATCTTCTGGACTTATTCATTGTAAGGTCACAGGAAACCTTGGCTTGTTGAAAATTAGTTGCTATCACTAAACATGATAGTGAGTAATTTTGCCCATGTTTTCAGACATATCTGAAACCTTCATCTATGAAGATGCAGAATGAATGAATTGGGCCTTATATCCTTGAACAGAAGCACTGTAATTTGTTATGTTTATTTTGAAGAAGGAACCAGGCCCAGAGGACTGGTCCCAGGCCTGAGGAAATAAATGCAATTCAACATAAGGTAAGAATAAGCAAGAACGAACCAAAGTCACAGCATTACATTGGACCGAGATGGAGACCATGAAAGTAATGCTTCAGATAAGCTCATAGATTTACTGGAAAGTCACACGGACTTGACGTCACGTGGTCATTTGGTAAACACCGAGATTTTCAGGACTGAACATTTTACCCTCATTATTGGTAATGATAGCTTCAACTGTATTCAATCATACCTTCAAGAACTTTTGTTCACGTGGCCACTGAAGTCAGTTTTCATCACGAGCAGTCATACATTGATTTTTATTCTTTGAAAGATGCTGCCAATTTGTATGCGACATGTGCCATTAACACATTAAAAATGGAAGAAAATATTTTAAAAGTCTCCTATTCCTTTATAAATTGTTATTGAAATGAAACTCAGAAATAGATAATATTTCCTGAAGTTCTATCTGCTAATAATAAGTAGAGAAGCTCTTATATTTATGTTTGTGAGTTCTGATAGGGTTCCTGCCTCCAGCCTGGGTCCGTGTATGTACCATGGACACTAATGCTGACAGCTTGCTTTTAAAATCCCACCACCTGTAATACCAGGGACTTGGTCCTGTATTTCAGATATCTGACAACAAAGTGAGGCTTGTCACTGATTCTGCTGTACAGAACTGATGTGGAAACAAGCACATCTCACTAGCATGGAAGGTATCATTGAACAGCAATGATGCAATGGTCTGTGTGCACATAGACATGGAACTGGGAGGATGTCACCTACAGAATATGTTAAGAGTACAGATGCTCACCAGTAATGTGAACAACATAGCAACATTATTGTAACATCAATAAGTTTGCAAAGGGTATTTCAAAGACACTTATTCTTACACTTGGCACCTCTAAGACATATTTAAAAGCCCAATGACTCAAGAGATCGGAAAACGGGCTTTCAATAAAGTGCTTCCAAATCTAAAGATAGGTTTTGGAACTCATCATTGTCTACAAAATAAGCCACACATCAATTCCTTTCCTTTCCTCCCCAGCTTGTAAAAAGAAGTATCTGATTCCAAACTATGAATGACACACACCCTGGCATCATTGCACTGGAAGTTTTATAACGAGGCACAGGTAGTGTAATCCCAGCCTTCAAGAACTTGATATAATGAGGGTGAAATGAATCAGAAACTCTAAAGTCAACAACATTCAGAGGAAGTTCTTTCAAGGATAACCAACTCATCAGGTGGTGATCGAAGACCATATCCAATTCCTTCCAAAATGCAATGTTTATACAAGCAAAGGAAAGACTCATGATGACCACAGTGGGCATATACCTCCAGGTTAAAGGACAAAACATCAGTATGACACCATTTTGAAATGGATAGGTCTCTCTAAACTAGCAAAGGGCCCTTTAAAAACAGAAAGATCAGCACAGTTTACTTGTGACTTGATAGAAATTGGCACACAGTGTCCGCACAGAAGACTGTTGGCATGACTGACATGCCAGCAGACAGTGGATCACACAGAATTCCAGCTTGAATCTTTGTCTTTTGACTTGAGCAGCAGATGAAATGAAACTCTTTAGAATTCATGGATTTTTTCATGCCATAATGCTACATTCAATATTTGAGATTACATTTTATTACATCCAGGTATATGGAGCAAATTTTGAATATCGCTTCCTGAAATTGGCTTGCTGATTTTAGGAAATTATTTCTTGGGTGAAAGGCCAAAGCCAGATCTAAATGATGGTAAGAGTTAGGTGAGGGAAAGGATTCTGACTGATTTCCTACTGATTCGGAACACCATCCTGTTGACGTTAGGGACCTTGTGATATTACTTGTTTAATTACATAAGCTGCAGTTATCAAGACACAATACAAGACATAAAAGTCTGAAGACATTACAAGTAATCTGCAAGATAGTGAATAATTATTCAATATTCTAACAAATTCAAAGTGGGCCAGACTGAAATGGATCATTCCATTAGAATGCCATTGCCAAGAGTAAATGCTACATCCTTTGCTAAGCGGAGCAGGCATAGCTGCTGCATTTTGCAATTACTCATTCATTTTTTTTTCTTCTGTGATAGAGTGAAACACACCAACTCTGAGTGGCTATCGAGCTCTGCTTTTCCAAAACCATCATCTGACTTTGTTCTGAAGGGTCTTGTCTGAGCTCTGGTGACTCTGAGACCACCCACACACCAGTTATCGGATTTGGAGGGTAGTTTTAGAGTTTTTTTGAAACTGAGGAGGCAGGGTGAGAAAGTATTAAGGTATCCCCATCTTTGTGCTTAATAAACTGCCAGCTACCCTTACATAAAAATGGAATCAATGCTCTTGGAATGGCAGAGCGGTGGATGTGAGGGGGCGGGGCAGGGGTGGGGGCTCCTTAACATTCACACCCAGTGCTTTTCAAAGAGGGTCACGGACATTCCAAATACAGTAGTTTTCTTTACATTCAGAGTTCCAGGAGGAGCTGAAATGAATTTTCAATAAGGGTTTTCAGCCATGGAACAAACACACCTCAGCAGAGCTCTGGACCTCAGAATTCGATAACAAAGCCATCAACCCCTCTTCCCTCTCTGAGCCCATGGGTGGTGCTCAGGAATATGTGAGCCACATGGTAGTCGGCTGACTGCTCTGGAAGATTCCATCTGTCAGGCTCAGAGACCCACAGAGATCACAGTGTTTCTCCCCTCTGCCCCTCCTATCAAGTCACAAGCATCAAACCATGCATGGAACACACAGGTCATGGGGACGCCTGAATTCTGGTCAAGGATATAAGGGTTAGAATCGATGAAATCGTAAGAGGATCGAGAAAAACCTACTGGAAGCATGATCAACCCAAGGCCGCCACCACTGCTTTTTTTTGCCCTTGGTTTTCTGTTTGTCTGCTTCTCCTAAAATAAAATATGTCCAAATATTAATTCTCAGGAAGTGAGAAAACAAACTTTGAAAACCACGCTTTAACAACTCAATTGGCAAAATCAAGACATATTGCAAAAGTACACCCGAGGTCAGGAAAAGAAATCCTACTGACTAAACGTTTACGTGGTTCAGCAGTCAATTCCACAAGGTAAATATTCAGTATTCCATTAACAGAATGCCACGTTTTCACTTTCTTTTTAGTGACTGAGGGCATATAAAAAGTATAAGAAAAGGATTATCTGTCAAAAATGCATCCCACATTGAATTTTTCATAGAATTAACAAAAAGAAGCACCACCTAGATATTACAGAAAAATTTAGTGGCAAATAATTTGCTAAAATATGTACATTCCAATAACCAGAAATATCTCTTGTGATCATTTTAATGCATGGTTGGAAAAATATCAATTTACTGTTGATAAATAGATACTATGCACTGGAAGAATACCATGTATTATTTCTCCATTCCCTTCAAATAGAAAAGCATGCAAGCATCTTTAAGAACTTTTAAACTTAACTGGATATAACAAATCTATAATTAGATATAATAAATATGTATTTCATCTCAAGTTTCATTGGAACAGACCATAATTGAATATTTTAACTACTGTTATTCAGGGGCCTATGTATTTAATTTTTGTATAAAATTTATAGAAATCAAAGACAACAGTAGACTACATATCTAAATATCTTCCCTAAAGAAACAAATGAAGCTAACTCATCCTATTTTCTTCAGAGGCACATGTCTATGAAATGGAAGCTAGTTTATATTAAAGTCATCTTGCTAAATATGGTGCTATTCATAAAGTCATGGATTTGTTAAATATGTACTTTCTGAAACAAACACATTCCACCCACAATTGGAATATAAAACTAGAATGAATAGTAATGTTATTTCACAGCCCTACCCTATATCATGTTTTTACTTAACATCAAGGTACTGAGTGAAGAAGGAAATATTTCAACATACTCTCGTCATCCTCTTCAGAAAGTTTTTGGAGATCTTGGCCTTCCCCCGACTCCTGGGTCAAGCTCAGCATCCTCTCCTTACCCTTTTTGTATTTCTGTTGCCTGGCCTTGATGCGGTCCATCCTGAACAACAAAATAGCAGCAACAATGCCAAGAACACACCCACAGTTACCTACACACTTGTGCACAAAGCCTACACCCAGTTACCTTTACACTTTTACGCACACAGCCAAAATCGTGGATGGAGTGGCAACAATTGGGACTTGTGGATGGCTGCTTGTTAGCAACAAGTGTCTGCTTGTTTCTTATATTCTCCCAGGTTTTGCATTCTTCTTTTAAAGAAAAAAATATTGCCTACCTCTTATAGTTGAGAAGATCAAGTGAAAAGACGTATAAATATAAGAACCGTTTTTTAAATATCAAGTTGCTACTCAAACATTCTCGAGTGTTCTATCAGTGTATCTAATCTCTTATTGGATCTGGGAAAATGTTGTGTTGGAGCTCTTTGTCTGCTTATTCAGGAAGTCTAGTCAGAAATTTCAGTGTTGAGCTACATCTCCCACATATGCCCTCTTGAAAGATATCATTTTTAATTTTTTTTAATTAAAAAAAAATTTTTGGCCATGCTGCTGCAGCATGTGGGATCTTAATTTCCAAATCAGGGATCAAAACTCTGCCCCATCCCTGCAGTGGAAGTCTGCTGGACCACCAAGGAAGTCCTAAAACATTTCATTTCTTGGTTTCTTAAAATTCTAAATGTATGGCCCAAGTTTTAAAACTAATTTAAGTGACATTTCTGCTTTGGGCAGCTTAAATAATATTTTCTTTATTTGTTTGTCTTTAGCAATGATCATTGCCTTCATTCTTTTTTTTATTCTGACTTCTCATTTAAGGAAATGGAAAAATCCAGTGATGTAAATTATACTAAGAGGTCTCACTTATGGGAAATTAGGAACACATACTACATGTGGGTTCAAATTTGCTATTTCTCTAGAGCTGATTTAGATAGCTAGAAACAACAATAGCAGTAGCTATACCATCTTGTACTTTCATTATATGTATTTTATATAACTCATATCTTTGAATATGAAAATAACCGTGCCATGGGATAGTGTGATTCATACTGACAAATATTTCTTGCACAGGGAAAGAAGCTGGGAGATGAGGTCAGGATGGAATGAACTAGTCTTAGAAACTCAGGGAACTTTCCTGGTGGGCTGACAGAGTCTCTCCATTTTCCAGGAGAAAGTGGCTAGGTTTTGAATTCTATGGCCATCAGCTCTTAAACCTGGCCTCAAACATGTGAGGCACTAGTCTTCCACAAAAGTTCCACTTACTGCTAGAGATTTCACTCCAAGAAAATAATTATTTTCAGTGGGCTAATTAAAAAAAAAAAAGACTTCTCAGATCTCCTGGGTGGAGTTAGTCCATTACTTGAGTTATCCAGGATGGCGTGGTGGGACAGGAGGCCAAGAGCTGGACATGGAAATGTGGGTGTATTTTTAGTGCCACCTCTGGTTAGTTGTGGGTTTTAAGTCATGTACTACATGCATCAGCAGCTTCTCCCCAGACTGGACCATATTATCTCTAAAGATCCTTCTGAAGTAAGAACCCATGTTCGTTCGCTTCACCCACAGACACGATGGACTTCTCTCCAAGTTCGAGTCACTGGGAATGACCCTCTCTCAGTCACTAGCTTGTTTAATATTTACCAGGATCAGGCAGAACCGAGCCCTAATCTAAAACAGAAAACTGGAATTCAGAGAGTTCAGAGACCTGCTGGGTGCTCCAGAAGAAGCATCTAAACTAGGACGTGACGCTGGTCTTGCCCATGGCAGCTCCTCCCCTTGCTCCCACTCCCCTGCATCCTCCTTTGGACAATTTCCATGTCAGTCGACACGGAGCAAACACCTGGGCATGTGTGAAGGTCATCACAAACGGCTTCCTCAGGGCTTGGGGCTCCCTGGGAGCCAGGAGCTGGTGGGACAGGATCAGGAGAACCCCAAATGAAAGGGAAGCATCCTTACTGCCTCTTCAGCTGGTCCATGGACTTTTTCTCCTCCTCGATTCTGGCCTTCACAGCCTTCACAATGGTGGCCTGGAAAAGCTCAGCCCCTCTAAAAGAAAGCCAGAAACGGAATGAATGAGCATTTTTATCGGTATTGGCCACGTTCCCTGACAACGGTTACTAAGGGAGAGAAAACATTTGCCGGGGGAGGGGCGTGCTGCTGCCCGGAGTCTCTGGGCTGGGACTAAGGGTCCCAAGTCCCATCTAGAAGCCCCATCCCCGTGGACAGACTCACACAGCCTCCAGCCTCTCTTGGGGAAAGGGGCTTCTCCAGCTACACTCTGAAAGGTAACAGGTGAGGATGTTTTTTTCTATCTTCAGGAGTTTCTCCTTAAAATGGAGGTGGCCAAGATTGGGGAAGATGCACTAGACTCTGGACCAACATGGTCTCTGCTTCTGTTCTGACTCAGGAGGCCCTAAGGAGCTCCTCCAGGACTGAGGTCTGGACAGAGGGGCTCAATGTCCAGTCTGTCTTTGAACTTTGAGAGTATCCCAGTCCTGGTAAGGTGTAACTCCCTCCAGAGTCTTCCTCTTTACTCTTCTGTTCTAGATCTTAAAGCCTTGGATCACTTTTCCTGGAAGGAATGTGTCTTAATTTCTTGGTTCTACAAGCAAGCTCAGACAGTAGGCCGGGTGCTATGTCACTTCCCGGCAGGTTTCTTAGGAGAAATCCCTTGATTCCACAGCCTGACCCACCTGGATGCCAGGATCTGCGAGGCTTTTATATCCGCCACCACGTGCAGGAAATAGTAACTCATGAACACTCTTCTCTGCAGCAGCAGGAAGGCAAAGCATATGCTGTCCCAAATGATTCCCGCCTCCCCACTGGGCAGTTTACATGAGGAGTCATCATCAGCTGGGGGAGGGGAAAAGAAAAAGAAAAAAATTAAAATGAATACCCATTTTCACTGTTATTTTATAAGCTCCATGATAAGATCACACAGACAAATGAGCAAACTTCTGAGGCATTGAGTCCCTGTGAGTGGATTTATTTGCAGTCAAGGGAACAAACTTCAAGTCCGGTAACGGCACTAGTTCATAAGGCTGACCACAAGTGAGCTCTGGATACTCTAGGGCTCAGGAGGAAAGGTCAGGGAGAAATTGCATCTGTATGTCCCAACACCAGAGGGAATCTCGGCATAAACAAGACGTGTTCTGGGAATGGGCCCTTCCCAGGGCAGCCAGCGGAGCAGCTACAGTCTACTGGAAGAAGAGGTGCCAACAGCATGCCTGGCCCCAAATCAGAATAAGCTCTAGTGCCTTCTTCATGCTCCTACCAGAAGGCAGGGCGGGGCGGGGGTGGGGATGGGGGAGCGCCAGGTTCCAGGCCCCATGGAGAACAGAGGACAGTGGTGCTGTCCAGGGTTCTGACGCAAGAGGCACAGGGTAGGTATGGCAATCCCGCCTCCAGCAGGGAGGGAGTCTAACTGCAGACACCGTTACTCCTCCCAGCTGTCCACCCGGTGGCGTTTCTCTGAGCTTCAGGGTGGGGGTCTGCAGGTAGAGCTCCTCTGATGACCAAGATGCCCACTGAGGCAGCCACAGGTGTGCGTGGGCATCTGTGACCCTTCCCATCAGAAACACAGGAAGTTCAGGGAGTTGCTATAGAACTGCTTGGGGAGGGGACTGGGACATTTGTCAAAGATCAAAGATTATCTTGAGGGTGGGGGTGTCCTGGCCACAGATAGCCTGGCAGCACCAGCCCACAGCTCCTTGAAGACACTGAGTTGGGCGTCCCTTCATCTGCTTCCTTCAGGGACTCTGGCCCAGGTATTTAAATTAGAACACTACCTCTGCCCTCCCTTCTCTGTGCCCCCATCCCCAAATCTGCTTTTCATACTCACGCATTTTGTAGCCCTTGACTGTACAGGCCAGGCTGAATGCCTGGATCAACCAGCAACTATTTTGAACCAATTTTTCAATATAGCCACATGCTCCTATCTGAAAAACAAATGGGAAATGAATGTCCTGAAACTATGCACCCAGAAAACAAGGTTGATGTCTTGCAATCCCAATATGTGCAGGAATTCCCTGTGGCTCAGTGCTCTGGTGGCTCCTAATATCCAGTCCCACCCAGTAAAGTGGTTGATGCTTCACTTCTAGGAGTTAAACCCAAGAAGCAAGGAGGAGAAGCCTCAGCATGGTGCTCTCTGCACTGGGAAGTGCCTCTCTTTTCAAAGAGGATATTTAGAGTGTCAGGAACAAGACTGACTCTGCAATAGCCAATGGGTGAGCACTAATCCAGGACTCAGATTTGGGCAGAGACAAACCTAGACAGCATATTAAAAAACAGAGACATCACTTTGCTGACAAAGGTCAATATAGTCAAAGCTATGGTTTTTCCAGTAGTCATGTACAGATGTGAAAGCTGGACCACAAAAGAAGGCTGAGCACTGAAGTATTGATGCTTTTGAACTGTGGTGTTGGAGAAGACTCTTGAGATTCCCTTGGACAACAAGGAGATCAAACCAGTCAATCCTAAAGGAAATCAACCCTGAATATTCATTGGAAGTACAGATGCTGAAGCTGAAGCTCCAATACTTTGGCCACCTGATGTGAATAGCCGATTCATTGGAAAAGACCCTCATGCCGGGAAAGATTGAAAGCATGAGGAGAAGGGGACAACAGAGGATGAGATGGTTTTATGGCATCACTGACTCAATGGACATGAGTTTGAGCAAGCTCTGGGAGATGGTGAAGGACAGAGAAGCCTGATATGCTGCTGTCCATGGGGTCTCAAAGAGTTGGACACAAGTGGGCAACTGAACAGCAAAACAACAGCAAAGTGAAGACCAAGTCTGAAATCCGGGTTTACAGAATGAATGAATGAGTGGATTCCACAGTCACACACTCTCCATGAACAGCTGTCGGGAGGGATCAGCTCCCAGGCGCTGGTCTCTGCCCATCAGACTAATTTCAGGAGAAAGAGTGACCTTTTGTCCTGATTCATCCTCTGCCTGAGAACTCTCAACACCACCCCACAGGCAAACATGCACTGCTGGAGTCCAACTGAGGAATAAAAATCACTTTTACTACCAACTAGAAACTTAACCATTCTCATGGACTGGAGAAAAAATAAATTCTTCAAATACACACTCATGGTTACATAGACTTGGCTTCTCCAGACATCTAAACACAGCAATGCATGTGCCTTCCCCAACCCAAAGTCAAATGTTTTCCAGGAGAATTGCCTGGAGAGTTCATCTTTAAGCACTAGGAAGGGGAGAAGCAGGCAGTTGTACATCACTGTTCTTTTATTTTTATTTTAATTAATTTTTTAATTGGAGGATATTTGCTTTACAATATTGTGCTGGTTTCTGCCATATATCAACATGAATCAGCCATAGGTATATGTATGTACCCTCCTTCTTGAAACTCCTTCTCACCTCCCACCCCATTCCACCATTGTTCTTCTAAAACTCTGTCAGTTACAGCCATGAGGGGCAGGCCCTGGGATTGAATTCAAATCAGAGTTAGATGTGGATTAATTCCTTCAGCTCCTGAAAGGTCACTGTTAATTTCCTGACACTATAAATAGCTTAAAAGGTATCTTTGTGGTCTAAATGATTTCATGGTGACTCTGGGATAATCCATGGACAGTTTATCTACCAGGGAGGGACCACATTGTGGCCTGGAAAGCAGAAATTTAACAGAGAACCAGCCATGTTCTGTGGACAGGAGGTGTTCGTCTCAACCCTGAACTATCTTAGCTGTTTTTAAGTCAAGACCCCAGTGCTTAGAGCAGCCATGAAGTTCCTGTGTCCACCTGCACATCAGGGCACCATAAAACACCTGCACCTTTGGGGGCCTGTCCCTCCCATCTGTACCCCACTCTGTGTCCTGGAAAATCTTGCCCATTCTATCAATATTTACACTTGCATGGAGCTTTTCCAGTAAAAGAGTCAGTTTCAGCCAACATGATATAATTTGTGAAGACATCACATGACTGTTTCAACTCATAAAGGGTCATGTGCAGCCTGTCCTGGAGTGATATCCAATTGTTCCTCAGAAGGGATAGATTTTAATTGAGAAAATACATTTTAGAGTTTTTTTTCCCCCTACAAATACATATCTTTTTGTCCTTGAGAGGGTAGACGTGAGCAAAAAGGATTCTGCTTAAAATGGCAAAACAAGGAGTAATAAATGGTCATTCCAATTCTGAGTTTGCCAGGATCCTATTTGGGGCAGTTAAGAGAGCAGCATGAGGGGCTGAGGGCTTTCAGTAACCACTGAATGGGTCATTTGCTCTGAGGCTGGGACTGCAAATGTGTTACAGGGCACGAGCCACTTACAGACAGTATGTTTTTCATTGTGATCACGAAGACGTTGTAAGCGATCAGCCAATCCCAGTAGCGCAGGATGCTCTTGATGGGTTTCAGCAGCAAGTCGCCCCCAAAGAGCAGGAAATAGAAGCAGGCCACCAGGTAGCCCATGCAAAAGATGCTGATACGGGTCGTCCCAGTGATGAAGATGATGGTGAGCACGAACCAGAAGAGGTAGCTGAAGATGACCACCTTGGACATGTCCAGGTACGACCTGGACAATGAAACCAAGAGACAACACAGACTGCAACCAGACCAAGTCAGGATGTTCTAGTCGAGGGAGGGAATGTGTTCACACATCCTCCTCCTCACTCGGCCTGGAGGCACAGGCCAGACGGGGCGCTCTGATCACTAGCTGGTCCATGGGCAATCCTCACCCAGTTAGTGATGGATGGAGCGGTACTTTGTGAAAACGCCATGTGCACTTTTATTATCATCAAACTGGGGCCAAAACTCCCACAAGCAGCAACGTTTTCTGCCTAGTACTTGAAGAGTCAGGCATGACTGAGCCACTACCGCTTTCACTTTTTTGCACACCCACATGGAGTTTGCAGGCTCTGTCAGCACTCTCTCTGCACTTCCCTGGGCCGACCCAAGGTCCCGTCTGTGGGACCACTCCTCACTCTGCAGACAGGCAGATGCTTGGGCCCCCTCCTCCCCCAATGATGGAGCTCTGGGAGCTTCCCTAGCTGGGTATCAGCTGACAGACATCGTGCCTACAAGCCATGTCCTGTCTGGATTCCTTTGCTCAGAGACTCTTGGCTTTGGAGGCTTTGCTTTGGTTGTTTCTCTTCCCAAGTTTGGGGAGAAGCACAGAAGCACCAATTGTGCATCAGATATTTGATAACTGAGCTGTTATTTTGTTGGTGCTCTTAAGTCATCTCTGATGAAATATGTGCTATACTGTTTTCAGCATAGTTAGGGAATAAGTGGTCCCTAGAAGAACACTGGTAATGGACGGGGTAGTGAAGTTGGTGATGGACAGGGAAGCCTGGCGTGCTGAGGTCCATGGGGTTACAAAGAGTCGGACATGACTGAGTGATTGAACTGAACTGAGGAGAACACTGTCACAGAAGTGGACTTTTGGACTGTACTCTTCTTAGACTAAAATATTCAACACTTCTGAATAGTTCCATGATTTTTCTCTAAACTATGTTTCACTCATCCTTGATGTCACACACACTGGAGAGTGCATAAGATGTGGGTGTTTCTCAGCATCCCACGGTCACAAAGGTAATGTCAGTGATTTGGTCCTGGTATGGGATCTGAATGCCCACAGTCCTCCCGACATGTGTGACTTAAAGTCGGTGGAACTAGGCTGCTGGCATGTTTGAGTGTGAGTGTGTGTGTGTGCTCGTGCACACGTGTTTGTGCACTGTATGCTTTCCATTTCCCTTCCCTTCCTTGCCTGCAGCTGTGAATCCCCCTGCAGGAGCCCCATCCCTCACTCCTCAGCCTGACCTGCTTTGGGTTCAGAAATCATAAAACTAAGCCTCTGGGAACAACATGGAAACACCAGCCAACATGCCCCGGGGAGGACCTCCGGGACCCCTGGGAGCTCTTGAGGCCCTTGCTATCCTGGGGTTCAGGGGCATCTGCTCCCCAGAACTGCTCTGGGCATGTCCATGGAGGACGGAGGGTAACAAGGAGGTTTGGCCTCCAGACCACCAAGCTGTCTGGCCCCGGGATTCTTGGCTTCATGGTGTAATCAGCAAGTCAGCGCCCAGGAAAGGCAGGGGAGCTGGAGGCACGGGCGTGGGGGTCGCGCCTTCTCAGGGGCTGCCCGTGGGTGGCCGCGTTACCTGCAGTGGATGAAGTCGGGCACGGGGTTGTGCTGGCTGAATGAGGCTGCATCCAGGTTCATGCAGATCTCCACGTTGTCGCCCGCCACTATCCGCACGGCGGCCTTATTCTCATCCTCAAAGATCTGCCGTTGCAGCGAGGCACACAGGAGTAGCATGAAATCGTCTGGCGGAACAGAAGCATCTGTGGTCTGGCCTCGTCCTTCCAGCTACCTTGTCCAGTCTGTAGGTCTATGTCTGCGGTGGCAGCAAGAAGCAACCACTTTCCCCAGGACCAGGCCTGCCCCCCGCAGCCTCTTTCCTAGAAGGTGGCTGTATACAGGTGTGTGGGGCTTGATAGTGGGGGTGTGTGGCAGGAGATAAAATTACTAAAATGAAAAAAGTGTTTGGAATGCTAACATGGTATTAACTCTGCAGACAAAACAGGGCCAGCAGGAGCCGCTAGTGGCTGGTGATGCTGATGTGTGGAAGCCAGGACTGTATGTGCTGGGGTGCAGTGGAGGGGCAGGAATGCACCACCAGGGGAAAGATGAGCAGGCAGGACCCCAGTGCTCCACTTACACACAAGGAACACGGGGTTGGGTCGAACGATGAAGTCAGGGAAGTACAGCCACTTGACGATGTTGTCATTGAAGCTGGCGCCCTTGAATCTCCAGGGGTAGTCTGCGGGGTGTGGAGTGGGAGGAGCCGGTCAGGGAGCCCCTCATGCAATTGAGGTCCCCCCTCCCGGCGACGGTGGGGTGGGGGGACTCACCTCGGCAGGGGGCAGGGGGGATGCCGATGCAGATGAAATACTGGAAGGTGATGATGCAAGCCAGGAAGCAGCAGTACTTGGGCCAGATCTCAGCGATGGCCTTCCTCCTGCGCCGGTACAGGACGGCAATCAGCCAGCAGGCGTGAATCATGGCGTAGAAGTCCATGCGCTGGCCGATCACGTTAACTGACATGAGGAAACAGGTCTGCGTGAGGATGAAAGAGGCAGAAAGTCGGCTTTACAGGGAAGGGGAGTGGCATCGGCAGGCAGCCCCCAGGGGCGGTGGAGACCTGCCTTCCTGGGGCCAGACCCTGGATGTGTTCTTCACCTGCTCTGCCTCTGCAGTGTCTTTTCATCATGAAGACAGAAGACTGACCAGGTGGCTGTCAATAAGAATCACTGTTCCAAGTACTGAGGGCAGGCAGCCCACATTAATCAGGTCAAAACAGTGTGCTCTGGCTGAGGTCATACATTCAGAAGGCACCCAGACATCTGTAAGACCAGGCGTCCTGAGAAGCCATGTCCACAGCTGCAGGGCAGGGGACAGTCACTGAGTCCTGGAGACTCTCCACCAGGCCAGGAACCCTGCCATGGAAGTTGCCCCCAGACCCCTGGATCCCAAGGAGACAGAATGTGCCACAGAATCATTCTGTGGCATGGAGATGTGCCACCAAGTCCTTGTGGCCACCTGGCTGAAAGCAGCTGCTGGAGTTTTCAGAAAAAAAGAGAACAGGTCAGCAAGGAAACTCACCTCCAGACCAAACTTGTAGAAGAAGTAATTGATGAAATACTTGGCACAGTTAACAAGTCCATCATCCAGCTGGAGTCTTGTGATGTTGTGGAAGATGGTTTTAGACACAGGGGTTGAGAGGTTGTTCCGACCTCGGTAGTACTCCTGATGGCGATAGATGGTGACCTCAAAGGCCAGAATGGCCAGCATCAGCAGGTTGTTCTAGAAAGCAAGGAAAATACACGTGATGCCACGTGGTCATCTATAGTCTCTCTCAAAAAGCCATCTCACTTCACTGTGGGTGTCTAAAGGTACAGTGTGTGATCAGATCCCACATCCATGAAACAGTCTTGACTTTAATGCTCATTTTCCCTGTATTGTGGTAACAAGGGTGGAGTCATCTCCAGTTTGCAAATCAGGCTAATTTTCATGATAACAGGATTTAGAACCTCTAGACCAGTGACTGGCGATGGTTACATCAGATCTAGAAAAAGTACCACCGAACCAGACAGCTGGGTTCACTTACTTGGAAGGGTTGTCCAGCCTTCTTTGCAACTAAATGTGAGAAATCCTTATACAGTATCCTACAGGGACCCTGGGAAACAGACTGAGCTGCAAACTGGGGCTTAACTTAGCAAGCTTTGAACACAATACCTCTGAAAGCTGGCTAGAGAGAGCAGTAGAGTAAAAAATATGCTAATCATACTACAAAATAATAATACAAAATAGGTGACATTTATGGGCCAGACACTATTCTAATCATCCCTTTCAAATATCAGTTGGTTTTATCCTTGTAGCAGCTCTTAATGGTAGACATCATTTGTATGTTACAAACAATATCAGTCATATGAGCAAAACACCAGGAAGCTACACCAAGAGAGAGAGGAGATGCTTAGCACGCTTTCAGATTCCAGGAGTTGAGTACAAAGGCTTTAATTACATCATCAGCATAATCCATCAAAGTAAAATGCTCAAACTATCCATCACAGAAACATGTGAATAATCTGAACTATATTGCTTTCCTTATGTTTGTTACAACTATATGCAATCAGAATTTATTCTTCAAAGACTTGCTCTTTATATGTGGCTACTTCTAAGCATAATAGATGCCACTGATTAAAATGTGTAGAATTTAGACAGCAAGCATTTCTTGTCATGCTACACTTACTTCTCAGAAGTAATTACTCTGACCATTTGGTGTAATTTACTCAATATTTTTTCTTTGTGCCTACAAGACATCAATCTATGTATCCTGTTTTGAAGTTTGCTTTTTTTTTTCAACATTACAATATATTTGGGATATCTTTCAGTGTCTGATAATATTATCAATCTGCCTCAGTCTTTGAGTGGTTTTGTAACATTCCAGTGAATATATTTGTCATACTCTATTCAACGAATCTCAAATTACTTAGCTGATTTCTTTTCAGCACAATTCAATACTGATTTTAATACTCAGTCATGTGTTTTGGAGGTGACTGCAAACCCCACATAAGAGGACGAGGCTGCTCTCCAAGGTGAGGTGAGCGGTCTCCAGGGAAAGGGCTGCAGACATGAACTTGGCAGAGGCAACGCTAAGGATGAGGAAGACTTACCCTCAGGTAGACAAGCAGAGGAGATGACTTCCTGAGGCCCACCCATTCTGTGGGGTCGATGGGTGCACTGTAGAGCAGAGACTTGTTCAGCTGGTGCAGGGGGATGTTCGTCTGGTTTTCATTTGGCTGAAAAGAAAAGAGAAAGGAGTAAGAGACGGCCCGCAGTCAGGAGAGTTCAGACTAGTCTCCCTCAGTTTTGAGCCAAAGGACACAGGGATGGGGAGGGAGGACCCACTTTAGGGGTCCTGCCTCAGGAGAGACAGGGCCAGGACACCTCCGACTCACTGAGCCGACAGGGGCCTGACAGCGAGGGCTGGGGGACGTGGGTCCACCAAGGTCTGCCTCCCTTCCCTAAAGGCCAGGCAAGGAGACCCTCCGTCTCTGAGGCTCACCAATGAACAGTTCACAGAGAAGTTCTCAGGCTTGATGGTCTGCAGCTGGTACAGCATCTTACAGACAATGATCACACATGTCCAGACGGTGCAGATGCTGGAGGCCAGACGGCGGAGCTTGGCATATGGCAGAGCGAAAGCCCAGGAAATCAGAAACACGTAGTTGAACAGAGACACCTGAAAACACAAAATTGGAAATGGGGACAAAAATATGTCACACTGTACAACATCTAAAAACCTAGATGTTTTTAGGCAACTTGACTGATTCGGTTCCTCTGAGCTGAGCAAAGGCTGGCTGAGCTCCTCGTATGCACAAGAAAAGGCTGTGGGTGTTAAGGTACACATCTTGTACACAGAAAGGTGTGCAAGCAGGTGATGTTAAAGTCGCAGCAGAAAACTACAGAGGTGAACAGGCTTTTGGGAGAACACCCAGGGGGTCCTCAGCCCAACCTGGAGCTTCAGGAACCTCTGCTGGGAGAGAACACGCCTGAGCAGTGCCCTCAAGCTGTGTAGAATTCAGGCATACCCACTCTGGGTGGACACACGGCACACAGCCATGCCCATGAGTCAGCGTCCATCTCTGCCCCACCCGCACTCAGCGTGAGGACCTTAAGTCCGAGTGGCCTGAGGCTCCAGCTGGAGCAGATGCCTGGCTGGGTCTGGCCTGAAGACGGAACAGCGTCACTTGCCTCCTTCACAGACACCCAGATGATGTAGGAGGACACAATCTTGACGATGTGCAGCTCCAGGATCCACCATAAGAATGTCTGCAGCTGGTGGAAGCCCTCCAGGAACCGCAGGAGCAGCACCGTGAGGCGGTCGATCACCAAGTGCCACTTGTTCCTCAGATCTGCAAGGCAGGGCACATGGCTGTGAGCGGAGACCTGGCCTGTATTGCTGGGTCCCTTGTCCCTCTGATCTGCAAGGCAGGGCATGTGCATAGCTGTGAGTGGAAGCCTGGCCTGTACGGCTTGTTCCCACAGTTTCTAGCTCACTGCCAGGGTCAAACATACACTTGAGCATATATTGAGTATATATCTCATTATATATTTATATATTGAGTATATATTTGATTTCCTTGGAGCAAGACAGCGGTTTGTTTCCTCCACGTGTGAGCCAGCATCCGAGTGACTCCTGAGCGGGCAGCTTACCTGACGTCTCCTCCTCCTCTTCGTCCTCCTCGTCCTCGTCCTCATCCTCATCCTCGCTGTCCCTGCCAGGCTCGCCCTTCTTGGCTTTTGCAGGGCATCCCCCCAGCGTCTCCTCCACAGGCCCAGCCAGCTGCTTGACCTCCGCCACCTCCAGGCTGGCAGTCAGCTTCATCATGGCGAGGTCCGGAAGGCTTCCCTCGGGGTGGGCCAGCCTGTCGGCAGAGAGCAGCCAAGTCAGGGAGGGAAGAGCGTCGGGAGCTGAGAGTGAGGGGCACGTGGAGGAGGATGAACAAAATGGAAGTCTCTAGGTAGCCTGGCATGTGGGCTTGTTCGTGTCCAGTCACTTTTTATTTTTTAAAGCTCTTTCTAAAAAATGAACTGTAAACTCAGGTTTGGTGAGCTCTTCCAATTCAGGTTCTAGTGATGAGTCAGTCATGAGAGCTATCAACACCTAAACTTGACATTTTTTCCCACAGGAGAAAATGGTCAGAGTTTAGGATGGAGAAGCATGAAATGGCATAGTGTAGAGCAAGCATTTCATGGCTTCACGGGGGGACTTACTCATTGTGATGGATTGGTAATTTTTTCTTGATGCTGCTCAAAGTAATGGAAATAGAAAGGAAAAAAAAAGGAGATGAGAACAGAAGAGTTATAAGGAGAGTCAGAGATCACACATCATGCTACAGTCATCTACTATTGCATTCCTGTACGCCAGGTGCAGGGGCCCTAACGCCACGTGCATTCCAGGATGGCGGCCACAGCGTGCTTTGGCTGGGAGCCCTGAGCCGGGCAGCTAATCTGAGAGTGGACGGCACTGCAGTGGTGAAGGGCAGGACGCAGAGACTGCTGAGGCAAGTCAGGTCATGCTTTCTTAGAAACACAGCAAACCATCCCCTAGGAATCAAGTCATTCACAGTTTAAGGAGGGATATATGTTTTTTTAAACTCTTAAATAATGTGTAATGTCAGTCAACCTTTGCATGGACCAATCTCATCCTGTAGCCATCTGAAGCATATGCAGTGGATGCAAATGCTTCTGGGGGTAAGAAGCCTACATCACACCCCATCCTGGGGCACCAGGTGAGCTGCGGGACCAGATCTCCTGGGAAGAGTGCAACAGCCCGGCTGAGGGGGCTGCAGCCTTAGGGAGCTCAGCAACTCTTGGGTGTCCAGCTTAGCTCACAGCGAATAGTACTGAGTATGATCTTGTTCCTCAATTTTTAAAGAGTATATCTTTTTATTAATATTCAAATGAATGTTTGAAGGAACGTTTGTGGGCAATAGACAATAGGAAAAGGCCTATTACAGATAATGCAGGTAGTCCTCATTTGCAATAATTTATTCATTTCAGCCTGACTGTCACAAGACAGACACTTAACAATGTTATCATATCTGTAATACTCTGAGTTTTATCTGTAATATTGTATCTGTAATATCTGTTATTGGCTCTGAGTCAATTTCATGTCTCGAATTTTATTTATTTATTTTTACAAAATCAAGAAGTTTGGCTAGATAAAAATCTAAGCTCACATGCAACCTGTTGGTTTTGTATTTAAAACCCCTGTGATATTGGAGAACTGTGGTCAAGCTTCTGCATTGCTCTTGGACTTTCAAAGAGGTTCTCCCTCAAAAGCAATTCCTTTTAGCGATGTCAAGCAGGTAGATCACAGAATGTCAGAAACGAATTGCTAATTTACTGAACAAAGAATGTTCTGAGGTCGGTGGAAGAAAGTGTGCTGACATGTACTTGCTTATTTTCTTTTTCTTTTCTTCTCTTATTGGATATATGCGTACATATAGCTGACTTACGTTGTTGCACAGCATAAAGTAACACAATATTGTAAAACAACTACATTTCAAAATATAAATTAATTAAATCGCATGATCCAAAAAAAAAAAATTCACCTTTCAGTTTGGCTTTGATAATCCACATTATAGCCAGATTTCCACAACATTATTTTCCACTTGTATGTACTTGCTTATTTTCCTAAGCTAGATAATTCACCTGAGAACATCTGTGATCATAAAATGCCTCTGGATGAAAGTATTTTCAATGCACAGTTGGAGTTTCTACTTTAAAAGACACTGTATGAATCCTTTCATTGTGCTTTCGTTTTTCTCATAGCATTTTTCTGAGACAATCCAGAACAATGTTAAAGGCAAGCTCTTTGGAATCAAATAGATTTAGATTCAAGCCTAAACTAGACATCTTACTAACAAGGGGACGTGGCAAAGCTCCTTACACTGTTTTTCATTTTTAAAAAATTTTATTGAAATAGAGTTGATCTACTATGTGTTAATTATAACAATGTGATTCAGTTACACATGTACACAGGATCAGGTGTAATGGCCCTGGTTTGTGTATATGTAGGAGAACTAACCATTGCTCCTGTTAAAATATTCTAAATCATTCTGTTTACAAATTCAGTTGGAACGTCCTGCAGTTTTTCACACCATCAGAATTTTGTCAGTCAGCCACTATCCTTAACACAGCCCTACCTCACATCTTATAAGGTTAAGTCTAAATTGTGACTGACCCAGAAGTTGGATATAGGTATGTCCCCTCTTTCATCAGAACTCCCATCTACAAACACATTACCCTCCTTATTAAACAGCACTGAGCATACAGAAATAAATTTGGGGAGAGAGAAAGCTTATTCACTCAATAAAAGGTTCACCCTATCATTCTAATCAAGAGAAGTCCCTTCAAAACTGGACATACTTCACGTGCAGCCTTTCGGAAGCACACACTGTGCAGAGAGAGGGTGTGTTAGGTCGAGTGCTCCCCAGGGCACAGCTCTGACTTTTAAAATGTGGGCATTCAGACAAAAATGAGAGTTCACTGGAAAGAAGATTGAGCTAGTGGTGGAATGCTTCAAGTTTTTAATTATTTTAGATGACTGCATCTGGGTCATTCTGAGAACTCCTGAGTCAGTTCAGGGTTGATGGGCATACGTTTTTCCTCAAGAGCAAAGTAGGGGGCCAACTCTGTAGCATCAGCATCCTTGGCACATTGGTTCTAGGACACCTATGGACACCAATACCTACAGGTGCTCAAGTCCCTTGTATAGAATGCTACAGTATTTGCTTGTAACCTATGCACATCCTCCTGTATATTTTAAATGATCTCTAGATGATTCGTAATACCTAATACTATTTGAATGCCATGGAAATAGTAACTTGAACACAGCAAATTCAAGTTTGCTTTGGGGAACTTTCTGGATTTTTTAAAAGAAATGTTTTTGGTTGAATCCACGGATGCAGAAACCATGGATATTGAGGGCGGAATGTATTAGTTGTCAGAGCCCATCAAACCACTCCTGCCTCTTGGGCGCCCCAGCCACCTCCTCTTAAAGCACATGGTCAAGACTTCATCAGAAACATAGAGTGAGAGAGAGACAGATATAGTGTGGTTCTTTATGAGGGATAAGACTGATATGGCTGCTCAAGATTTATGCTTCAAGTCTCTAGCTTACTTCTTTAGCTGGCAGCTAAAAACTTGAGGTTGACATTTCTCTCTCAGGTTGACCCCAAAACCAGCCCCAAAGGGAGCCCACCCAGCCTCATTCCTCTTCCATAGAGATCTCCACAGAGATGCACTAAGTGTTTACACCTCTTTCTAGACATTCTGCCTCCTCAGGTCTGATACTTGGTTATCAGACTCAGCATTCCTCTTAAGAGGAAAGAGAGTGGAGTAGAAAACCTGCAGATCTTTCCAAGAGTTGTTTTGTTAAGTGGATTTATTGCAAAATACATGCTTCTACTATCTAAATTACTGACTTGATTACTTAAGACGTGAAGTTATGGGAGTGGATATTTTAATTCTCTCAATAAAGTAAGAAGAGCTTTGGTGAATTAGACCTGAAGACTCTTCTCTTTTGGGCACTTGAGGATAGCTCCACACATGGCAGGTGTCAGAGCTCACCCTTTGTTACCTGTGGTTATGAACATGTGTTATCTCCCCGCCTGGGTGATATGCATCTAAGACATGCTGCCCAACTTGGCTTTTTTTTTTTTGGCAGAAGGCAAATATATTGTGATATCTGTCAAGTAAAATACCATCCTTCTACATGATGCTCTTTCAAGTAGATGTATACTTGAAGAAACTGGTGTTTTAATTTTCTCTTAACCATAGATTGTTGGACCCATTATCACTTCATTCAGGCATATCCACTAGTGGTTAAGCCCCCACGGTAGGTGAGATATTGGCCCTGCAGTGGATTGTACAGGGACCCAGGGCCTGAGGGGTGGAGGTGGCGGGCAGGGGAGATAAGACAGGCAGGCAGACGGGACTGAAGGCCAGTGTTGGGAGGCGGCAGCAAAGAGAAAGTGCTCCGGGAACTCAGAAGAAGGGCCAGTACGCTCAGCAGGGACTCGGCAGAGATGGGTGGTTTGTGGAGCAGCTGGTTCTTGAGCTGAGCTCTCGATTACGTGTTCAGGAGGGAGATGGGCTCGCAGGCAAGCCCAGGGCTAATTCTACCAAAGGGTGACCAATGCCGAGCGCCAGCTGAAGACCCTCGGCCACCTTCGAGTCCACTCAGCAGCACCATTCAGTCAAAACACCGAATGGTTGGGTTTGCAAAAGACATCCATAGCATACCTGGAGGCCATGTTCACTGTCTGATGATGTCAGTTTCATTTACAAGCTAATAAAGAGCTTAACACCCCCAGAGACCATTTTAAAAAAGGAGCCAAGAGAGAAAATGTTGAAGTACCCACCTATTTATTATCAGATACACACGCCCATTGACCTTGGCATGGCTACGCAGGAAGCGCAAGGCGGCAGCGGGGAGACAGTCAGAGAGAGAAAGAGGAGAGTGTTAGCCAGAGAAGGAGCTGACTGTGGCCCGTAAGTTCTGCATCACCAGGTGTGTCACCAACACCTTTCATGCACTGCGAAGTGTCCAGACAGCGAGGTTCGGCAGCACCGTGGAGTCAGACAGAGTCAGGTTTGAAAACACTTGACAGTGACAGCCTCTTCCTCCCTCCCTCCCCCAAAGAATCACACGTCTGGTCAGGTACCTGTAAGGTTTAAATGTCCAGAGTGCACTTATCAAATAAAATACCACGTAAAACGTTAATTCTTGGTCCTTCTCCAGAATTAAAAAAATAAAATCCTTTGAGTATCCGTATTCAAGAAACTGTTTTCTGAGTTTTCTAAAGTTAAAGTTTAAAAAAGCCATTCTATTACTGTATGTGTCACAGTACCTTCTAAAACAAATTATTGACACGTGGCAGTCACATATATTTAATAAGGAATGGACATTCAGTATCTTACTTTTAAGTGTTTATTATATAATAATTATGTTGTAATTATGTTATAGTGTCTATTTTATCAATATATAAGGGAGATGATATTCCTGACAATGTCTACCTAGAAATAACAATAATTTCTCATAAGATTTGTCATAAAATTTTTCATGCTAACTCTAAATTCTAGAAGGCTCAACATGATGAATTCTGCCTCAGACACAAGTGACGCTTGCCTGCAGGGCAGACACAAATCACACAAACAACAGACAGAACAGGCAAAGGAGAGCTGGCTGTTCATAGAAACAACTGGACCAGAATCAATATAAGGGATAAAATGCACTGATCATTCCCAATTTGGGATTTTTTTTTTTTTTTGGGTGTAGCATCTACTAAGAGGGAAGGAACAGAGAAGGCGAAGCATGACAGTCAATCCAATTCTGAAAAGATCTCTTTCTTCATCATTTTGACTCTAAAGTAGCCACTTACTAGTGCCCTAGGGACTAAAAATCACTAGTAAGGAAAACACTGCAATGGAAAAGACTTGTGAAAAAGATGGGATATACACCCCATGCTCCAGGTAGAAATTTGGGGATTTTTATATGAAACTCCTGCATGAAATCCCTAAATACCAAACTCGGATGAGTCCTTTGAACTCCTCTTTTCACAGAACCAAAAATAAAATCCCATGACCCCAAACCATGCATACTGCTGACATTACTCATTCTTGCCTCGCCCTTTCTGTTCTCTTGGAAAGTAACAGTTCAGGAGGTGCTAGGGGCTGAGCCTTGGCTAGAGGAGGGCCAGCCATGGCCTCAGACTGACCAGACCACGGGGCCTCCTTCCTGTCCAGCCGTGTAAGGGGGTTACGGGCTGGCTAGACAGTAGAGGAAAACAGGAGGACACATCTTGATAGGAGGCTGCTATCCTTTTTCAGAACCCACATAATTAAATCACATTTATGTACTTAAGGAAACCCTGTTCAACACATTCAGTTTTCCATAATTCCACCAGTCAATCTTAAGTGAAATCAACCTTGAATATTCATTGGAAGGACTACTGAAGCTCTAAGACTTTGGCCACCTGATGTGAAGAGCTGACTCATTGGAAAAGACCCTGATGCTGGGAAAGATTGAGGGTAGGAGGAAAAGGGGGTGACAGAGGATGAGATGATTGGATGGCATCACCAACTGAATGGACATGAGTTGAGCAAACTCTGGGAGATAGTGAAGGAAGGAAGCCTGGCATGCTGCAGGCTTCCTGCACTGTGCAGGAACTGTGCCTAATTTCATGAACTGTGCCTAATGAATTACTGCTTCATCTTCTTTCTGTGGACTCACTGTTTCCCTTGAGAAGGGGCTTGGGAATTTTCACCTGTGGTGTCTGTGTTCCTCTGAAGGCAGCACTTTGCTCCCTCATCTACGCAACAAGGGCTTTCCAGAAGCTGAATCACAGGCTATTATGTGAAGCAGAGAGGAAAATCTGTATCAAGGCTCATTAGACGAATGCCTGAAATGTTCCTGAGATGGAGCAGGCCTATGGATGTGTGCTGACCGGCTATGGCTCCATGCACATGGCCAGGGCGAGACAGATCCCATCAGCTACTTGGAAACACTTTGTATTAGTATTTATTAATGGAAGACAGCAACAGTGAACTGGTGGCAGAAAACACTGCCTTCGCTCCTTCCTTAAATGTTACTCTGGTTACTCACAGATGACAGAACCTTTCAGCTGAGGTCGTTCCTTTCCGAAACGGAAGGGAGAATTCTGTACTATGCTTTGACTCATAGAGACTTCCTTACTACCTGTCAGTGCAACAGAAAACTCACCCTCTGAATTTAGCCAGATTCTGTAAACATTCTAAAAACACCCTACCACCCTGGATACAAAAGACACATCGCCACCGCAAAGGAACCTCAGAAACACAGCTCCTCTGGACCAACTCACACACCTGTCAAGATCACCCACAAAATGTCATAAATCACTACCCGTGTGCATGCTAAGTTGATCAGTCATGTCCGACTCTTTGCGACCCCATGGACTATAGCCCACCAGGCTCCTCTGTCCATGGGATTCTCCAGGCAAGGATACTAGAGTGGGTTTCCATTTCCTACTCCAGGGAATCTTCCTGACCCAGGGATTGAACTTGTGTCTCTTATGTCTCCTGCACTGGCAGGCAGGTTCTTTACTACGAGCACCACCTAGGAAATGTAAATCACTACCTACTGTAAAGTGCCATCAAACACTCCACATTTTTTCTCATTTTTTCCCACTCAGAGGCTGACTGTCATGGCAAGTACAGGTTGACATTCTCAGTGAGAAGACGGGAGGGTCTGGCTGAGCTTGCATGGGCTCACCTATAGACAGCGCTGTCCTCCTTGCTGGGGATGGACTTCAGGTCAGTGAGCTCCAAGAATCGGTCATGGAAGTAGTGCAGGTGCAGGATGCAGACCAGGAGGAAGGAGGTAGGGATGAAGATGCGCGTGAACAGCTCGGCCACCGTGAACTGCTTCAGGCCAAGGTCCTCCAGCCTGTGAAACAGGGCAGGTTTCCCGGGTGGGCTCTTCCACCCAAATGTCCACAAGAATTTGGCTATTTCTCGGTGATTTCAGGCTGAACATTTTCAAGACAGAAGTCTCCATTTCCCCATATTCCTGAAGCAGCCAAGCTGCTCTCGCCCCCTCCCCACCCTGGTCTTCCTGGCACAACCGTCCACCTCGTGCAAAACGCCCAAGTCAGGACATCCCCTCCACCAACACACTTTCCTGTCTCCACCATCCACATCCCTTCACCCTCATCTCCTAAATCTGTGCTCTAGTTTCCTCTCTAGTGTCTCCTATTCTAGGTGAGGCCACCATCCTCAATCACAGAACCCCCCTCCCCCAACCCTGCTGGCCGACCATCTAGCTGTGTCTGTTCTTGCCCCCAGACATCACTGCTTTCTCTGCCAGTCAAGGGTGCTTTAAAGACTTGTAGACATTTCACCGAGAATGAGACGCAAACCGTCATCACCTAGGAGCCCTGAACCTCCAGGCGCCTGGCTGACCTCCACCCTCCCTGCAGGTGAGCCTTCCTGCTATTCAGTACACTCACCAAACCCTGTCCTGCCACAGGCCCTTTGCATTTGCTGTTCTCTTTTCCTGGAATGTTCTTCTACCTCTCAGCTCCCAACTCAGTTTTCTAAAGACAAACTCCTTCTTATTCTTCAAGAGTTTAAATGATATCTCCTGGGACTTCCCTGGTGGTCCAGTGGTTAAGATTTGGCACTTTTACTGCCGAGGACATGGGAAATCTGTGCTGGTCAGGGAACTAAGATTCCACATGCCAGGTGGTGCAGCCAAAAAATTAAAAATGACACCTCAGGGAAGCCTGCCTGAACCACTCCATCTCTAGCTATTGTGCCCCCACCTCAGCTTGTTTTCGTTTCCTTCACAGATGTGTCAGTTCGTAATTTATTTCACATAAAGTAGGTTTTTTGGTTTGTCTCCTGTCCTAGAATATAAGCTCCACTCAGACTCCCTCTGGCTTCCAGTTGATATTCAGGTGCACAAGAGTGTCTGGCTCAGGCAAGGTGCTCAGCTCTATGCTTCCTCCTCTGGACACTTGGCTCTATGCCCAGTCCTGGTTTGATTTCCAAAGGAATTTAGGAAGTTTAGAGGAGCTGAGTAGAAAACGCTAGAGTCCTGTCTATTTCATGCATGAGAAAGAGCCCATCACAGCTAGTTTCCATGGCCAACCACCCTTTGAGAGTCCCTTGGACAGCGAGGGGATAAACCAGTCAATTCTAAAGGAAATCATCCCTGAATATTCATGGAAACGACTGATGCTGAAGCTGAAGCTTCAAGTCTTTGGCCATCTGATCGGAAGCCCCAAGTCACTGAAAAAGACCTTGAGGCTGGGAAAGATTGAGGGCAGGTGGAGAAGGGGACAAGAGAGGATGAGATAGTTGGATGGCAGCACCAATTCAATGGGCATGAATTTGAGCAAACTCCGGGAGATGGTAAAGGACACGAAAGCCTGGCGTGCTGCAGTCCAGAGGGTTGCAAAGAGTCAGACACGACTGAGCAACTGAACAACAACTCCTTAGAATCCCAACACCGGCTCCATCCAGGAAGGAGGCTGATGCTCTGTGTTACAAGACTCCGGTTAGGAAGGGAGACCACGTGACTGTGAGGAGTCAGGCAGGTGAGCTTCACATGAAACACTAGAAAAACCTATTTCACTAATGAGGGGCTCAGAATTTACTTTCCAGTCAATTCTTACTGAGTACATATTATGTGCCAAAAACTCAGGCCTAAGTCATGAGAACCCAAAAAAAACCAGGACCAATGTGTTCTGTTCTGGAGGAACTTACAGCCAGTGATGACGTCAGGTTTTACTAAAACCTCCTTCCTGGCAAGGTGTTTGGAACAACACGCCCTGGCAACTTCACCCGGTGGGTCACTTTTCACCCTGTTGTCCAGCACAGTTACTTACTTTTCTTTTTTCAGTCCAGTCATGTTTTGCCACAAGCCTGGGAAGTTTTCAAACTGATATGTGTATATAAAGATGAGCACCAGCATTGTGTAGATAACCACTGACATCCAGAAGTACTTCAGGATCCGCCTCCACCATTCATAGTGCACCTGTGAGTCAGACGGTGAACAACAAATGAGGAAAAAGCGTGTTAGCGGAAAACTCACAAAAATACCTGCTGCATTCAACAAAAACAGGTGATTCCATTCACACACGTCTGAAAGCAAAGTCAAGTTCACTTTTAGTTTTTGAGGCTGTGTTGCTCATAGAGTTGGGACAACGTAGATTGGAATCTGAGGGCTTCCCTTATGGCTCAGATGGTAAAGAACCCGTCTGCCAATACGGGAGATGTGGGTTCGATCCCTGGATCAGGAAGATCCCCTGGAGAAGGAAATGGCAACCCACTCCAGTATTCTTGCCTGGAGAATCCCACGGACAGAGGAGCCTGGCGGTTACAGGCATTATTAGGGTCACAGTCAGACACAACTGAAGCAATTTGGCATGCACGCACGTTGTGTTAGTTTCAGATATATAGCAAAGTGATTCAGCTATATGTATTATATATATATTATATATATATATAGATTTTTTTCTTTTATGGGTTATTACAAAATCTGGGTATAGTTCCCTATGTTATTCTGCAGGTCTCTGTTTACTTCTTTTATAGATACTAGTGTGTATATGTTAATCTCAAATCCCAATTTTATCCCTACTCCAACTTTACCTTTAGGTTAACGATAAATCTGTTCTCTATGTCTGTAGGTCTATTTCTGTTTTGGAAATAAGTTAATTTGTGCTGTATTTTAGATTCCACATGTAAGTGATATCCTATGGTATTTGTCAGAAATACCACAGAGAAAGCTCTGTCTGATTTACTTCACTTAGTATGATTCTTTCTAGGTCCATCCATGTTGCTGCAAATGGCACTATTTCATTCTTCTTATGGTTGAGTAATATTACATTGTATAAGTATACCACATCTTCTTTATCCATTCATCTGTACAAGACAAGGATGCCATCCTAACCAATTTTCTGACTTTTTAAGAACATAACATTTCAAATTAGTGAACAGGTGGAAGGGGCTCACTCCTCACTTTAGGATTCCTAGCTATAGTGTTTGAATCTCATCGACCCCTTTACACGATGTATCTGTGAGGTCACAGTAACTCAGAGCCTCGCCGAAGGAAGCTCAGGCATACCCCTGGACAGATGCGAGGATGGCAACCTGGCGGCCAGAAGCACCCACCTGATACAGGGCCACACAGAAGAGGAAGAGCACCATGTAGATGATCTTGTACATCACAATTTTACCCTCGAAGCTGACGAAGAAGAACATCCCCCCGCAGACGTAGATCCAGTACTTGATGAACAGGGCCACCACCAGATTCCCTAGCACCTTCATCACGTCCTGCTCGTCCGCTTCTTCCTCTTCCTCTTCCTCTCTCCGCTCCTGCTGCTCCTCCTTCGGCTGCTCTTCTTCCTCCTTCTCCTGAGCCTCGCTGTCCCCCTGTACATCCTGTTCATCATCTTCAAGACAGAAGACCCTGCTGTTACGAGGAGCTGGTCCCTGGACCAGAACCACACACTCTGACCCGTGTGAGGTGGGTGCCACACACGTGAGGCATTACCATACGATTTAAAAATAATTTTAGACAGTTCTAACAAACAAGGCAGAATTTATAGAACTAATCACAGTTCACTTTCCTAACCTTCCTGAAACATTAAAGAAACACATTTTGTAATATTTTTATACAAGTTTTTCATAACACCTATTTCACTTGCATTGTTCAATAGCTCTAATTACTGTAGGATCGAGAGAAATAAACAGACACAATAACACAAACCAAACTAATTCTGACAATTTCAGATTCTGACTACAATGTGCCTCTAGCAGTATTTTACTGAATCTGGGTTATTGGTAATAATGTTAACCAGAAAGTATGATTTTATAGAATGAAAAAATTGAGCTGAAGCCAAATATAATTTAATTTAAATTAGGTTTCAGGACTAATTATAATTTAACTAAATTTAACTAAATGCATAAAAAATAGTTTTATGGATTGGAAGTAAAAGCTTATTTGGTCTCACTTTAAAATATGCTAACATATAGGACTCATCTTTATGGTCCTAAGGTGACCTACCATTTGAATAACTTACTTGAATGACCAGGAGATTCACAGAGTGAAGGGAATACACATGGGGTGAGAGGTCAGAGTAACTGTTGATCTTAAATGAACTGTTATTTACATAAAGTAACTGGTGAATTTAATCACTGTGTTAACAGACATCCAAACTCAAATAGTCAAGATTCAAACCTTAAAGACTTTTGTTGCTGAAAAACAACCAGTGTTTAGGTCTAAATGAGAAACTATAAGAAAAAGATGAGTTGGTTTTCTCCTCCTGACAGGGTTAATCTGAAGGTTACCAGCCCTGCCTCTGAGAACATTTATGGCTTCCTTTTCAGACAATGCTACACGCCTCACTAGTGGTCTCCAAGCTGTTCTACGAGCATTAAATTTTATTGTATTTACTGGCACACCCACACAGGTAGGGAGCAAGTGACTCTCATTTGACCCATGGAGTGGGGTCTAAAACTACAGAAGTGATCATCAAAACATCATCTTCCTTTTTTTTGACTTTGTGGTACATTCGATTTTGAAAAGGCAAGAGGATTTGAATTTGGGAGATCTGAGTCACTCTCTTGGTACTAACACTCAAGAAGCTGTGACACTGGAGGACCCAGGGAATGCCCTGCAGTGGGGATTACTTTTGAGTGGGTCAAATGACCCAGGGTCTCTGCAGCTCCAGTGGATGCCCGTGTGGGCAGGGACTCAGCCCTGGGGCGCGGTCATCTATCTGCTCACATCCACGCATGGCTTCCCTCTGGTCTGGGACACAGCCTCCAGGGATGTCCTCTGGGGCCCTTCTTCCGGTCACACTGCATGCACTAATTACCTTTTTCTTCACTTTCCTGACTTCCGATTTTGACCTCAGACAGAAGAGCTTCCTTTTCTTGGAGAGCTTTCTGCTCTGTGAGGTGCTGTCTCAGCAGCAGCCAGAATGTGATGGTGAACAGAATCTGGAAGGAGACAATAGGGATCAGAGCATCACACCTCTGAAGTGTAAGCATGTTCAACCACGACTATGCTTCCCCGCCCTTCAGTGGGAGCACGCTGCCTAAGCCCGTCCACTCGAGACAGTCAGGCCCCCACTACACTGCAGCTGAAAGTCACCAGCTTTTAAATCTCCTTCCTGAGGACGCTGGCGTGTGGTCCAGCGCCGGGGTGCCTTCATGCCTGGGACACTCCAGGAAGATGCACAGGACCACCTGCGCTGGAAACCAACGTGGGCCAACGGTCTCCTTCCTGCCTGGGACCTCAGCACAAGTAGAAGAGGAAGATGTATTTCTTCTATGAGCCCCATTACTTCCACAGTGTTCCTTATTTTGAAGAAATCCCCAGAAATGGGAGAAATAAAACATTTCATGCCAGCAAACAGAGTCCCTGAATCCTCCCTTTCTTTTCCGAAAGCTGACAGGGGAGTTGTTTACAGTACTCACATGTTTATATTAACATCTTCTTGAGGGCAAGGGGGAAAAATAATAATTTCAAGGAGCATTGAATACTTGGAACCTACTTTTGCACGTTCCTGCTTGGATATTAATGTTTTGATTACTGTGGTTTTGTCTGAATGCCCTGCCCTCTTTTTCCCTGCCCACTTACCTTTGAGGCGAGCTCCCCCGGCTCCTTCTTTTCTAAGAATCCTGGGACCTTTTTAATCTCAGGGAGCTCGAAGCTCCATATGTACTGCAGTATGAGCAGCAGGTTTCCGTAGACGACCATGAACGGGGAGCTGATCATGGCGTACTTCCTCCGGTTGCGGATCATCCACAGGGTGCAGGACCAGATGAGCAGCACGAAGGTCAGCCAGCTGTGGTAGGTGATGCTCCAGGCCTTCAGGGAGGAACGGCGAGAAAGCGGGGCGGTCAGTATATGGTACAGTCCCCACTCTGCTGAGTTAGACGTGGTCTACGAGGAAAAGGTCAGTGACATTCACACTGGGGGGAGGATCATGGTGAAACTATGGGGGAAACGTCCCAGCTGCATAGGGGAAGAAGCAGGGAGAAAGGCTGCCCTGTGAGCTGACACTGCCCTCAACCTCCTGGAGGGAACAGGGTCAAGCGAGGGTAGGGACAGCTTCACTCTGTGCCCTTTGCCCTCCAGCCCAGATGTCTTCCTTTTCACTGGATTTGCTGGATGAAATGCAACCCTAAGTGCTTCCTCCCTCATTCTTGGGGTCAACTATTTTTCCCGGGTACTGGGTGAATGGGGCCAAGCTGGGCTCAGAAACGGAAGCTGTGGGACCACAGGGTCAGCAGATGAGCTGGCTTCAGGGGTCCCCTTAGCCGACGCACTGGGAAGACAGATGTGATAGGAATCAGGGAATCGCCAGGAGGAGGTGGAGTGTCAGGTGTCTGCACCCCAGTAGTAAAGCCAGGCTAATGGAGAGCCCAGCCTCAGCTTCTGTCCTGTAGGGGGCAGGACATCCTCCAGTCACACCAACCCCAGCAGACCTAGAACACATCTCAAAGGGCAGCTTCCAGAACATTCTAGAAGGTCAGGCTCATGAATATCATTAACCTCAAGAAATCTATCCTCTCTTACCATAATCTTCAATACCAAATTTCTGTGAAAAGGCCTCTGTGACAATCTAGAAGGGTGGGATGGGGTGGAAGGTGGGAGGGAAATTCAAGAGGGAGGGAACATATGCATACCTGTGGCTGATTCATGTTGATGTATGGCAGAAACCAACACCATGTTGTAAAGCAATTATCCTCCAATTAAAAATACATAAACATATTAAAAAAAATATTTTCTAGTTGAGGCTGAGTTCAATCATATTCCTGACTATCAGGAATTTCAAGGGTATTGCAAAGTCTGAAATGTTTTATGTCTGTTTTGCTTCTGGAAAGTAGATAAGTATTGAGATAAATAAGATAAATGAATGAAGTCAGCACAGAACAAATACTTCCTCTCAGCAACTTGCAAATGTGTCCTAAATCAAAGCTAGTTTTTTAAGTACAGAGTTATTTAAAATTGTTGTTTAAAACATACAGAAATTAAAAACTAGAAATTAAAACTGCTTTTATTAAAATTAAGTGAGAAACTGACAGCTATTATTAAGTTATGAATTATTTTCACGAAATAGTATTCCTTGGAAATGGTGCTATCAAAGTGTTAGTCGCTCAGTTGCATCTGACTTTTTGTGACCCCAAGAACTGTAGCCCTCCAGGCTTCTCTGTCCACGGAATTTTCCAGGCAAGAATACTAGGATGGGTAGCCATTCCCTCCTGCAGGGGATCTTCCCAACCTAGGGATCAAACCCAGGTCCCCTGCATTGTAGGCAGATTCTTTATCACTGAGCCACCAGGGAAGCCTGGTGTTATCAAAGGTCGGTAATATTTAATGCCTTTATCCCAGAATGAAATTCAGATCTGACCTTGCCACTTTTGTGTGGGTGACCCAGGAGAGTAATCTGCACAGATATTGTAATTCCAGGAGAATTTTTTTCCCTGTACACTATTCCTGTTTGGATGAAAAAGGGAGGGAAACAAATTGGGAACGTTTTGTTAAACTTCTCTCATTTTTAAGGCCTCAGTCACACATTCCCCTCGGTTGTTGGGGGGTAGAATCTGCTTCACATTCCTTCTTGTGTGCAGTTCTAGGATCATCTGAAGGTATGGAATATTTGCACTGTGTGTTTTTGAATAAAGACGCCTATCATCCTAACAGACCCGGCTGCTTAGGACTACTCTAGAAAGAAGAGATCTGTTGTAATTAAAAGTCTGCTGCCGAGGGGAGCTTCCAGGGAAGATGCTCACAACCGGAAAACGCTCCTGGGGACCCGGTGCTTGGTGCTCAGGCTGGTAAGCATTTGTTCCAGTTCAAATGGAATAGTCTCACTCAAATCCAAGATGTGACTATAACCCTCATCATCTGAGAGAAATAAAAGTGGCCTTTGTTGACTGTGAACACCTTCAAAGCCACTTAGAAAAACTACCATGTCCTTTTAAATCTGAAAAACAGGGGACAGTCTGACTTGATAGGTTAATTTGAGAGACAGGTATTAATATTTAACACCAGGCTAAGTGGCATAGAGGAGGACATGGTTTTGAAATCTATAGTATAAGATCCCATGAAAAATTAACAGAATCAGCCATTGTCTGCCAAGACATCAGGAAGATGAGGAAGTTGCGCTGGTGGGAGGAGGCGGTGGGGCTTGGAGCCAGCGGGGCTTCAGCACTGTCCATCCCCGCCAGCGCTAATGTTGTCCCAAGGACAGAGCAAGGTGTGGGGTGGAATCTGAGCAAAAGTCAGGACTCGGCGCATACGCACCATCATGGCGATAAGGGCGCAGATGTAGCTCTGCTTCATGATGAACTGGAACACAGACACCATGGCGTGCACTTTGACACTCCTCTTCTCCTCCCGGCTCCGCTCCGCTTCAAACTCTTCTTTCTCATCATCGTCTTCCTCCTTCTTTTCTAGAGGGACAGATTATTTCATATAACAACTTATGCATGTAGGTGAATTTCATATAAGCATCCCAAGCACAAATTTGTCCTCTCCAGTAACAGGCAGCTCTCTTTCAACCGGATTGTTGTGTGCTAAGTCGTTCAGTCGTGTCTGACTCTTTGTGACCCCATGGGCTATAGCCCACCAGGTTCTTTTGTCCATAGGATTCTCTCTGCAAGAATACTGGAGTGGGGTGCCATTTCCTCCTCCAGGGGATCTTCCTGACCCTGGGATCAAACCCACATCTTTTTCATCTCCTGCATTGGCAGGCAGATTCTTTACCACTAGTGCTTCAACAGAATAAATTGAAGGAAAAGGGAGAAAGGTCTAGTCAAAGTTTTGGGCCTTTTGGTTTTCTTATTAGACAAAAAGAACTCTTCTAGAAAACATTCATACACTAACCAGAAAAACTATGGACCGCGATAGTGGAATCAAATTACAAAAAGACTAAAACACAAATATGCATGTAGGTTTAACACTGCAAACAAGATGACTTGTTTAAAATAATATTTTACCTTCTATTTTTCAAAGTTTATTCCCATTGTGCTCAGTCACTTCAGTCATGTCTGACTCTTTGCGACCCTATGGGCTACAGCCCACCAGGCTTCTCTATCCATGGAATTCTCCAGGCAAGAATACTGGAGTGGGCTGCCATGTCCTTCTCCAGGGGGTCTTCCCAATCCAGGGATCGAACCTGTGTCTCTTAGGTCTCCTGCATTGGCAGGCAGGTTTTTTTTTTTACCACGAGTGCCACTTGGGAAGCCCTTACCTCCATTAGGTCACTTATTTTGTACCAAGACAGGAATGCACAGAGCAGGATATAAGGGCAAAATCTGGGGAGAATCTAAGGAAATGGGCTTCATCAGATTGACTGTGGAAGGAAAAAAAACCTCTTCTAGAGATGAAAAGGAAAGAGAACTATATCCAATGAAGGATAAACCAAAGACAAGAGATGCTGAACTCTGCAGGCCGTGGTCCTACAGGCTCCTTACCCGGGGAGGTGGCAGCGGGCTCCCAGCGATACTGCGGCGTGGAGTACAGGTCAGCCTTGGCAGGGCCGTTCTCCAGCGGCAGGCTGGGGTGGATGGTGTGGTAGTCCACGGGGTTGCCGTTCACGGTCACCAGCAGGCCCTGCCGGGGGCGTGGGGCAAAGGCAGGTGGGACAGCAGCTCTGGTTTCCCGCACAGACCCCCCTCCTCTGCTCTGCTAGGTGGGCACACTGGATGCTGCAGAACCGAGGGGAAGCTGAGCACTGTGGGCAGTGATGCCCGCCAGCAAGACAGCCCTGCGCGCCCTCCAAACCCAGCCCCACAGAGTCACACGGGACGAGGCAAACCTGAGCTGGCCCACTTCTGCTGCACCCATGCCAAGCGCCCTGCTCTCTGTATGAAGTGTGAAGCCTGGAGAGGCTGCAGAGGGCTCAGGGCCTGCTCTGGTCTCCCTCCAGCCTCAGCTCCCGGCCCTCCTCCAGCTACAGGACGTCCAGAAAGACTGGGTTCTGGCCTGGAGCTGCTGCCTGCCCTCCCCCCTCCCCCCACCCCAGCCCTGATCCCACCTGCCCCACATCCCGCGTGGCCCTCAGGACAAGCAACGTCTCAGGTTAGCCACAACCCTACAGTCTCTCCCTGACACTGCAGCCTGCAACTCCCATGTTGCAGCATCTCATACACTAAATACATTCTCCTACTTTTTCCCTCTGGTTTATTTGGCTTTACAATTTTTTATTTATGCAGATGCATATAAACATAGACACGCACACATACACGTGTGTTCACAGACTTGTGAGACTTCCTATTCAAATCATAGAACAGCCATATCTGCAGAGCAAAACGCCTTTTGAGAAAAAGCCCTCCAACGTGGCTTTTTAAAAGTTTAAATACGTTTTATATGTTTATACTCGAGCTCATGTTATATGAGTCAGTGTTTTAACAGCAATAAATCAGATACAATTTCTGCAAAATAGTATTCAAAAACGTATGAAAATTTTATAGAGCATTAAACTACACTCAGAGGAGCTAATTCCATTTATGTGCCCTTTCCATCACTGACGCGCGCAGAAATGAGAATTCTAGGGTATACTAACGTCAGACGGCTTGTAGTCATCCTGAGTCATGGATAAAAGCTGCAAAAGCAATACAGGACAGCATGTTAACATGTGAGCAGAAAGTGATGTGATGTTTACACACAGCTACAAAGTCTCAGCACATATGCACTGGCTCCTTCAGCTGGGAGCATGCAAGTGTGTTAACATTATAGTGCAAAACATAAAGGGACAGTGACCCAGCTGGAGGCTGCTGTTTATTGTAACCATTTCCAGTTTCTGATGCTGTCTTTTCATCACAATAAACAAGCAGTCACTAACCACATGACTGAAAAAGCTGATGCTGTTTTTCAAGTGTTTTGTTCTCACAGAATTAGCTGCTTGCTTTTAGACTTCTAGGACCCTTTGAGATGTCTGTAGGATTCTGAAAGTGTTGACTTTTCAAGAAACTGAAGTTTCATAATAAAGAAAACTTGACTTGCAGTACAGTTTAGGATTCAGATTTGCATACTGTCCACAACAGAAGAATTATGACATGGCTATGACTTTCAGCTGTATTAGAGCTGAGGGGTCCAGTTTCCCCAATAACAAGCATCTGCTGAACTAGCGGTTCTTTCACTTTTTGGGTCAGAACTTGCTCACTTTCTTAAAAATCACTGAAGATCCTGAAGACTTTTACTTACGAGTGTCCTACCCATCAATATCTATTGTGCTAGAAATTAAAATTGCAGCATTAAAAGCATTCATTTGTTCATTCATTAAAAATTGGCTTGTTCACATGAATAATTTTATCTAAATAGTTATCTTTAAAAAAAATAGTGAAAAGAATGGGGTTGTCTTATTAAAATATGCTTTTGTGTATCTTTCATGTTGGACTCAAAAGACTACTCCATTTATTTTCCAGTAACTGCCTGCCAAAAGCTCACACCAGAAACCCCCGAACTGTCCATCAGCTGTTCTTGCACATAGACCTGTGGTACACAGACGGCAGCTGAGTCCACTCGCCAGCCAAGCACCTCTCCTCCTCGAGGGATCAGGACTTCAGGGGGTCTTCCGCTGATGTCACTCAGAATATTAAAAAAGTGTGTGCCCCAAGGTTGAGATTTAAGAAAAGCAAAGACTATTTCTGGTTTATCAAGAACATTCTTAAGTGGAACTGACCTTGCTGTTCTGTTTTGTGTGCACATGTGGCTGTCAGGTTCATGCTGCGGCCATGGTTGGAGCTCTTGTACCATCGGAGCAAGTGTCAGCACAGCCGAAAGGCACATCTCTTAAATGTCGTTACAAAAATTGTTTCGGGCCCGTGGATCCGAGGAAGGGTCTTGGGAATCCCCAGCCGTGGTCCACAGCCCTCACCTTGGAAACTGCCATGCTGTCTCCATGGATACCATGGCTAAGTGACCTGAGTAGGATGGTCTGGCACGTGTGTGATGGGACAAAAGGGCTCCAGGACACTAGATGTCTCCGGGTACCACGGCTGCTCCTCCAGGCTGCAGCACCCTGAGTGCATTCACTGTTTTCCCATCTCTCGGCCCACAACAGGCAGGTGCACAAATAGGACCAGGTGTCAGAAAAACTGCCACCGAGTCAATCAGAGAATCCCCTCCTTGATTCCTAACATGACCCCACCAGAGAAGTGTGAGTATCTGTGGTCCCCACATTGCAAATGGGTCACTGTAACAAGTCAGTGGCTGGGGCGTGTTGAAAATAGTGAACAAATGGTGAAAAGCTTAAGAATCACCCAGCTGTGCTCTTGGCCCCGGCACCCACACTGTGACCCTGACAGAGGGAGGGGTTCCTCTTCATGCCCACACAGACAGGCCAGTGTCCCATCAGTGGCTGTGTGAGCAGTCGTGGTCACCACGGTGACCGTCCCAACATAGAATCACTCTCCACAGTGCATCCCAGCACCTAGGCTGACACTGCCCAGGGCCAAGGGATTGCTTTGTTTTCTGTTTTGTTTTGTTTTGTTTTAAAGACAAAGTATCTTTAAAAATTAAAACCACTCTCTCTTTCTGGGACTGAGAGGCTTCGGGGGGAAGCACTGAACTGTCAAAGGTTGGGTCTGACAGAGCCTGGGGTTTCCTTTCCAAGCACTGGGCTCCCATGTCTGACCCTAACCTTCACCATCAAACAGCCCCTGCAAACTGAGCAACCTGAGTTTGCACGTGGACTCACATGGCCTCTATTCAGCAATATGATAAAAAGCAGAAAATAAAGGAGAGACAACCCCTGTCCCGGCAGCTTACTTTTCTTTCGTCCGTGGGGTAGTGGGTCGCGTACCACAGGCTCCGCCTCCTTTCGGCAGTGATGGGTGCGGGGCTGCAGGCCAGGGCTCTGTCCTCCTCTTTGGTTCTCTCTTCCTGCACCTGAGACACAGAATAATCCACAGGACAGCGTTGTTTCCGGAGCAGGTCCCCCAGCAGCCTGGGAGCCCAGACAGAGATGCTTGTCTCTGCCCCCACACGCTGATCTCGTAAAGTAACGTACACCCTACACGGGCTTTCATCCAGACACTTTATAAATGGCGGAGACAGCAGACTCGCTTGTGAATTACAGGAACAGCTGCCCATGCTCCATTAGGAGCCTCCATGTATGTTCTGACCGGCAGGGGGAGGGCCGTGCAAGGTCCACAGAGGCCACAGCTGCCCGTAGAACCTGCCAGGGGACTCTCATGAAACAGACATTCACTAAAGGCAGCACCGTCCAGAGCTTACATGCAACAGTAAGCAAAAACACAGCTACTGCCTAATACTGCCGCTCGCCTAACTGAACCTTGTCCTAAATCAGTTGCTCCAGGAGAGATGGATAGAGAGAGGAAGGATCAGTACGCACTTGGTGGTTGAGGATGGTTTCCAACAAAGATGCCCCATGAAAGGGCGCTTACACGCATTGATCTGCAGGCAGAGGGAGAGGGCCCAGTGTTGCTGCTGATTCCCGGGGCCCAGTGTCCACACAGAGCACCAGACCCCAGGGAGCCCGAGTCTTACATTCAGCTCCAGACACTTGTTCCTCTCTTTCTCAAACTTACATCATAGACTTTTACTGCAGAACTCACGTTTTTCATGGCACCTACCAGGCACCTGGAACCATGATATTAATACAACCTGGCACCTGCCCTCCATCATCACCTTGGTGAGGAAGTCCTGAGTGCCAGCCCCATTTAAAACACCAACCCCCCTGAGGGTCGACCTGGTATGAATGAGAACCTGCTCTGCACACACCTGCAGACGCTGTAGGGTAGGACCTGCTGTGGACCGCGTGTCTTGGAACATGGCCCATCCTCCCCACTCTCTGCCTTCCCTGGTTCCTGGACAGCCCGGGGCCGAGGAGGTGGAGAGTCTCCGGGGCCCGAGGGGCTGGAACAACCCAGCAGCTCCTGCCTGAGGCACCAAGGAAAAGCCAGGGGCACCTGGGACTCTTATGAACCCAAAGACATTAAGGTCATTTCCATCATTGCCTAAGATGTTGTTCAGAGTAGTTCTCACATTTTATCTTCTTTCTCACAGTTTTATGTGTGCGTCTACACGTACCCGTATCTGTGTGTTTGTGCAGGAAGCAAACACAGCAACACTTGTAAGGGGTTTACTGGTGCCCTCATGTTTTTAGAAGAGACTCAGAGGAAAAGGTAACCAAGGTGACTGGGATTCTCCGTGACCCTGGAATTATCCTGTCACCACTGCCATCTTGGGGTCCAGGGAAAGTAAAACCTGAGACCCCTGCAAAAAAGATGCCTATACAGTGGGCCAGGGTGGGGGTCCCTACACAGAAGGAGGCAGGCAGACCCCTGCAAACAAGGATGTCTGTGCCATCGGTTGCTCATGTATTTGGGGGTTGCCTTTCCTCTTATAAACCGTTCAGTGCCTCCCCTCCTCTGGGCCAATGCTCTACCTGGGGCCCCAGGCTGGGGTCTGAGACGCTGGCTTGCTCTCAGTACACACTGGTGGCCTGGCTGCTGACCACGTGGATGGAGCTAGAGGGAGCAGGTGTCAGCCTGGCAGCTTTGCCCCCCACCCCCCTACCCCGTTTGGCACGCGGCCGGGAGATGATGCGGAGCAGCCCTGTCTGTGCCACCTGTCTCCCTCATAGCTGAGCTTCTCACAGTCATTTTGGGAGAACGAAAGGGACAGGAGTTGCTGTCACTGAAAAGGAAAAGAGAAGGACCACAAGCCGTACACCCTGATGGTGCCCTAACGTACCACATTCTACGAATAACCCAACAGGGAAGAGCCCAGTCCTCAGCCCTGCCCAGTGACCCTGGGGGTTACAGCACCACCGAGTGTGGGGACATCCCCATCATATCATCAGAGGTCAGAGGTCTAAGATTTAGGAAACTCCAGTCGCCATGACAACAGTCTGGGTGGTCAGAGACCCTTGCATTGTCAGCAAACATGCGCTTGAATCTTATTTCTACTGTTCAGCAAGTGTGTGATTTACCTCTCTACCGTTGGTCTCCTCATCTCTAAGATGGGTACAGCACCTGTAAGTAAACAGCCCCAGCAGCTGGCCTGGCACCTAGTGAGTGCTCAATGAAAACAAGGCTTCACTGCCCTCACTACCGGCCCTCTGAGCAGCCTGGGGGATGCTAACACAGGGAGGCTGGTCTTTGATCTGATAGAATCTATACTTGCTTAGGGCTCTGTGTGGAAACAAAACATTCTGATAAGAACACTATAGTTATTTCAGAATATACTATAGTCAGCAGTTGATAGGAACGAACCCTTTCCCCGGAGTCTCCTGCTACTTTGCAGACAAGACCATGAAAACTTCTGGTCCTTACAACAGGCTCCTGCAGCCAGATTCGGATCAGAGTGGCCAGCGTGTAGTACATCACCAGCAGGACGATGGGGTTGGCGTGGTGGTACCAGGACAGGTCGGGGTTGGCAATGATCTTCCACGTGCTGGAACAGTCCGTCTGAATGACTGATTTGATACCAAACAACCTGTTTAAAAACAAAGAGAAATATTAAAAAGATGCAACAAAGATCTGGGTCCGATCCACAGAATACAACCAGCTTGTCTGACACATTCTTGAGCTGCGCTGTGCTCAGTTGCTCAGTTGTGTCCGACTCTTTGCGACCCCATAGTCGCAAGGCCCACCAGGCTCCTCTTTCCATGGGATTTTCCAGGCAAGAATACTGAAGTGGGTTGCCATTCCCTTCTCCAGGGGATCATCCCAACCCAGCAATTGAACCAAGGTCTTCATTCTTTACTGTCTTGAGTCACCAGGGATGCCCCATATATAATATACGCCTCTGTAAATCATACATATGTATGTTTGTCTATGTATAAAATTCATGCCAACATTACCCAGATGGCCTTTCCTCTGGTTCAACAATCTAGCTAATACTAAATCTTTGCACAGTTATTAGAAATTTATGTCTTAATTGTCAATAAGTGTTTTCTTAATGTAGATTTCTACTATATAACCAGATATGATATGATTATATAATGGGAAATTGTGTAAATGTGATTCATTAAGAAGCTCATTTTATATGAATTTTTTTCTCAGAAATGACTCTACTAAGTGAATGAAACATTTACATGTCAAGTGAGTCTCCCTGGAATGGAATCTTTCAATCGTTTGTAGCTTTTACATGTGAACTTCCTTTGACTTTGGCGTCCCATTTTTTGCTGCTCTAAGGTTTTCCAAGACTATGAATTCTCCACTTGTAAAACCTCTCAGAGATATTGCAGTTACTACCATGAGGCCAGGGCGATATTAGTGACCATCCCCACCCCCACTCCTATCAGATTCCTGCTTCTCTTCCTCCTCCTCCTTGGCAGGAAGCACAACTGTCTCTTCACTCCCCATGGAGCACTTCTTTGTGATTTTTCTCCCCTTCCAAAGCACTCCCAACATCTGACAGCACGTGGTGGTTATGACTTGGCTGGGTGTTTGTTTCTCCTTGCACATGTTGGCAGATTTATAAAACCTCCACCTGTTTTCAGGTTCACTCCAGATCACATCTGTTGGTTTCTGGTAATACAGAAACCCAGCCATTTGCAAGAAATACGTAATACTGAAAATAACACCCTGCTTTAAAACATTAAATTGTGGTAAAATACAGATAACATACCCTGGGTTGGGAAGGTCCCCTGGAGAAGGGAACAGCTACCCACTCTAGTATTCTGGCCTGGAGAATTCCATGGACTGTATAGTCCATGGGGTTGCAAAGAGTCGGACACGACTGAGTGACTTTCTCCTTGCAATCTCCTATACAGATCTCACACATAACACAGAATCGATCATCTTACATTTTTAAGTGTACAGTTCAGGGGTATTAACTGCATTCACACTTTTGTACAACAAATCTCTAAACTTGTCATCTTGCAAAACTAAAACCCTGTCCCCATTAAACACTAAAACCCCACCCCATCTTCCCCCTCAGCTCTGGGTCACCACCATCCTACCTTCTGTCTCCATCAAGATGATTATGCCATGCACCTGGTAGACTCTAAGTGGAATCACACAGTATCTGTTCTTTAGTGACTGTTTATTTCACTCGGCATAATGTTCTCAAGGTTCATTCACTGGTGTAGCAGGTGTCAGAATTTCTTTCCTTTTGAAGGCTGAATAATATACCATTGTATGGATGGATCACATTTTCTTTATCCATTTCTCCAAGGATGGAGACTTACACCTTTTGGCTATTATCAATAAAGTTGCCATGAACACAGGTGTACAAATACCTTTTTTGAAGATCCCACTTTTGATATTTTTGGCCATATACCCAGAAGTAGAATTGTTGGATCATTTGGTAGGTTCCATCTTTAATTGTTTGAGGAACCACTGTACTGTTTCCCACAGTGGCTAAAATCAGTTTATGTTCCCACCAACAGTGCACAGGACTCCAATTTATGAACATCACTGCCATGTTTCAAGTTTTTTGATGGAGCCATCCTTGCGAGCGTGACCTTAGACACCATGCTTTTAATTTAGCCTTTTCTTTCAAGAGCTCAGAGATCTACAATTCAAGCCCCTCATACTAACACCTGGAGGCGTATTCTCCAATCAAATACGCCCTCACTAACCAGCTGACACAATATCTTCACAAAACTTCACTGAGAGATAGTCAAGAGGTGAATCTTATTTCAGGAGCTTTTTATTTGTAACTCTGAGTTTTTATCAAGAATCACTCTCTTTAGTCTGAAAAACACCCTTTAATATTAAAAAATATATATATTGTGTGTCATGAAGATCTACTGGTGCCAAACACCCTCAGTTTCATATAAGAACATCTTTATTTGACCATATTTATGTTTTTCCATATATACCTTTGGATATAAAATCACACCTTGATTTTTTTTTTTCCCAGGAGAATGTGAAAGATGTTGTCCTCTAGCATTTAGACTGGCAGAATTTCTGATGAGAAGTCTGTGATTCCTTTTCACAAAATGTACTTTCCATTGTGATGCTATTACTATTTTTCTCTATCATTGTTATTCACAATTTAATTGTACTGTGGCTTGGTGTGTCCAGAACCCTGCATTATGGGGTCAAAGGGCGGGGCAGGTGTGGGGGGGACGACCTTGCAGAACGGGGGGTCACCAGCAGACGAGGACAGAATCTCCTCCTCCAAAACCCCATGGTACAGTCAGCACAAGTAAAGGCCAAAAATCTAACTGCTGGCAGGTGGGAAACAGAATTAGTTTTACACTAATTTACACTAATTTACAGAATAAGGCAAGGACATGCTGTCAAGAAGGCAAGACAGGTAAGATGTCCACAGAAAATGAGGTTTGAGCTTCCAACCCCCTTAAGGCATTTCCTCAAATTTCAACAAATGTCTTTGCTGGAAGGAGACTGAATCTAGCTCTCAGTGGTCCTCCCAGCAAGATGCTCCCCTGTCCTTACAGCAGCCCATCTGGGTGAGGACAGATCACTTTTACACACGTGTTCTTGCTGCTCTGGCTTCTAACCACCCTCCCCTCTGCATTGCATCATATGAAAAACACAGTCAGTGTTTAACGTCTTTTTTCATTAGTTTCCTACTTATGCTTTAAACACATTTCCATGCCAAACCCATAGACATTTTTGAGAAACTGGAGTTTGACAGTTTCCGCACAACATTGTTTTCTTAAGCCTGGAAAAACTCTGCATGGAGTCCCCTGGGCTCTGCATCATGCCTTTGAAGTCCTTTCTGGCACACGTGTGTCTTAACAGTCTGCCAGGTTGTTGTAATTGGGCTTAACCCTACACGCATGGAACCCTGCCTTATAATATAAGCATTCTGTCCATGGGACAATTTTGCACAGGTAGAAGGTGTGTTGTCTTCAGAAAGGGGACAGCCGATGAACACACTGAGGCCATGTGGAAGTTCCTTGCCAATTCATCATTAAAGGCCCACTCCCCTACTTGAGATGATGCCACATCTCAAGAACATTTATATGCTATGAATGTTGTAGATTTATGGTCTATTTTCTGTGTCCAAACACATTTTCACCTCTGAGAGCAGTGTAGAAATGAGTCAGAACCAGGACTCCCAGCACCAGTTGATCATCCCATATGGCTTCTTATGACAAGGCCAAGTTCGGCCCCTAAACCATGCAGCTTTCTATGTTGGGAGCACAGGATGAGAAATATCAAATGTGGGCATTTCTATTACCCAAAAACATAATTTTCCCCAAGTAGTTATAATATAAGCATGGATTTGAATACCTCATTTTAAAGCCCTACATAGTTAATAACCAATGACGTTACAAAGGCAGAAAGAAGGAGACCCAAGCCAACTCTGCAGTTCCCCTTAAAAAATCAGGCTCTTTGTTGAATATCTGAGGCCAGCCCTGCTGGGGATCTGCTATTGGCTCCATTATACATATGGATTGAGGCACAAATGAATAAAAAGGTTTGTATGTGGTAGGGTTTATGTATCCAGGTCTGCTGACTTCAAATCACACCACTCCATTTCTCAGATGCAGCAAGTGGTGAAATAGGAAAACCCCAAGGGTATCAGGAAACCCTCAGGAAAGGGCATTAGTCATAGGAAGATTCCACTACAGGACACATTTAGTAAATTTGTCCTTTTAAGTGCTGAGTACTGAGTCTATTGAGTACTATTATTGTCGAGGATGTGCAAACAAATAAGATACTATCCCTGTCATCATAGAGAATTCATGATGGTGGGAATACTACTCAAATATGGTGGAATGATTTTAGGAAATGTGCTCTGAGCTGTTCACTCATTGGAAGGTGCTTATCAAGCTTTTCTTCCATAGAACTGTGTTGCCTGGATGATGGGTGCAGAGCAATGATTTGCACCACCCCTTTCTGAGCATCAGAGCAGCAGGCATTACCTCTGAAGGGCACAGGGGCACCTCACTGACCCCATAGGAGGGATCTCACTCCCAAGTGGAGTAGTTAATTGTTGGCTCTTACATTTTAAGGGCACTAAAGAGAAACCTGCGAACTAATGATCAAGGAGTTTCATTTAGTGTCAGAAAGGTCAGAGATATAGAAGGGAAAAGATTGGATAATCCATCTATGGAGGCATGCTCAAACAGGGGAAAGCAAGAAGTCTTCTGTAAGAAAAGTTGTAACTTTTACTTCCTAGTTACTCTAGGAAGAAGCCAACACATCTAGAAAAGGAAACAATTGGCAGAAGTCTAGCTAAAGCCCAGATCTTCTCCCTTTATGTCCACATAAAATGTTTCTATGTTTTCTAGGATAAAGCCCCAAGTTTCTCAGGTTCACATCATAGGAAATGGCTTTCCATGAAGTGTCCTTGTAATGTGATGCAACAAAAAGTATAAGCTTTTCCCGTTCTTGGGAATTTTCTTTTAGGGAAACATGAATATATTTTAATCGACATGTATCATGGAAGTATGGTAACATTAATCAGTTTCAAACCCAGTGAATCATGGAATGGATTCTAACATCTGGGTTAGAATCTGGGTTTTTTGTTTCTTTTTCTTTTTTTTTTTTTTATTCAGGGAAGCAGTT